CCATTAAAATCACGAATATCTATATGAAAGCAATGATCGACAATAGCTACATGTAAATATTTGTTTTTTAATATGTAAAAATAAGCCTTTGACTCAAGAGTCATGATATTAATATAATCAATATGTTCCTTCAATATAGATAACTCTTTATCTTTAATGTTATCTTCACTTGTAATATTAACTTTTTTAAGCCAGAACTTAAAATTTCTTGTTTGTTGTCTTGTATCAGTTGCATCGTTATTTGTGTACAATATTGATATTTTAATGTCGGTATTGCGAAAATTACTTTTGTTATTGTATATTTTAAGTAAGTGGGTTAACAACTCGTCATATTTAACTGAATCAGCGTGTCTTTTTGATGATATGTGATATATTTTCCCATCAACAGCGATCGGAACGGCGCAAGCTTCACAGAAATAGTAATTAGAGACACTTTTTGATATCTTTGGTGGTACTGCTAACATGTTTTTTGTAACTCTCCGCATTGATACATTTGCTATTTCTAAACATGTTTTGTGTTTCAAGCTGTCATTGTGTAATTTCCAATATATATTTGGAACTTTTATGTTACATATTATACAAAAGTATGTTTCAAAGTGAACTGAAAAAAAAATTGGTATATTTAATTTGAAGACTGTATAAGCCGTCTGCGTCGGTCGTATTTCAGCCGCGAAGCAGATTGCTTTGTTAAATGTTTCGATTGTAGAGTAAGATGATAATAATAATAATAATCTCAGGACAATTCATACAGCGCCATCTGGACCCAAATTTCTCTGGTTAAGTTAGGGCCGGCTGGCTTGTGTTATGGGTTCTAGACAACTGATACAAATACATAAATATTTTTTTAATAAATACATACATAATATGCATAGAAAACTCCCAGACCGATACAAACAGTCGTACTCATGAATACAAATGTTTGTGCCGTGTGAGGAATGGAACCCGTGTCCATCTGAAGTAAGGCAGTGTACTAAACCGCTAGACCACCGAGGCCGTCGACAGTACCTTCTACCTTCTTATCTCCCTAAGAGCGATACCCTCCACAAGGATTTCCTTTTCTTCAAGTAAAAAAATGGTATCTACAAATACTAAGGTATAGTAGAGAATAAATTAACCAATTACTGTTTGTTTACCCTTTTGACTACTACCGTTACCACCCATTCTGTATTTACTACTTGCTATATGTCGGTAATATCCAAACCTGAAAATAATATAGAAATAATTGAACATAAACAATATATGTAAGGGGTACCTATTTACTATGAATAAATATTAAAAAACGCGACATACGAGTATACTCAAAGTTGGGAGTCGGCGTTTAATTTTTCTATATTATGCAGCATAACTACGCCAATGTTATTGGCCTGGCCTTTACAGCTTCATCCGACGATAGGGAGCAAGTGTAGATGGCACTCCAAACCAAAAGAAGGGCTTATGGAGCAGCTGAAGGCCATATCCACTCTGCCACATAGGACTTTAGTCTGAGAGCACTGCTAGAGGTTCGAACATCTACACACGCCGTCGTAATTACAATTCCCGTTTGAATTTGACCAGGAAATCAATTTGGAATGGTGCTTGTTAGCAATACGCGGGGTCATTGCTAGTGTGCCTACACTTAGTAATAGTTCTGTCAACACTTCTGCCACTCCAGTTGAGTATAAAGTCAGTCTACATCGAATATACGCGTTATTACGTCATCTAGACTCCCCTACACCCCATGTTATCTAAAATTACCTAATACTTGAACGGCCCCTAAACCATGTAGCACACTATGACACTATCAAATAACCTTACTAATGTACAATAAATAGTACAATTATTTTGCCAGTATACTCACTGCTATCATACCTATGATCACTGTTAGCAATGTATTGTACATTGCTAACAATGACTCAGTTTGACTTAAAATGGCAACATTTGGAAGCTACGGAATCGAGCAATAATTTACCGAAAGTATTTAAATTATTAAATAAATTTAGTTGTTTGACAAAAAAACTGAAGTTATTAGTAATATTATTAGAGAAATGCCCATGCTCTGCTCAATTCAATTGACGATTTCTAAAATTATTTTATTGTTTATGACAATTTATAATCACAAATCTATATTTATCAATCCACCATTCCCGTTAATTTCTGGTGAATTCATCACATGTCAACTGACCTGGCTGGGGGAAAGGAGATTGTTAGTAATGTGGACTGGTGATCTTATTGCTAGCAATGTACCATGTCAGGTTGACCTCCACAGTGTTCCCCCTTGAAATCAACATGATATATTCTTGGTGAATTTGTCACGAGGGGCTAACTGACCTGACCTCATGCTCATCTTATCATCCTCCACTGGATGTAAATTTAAAAATATTCCCGGAATATTTTTGAAACATTAAGTAATCAATATTATAAGAATATTATTAAAATATTAATGAATAAATATTACAGAAATATCGTGGAAATTATAAGGAATAAATAATGAAATAAATCTTACCAAAATATTGTTGATATTTTAAGCAACAAATAATTTAATAAAACTTAGCACTTGTTGAAATAAGTAAAAAATATCGCAATATTGTTGGAATTTTGGTATTTTTAAGCACTGATTCTGAATCTATGTACACAGCTATTTCATATCTTTGCGATTATTATATATCACACATGTAATATAGATTATATATGATACTAACTGTACCTGCGACTTCGTCCGCGTGGAATTTAACTTTATTTTTCTAAAGTAAAAGATTTTTTCTAAAATAAAAGTAGCCTAAGTTACACCTTATTACATCAGCTACCTGCCAAAAGTCCCGTCAAAATCAGTCAAACCATTTCAGAGATTACCCGGAACAAACAGACCAACAGACAGACAAAAATGTTATTTTGGTGTACGCACCGCATTTATATTCATATGACTGTCGTAAAAAACGGTTATTTCAATATTAAAAACAAACACTCCAATTTATTTATATAATAATAATATATAGTATTATTGGTAGCAGGGATGTTAAGGAGCTCCGTAACCGTAACCGAATCCGAAATAAAAGTTTCGGATAATATCGGATAGGGGCGGAGCCTAATTGAGACACGTTATGTAACCATTCTATTAGCTATCTATACTTATATTCACCAGGAAGCACTCTGCTGTTAGATGAAAATCGTATGAAAATCCATTCAGTAGTTTTTGAGATTATCTCCAATATACAGACAGATGCTACGTAGCATTGTTTATAATATGTAAGTATATAGAAAACAATGTTCACAATAAACGTATACATTTATCAATAAGCAATAGATTACTTGATATATAATATTGAATGATAAAGAATTCGAAAAAATCTAATCCACGTTAACGGAAAGTCCAAGGACTGTGTTGCTAGCTTCAATTAATTGTTAACTTGCTAGTTATGTTTATAAAAATTGTTTATTTATTAAACTAGTGGTGCCCGCTAACGGTAACATATTGACAACTTCGTTGACCTAGAGTTTAACACAACGATAACAAACTTTATAACAGTGTCATGTTTATATATAGAAAAAGTAACTAATAATATAGTTAAATGCAATTGTTAAGGCACTTTACTTATTTTAAAAGTTTTATTATATATTATTTTACAATTATTACAATTCTTTTCGTCCAAATTTCCGCAGTGTCTCAAGACGAAGGTTTACGACCAATGTGTGTTGCCAGTGATGACTTACGGAACAGAGACGTGGTCGCTAACTATGGGCCCCATCAACAAGCTCAGAGTCACTCAGAGGGCAATGGAGAGGGCTATGCTCGGAGTTACTCTGCGTGATCGAATGAGGAGATCCGCAGAAGAACCAGAGTGACCGACATAACCCGAAAAATTGCGTACTCTGAAGTGACAATGAGCAGGGCACATAGCTCGTAGGACAGATGGTCGTTGGGGCAGTAAAGTCCTCGAGTGGGAGCAAGGTGGACCGACGATCTGGTTAAGATCGCTGGTAGGCATTGGATGCGAGCAGCGCAGGACCGATCGTCGTGGAGATCTTTGGGGGAGGCCTATGTCTAGCAGTGGACATCTTCCGGGCTGCGATGATGATGATGATGATGATTACAATGTTACTTAAAATACATATCATCAATCAAATGTATGATTTATAAATTTAAAAAAATTACAGATTTACCGAAATTAATCGATATAGCGATTATTCGATAACGTAATCGAATAAAATAATTCAATTACTCATTGAAGACCTATGCCGGCGCGGGGATCGGTTGTTGACCAGATTATCGAAGTCAGGCAGATTCTGATATTCTAAAGTTATCTTAATTTATAACTACAATAACTGTAGCTAACTAGAGCTTGTGTTATGGGTACTAGATACCTGATACATATACATGGATAGTTTTTTTTTGTAAATATATACATATTATACATAGGATACACCCAGTCCGATACAAACAATCATACTCATGAATACAAATGTTTGTGCCGTGCGAGGAATTAAGTAATATTAAATATGTATGAAATTCTTACAAAAGATAAAATCATAAAAAAAACAATCAAATAACTGGATGTATTTATTACAATTTCATGTCAATATTACAATATCAACGTTTGTAGCAAAAGTAATTAAATTTGTGATTTGTTCAAGCTAGTTGTAGTATAATTGACTTTATATGACTGGAAATATACCTTGAAACATTTCGAAAATTATGCACTACCTACATATTTTTATGCATAGGTGCATTTAGCAGCTGTGGTTGTACCGCTCATGTTACTTTGTAGCAGCCGGAATGTATGAAGATATTGTAGTGTATGTGGAAACAATAGCAGTTTATTATCTATCGTCTCGAGCCGAGCGTACACGGGCCGCCGTGCGCAACAGAGGCGGGATTCCCTGCGCAAGCGCCGCACAGTAAAGACGTGGAGCTGTGGCTAACGAGCCGATATGTCGATAACAACTTACATACAAGAAGACATAAATAACAAATAAGTGAACACTATAGAAATGAAATCTGTTTACATGTTTATATTGCAGTTAGGTGAAAAATATATTTAAAATCATATATTACATGCAAATTCTTCAACTACAAATGACAAGGTTGTTATTTTCTTTTAGCATTGTAACTAGGCATATAAGTACATATGTTTATATTCTTTGCTGATAAACTCATATGTTTGTTGAATTTTAGGCCCTTCTAATATTCAAATTCATTAAATGCTCTTTTCTTTTCTCGTGGCTAGCGAAATTGTAAACGTACATGGACAACTCGCAAATTCTACATGTAATACTGTAACACGTAGGATCCATCTTATAAATCAATGATTGTTCAACTCTCATTATATGATCCTCGGCGACAATGTGATAATCTATCAACGCCTCGTGCATGCGTTTGTTACAAATAATGCAATGATAAAAATCATTATTAGCTTGTATCTGTGAACATATAAACATTTCAATATAGAATTATACTATTATATATAATACAAGTTGCCCCGCGCGATTTCGTCTGCATCACACTTATCATTATATATCCCCCAATTTATATAATATATTTTTAAATTATAGCACATATGATATTTTATCTCCTTAAGGGTAAAATTTGTACAAACTTTGAATGTCAAATTTAATCAACAGCCTCAAAAATAAGTTTCCAGCTTTTAGCTTCAAAACGACTATTCTTTCATACAATCTTTCATCCCCACTTTCAACCCCTTATAATCCTTTTTTCGCATTTACAAGTAGCCTATGTCCTTTCTCAGGGTCCAGACTATCTGTGTACCAAATTTCATTTAAATCGGTTCAGTAGTTTTGACGTGAAAGCGAGAGACAGACATACAGAGTTACTATGGCATTTATAATATTAGTAAGGATGTATTTGTTTATGTAACTGGTACGGCAAATTATCTTGGACATGTCATGCGGAATGGTCAGGAATTTCATATGAGACTGGATGGATATAGGGACCGGAGAAAAGATGCTGTTCCTTTTGACAAAAATGTAACAGCTTTATTATTTATATTATTAACTGGGTCTTAACATGAATAATTTCATGGTAAATAAAGTTATTTACCACTCTCTATGTTAAGACCCGGTACCATATAAATAATGTACATTAACACATACCGTCACATGGACCAAATTTAATTAATTAAAAACAAAATATATATGTGGAACTTACCTCCGCATCAATTTTTCTTATACATTGTTTATCACGTAAAGGACCCGTTATATTTTTTATATGATTTCTATTCTGACAATGCGTTACAATATCAGCTTCTGTATTCAACCAATCCCCACATAATAAGCACCTCCATTTCTTATACTTTGGGTACATATTTATTCCATTAAAATTACGAATATCTATTTGTAACAAAGAACTGTCTATAGATATATTTAAATATTTGTTTTTTAATATGTAAAGATAAGCCTGTGCCTCAAGTTTTTCATTAACATAATCAATATGTTCCTTCAATACATATAACTCTCTATTTTTATTGTTATCTTCACTTGTAATATTAATAGCACATACATTGTTATCTGGCTTAACTTTTATGACTTGGTTTCTATCTTTTGTTCTATTAACTTCTGTTGTATTGTTATTTTTATTTTTAGCATGCACATGCACTGTAGATATTGTAGTATCGTTATTGCTCAGTTTACTTTTGTTTTTGTATATATCAAGTAAGTTGGATAACAACTCGTCATGTTTAACTGCATCAGCGTGTTCTTTTGTTGATGTGTGATAAATTTTCTCAGTAACAGCGATGGGAACTGCGCAAGCGCCACAGAAATAGTAATTAGAGTCACTGGTTGAATAATGTGGTGGTACTGCGAACATGTTTTTTCTAACTCTCTGCATTGATACATTTGCTATTTCTAAACATGTTTTGTGTTTCAAGCTGTCATTGTGTGATTTCCAATATATATTTGGAACTGTTATGTCACATATTACACATAAGTATGTACTTGATTCAGCGACACCTGGCAATAAAAATAATATGGTATATTAAAATTGATCCTAACTATTTCAGCCGCCGAGATAAGGCATCATCTTCTCTGGGGCGGGCTGGTCTCCATGAGGGCTTACTTGTCTCCAAGTAAAAAGGTACCCACAAATTCTACCTTAGTAGTAAACAAATTAACCAATTACTTACCGTTAGTACGTTTATTAACTTTTTGACTGCTACTGTTATCCATTTTATATTTAATATTTGCTATATGTCGCGTCGGCACCCAAATCTGAAAGTAATATATAAATAATCACATTATCTCTGTCAATAAATTTTCTTTCTACTATCCCTCCTTTCTATTAAATTGTCTCCTTCTTAATTGTAAATTGCATAGTTACTGTGTACCTATATTTTATATGTATATATATATATCTACATTATATTATATATATGCTATTATTATTTCTGTTTATTAATTCCGTCATGCGCCATCTACCACATTCAGTCTTTTCTCCTCTATTCAAAAGTTATTTGGAAGTTATCGCTTAAGCGATGAGATCGTCTTTTGAACCTTACATACTGGTATATTCTGTTTTATTTAGTGTTTTACTTTAGAGGTGCAATAAGAAGTTATAAACAATATATAAATGGGTAACTGTTTACCATGATTATATGTATTTAATAATAAATTTATGTAATGTATTATATAAAATACTAAATGTATCTGTTCCTAATGTGTGGTTGTACAATGTTTGTGAGGAGAAATAAATAAATAATTATTGTATTTAATATTAAAGAATGCGATCTACGAATTATATCGTAGTTGGCAGTTCAAGTTTAATTTTCCTATGTTATACAACTTACTCTAATGCTGTTGGCCTGGCCTTTACAGTTTCACCCGAAAACGGGCGAGTGCAGATGCCACTTCAAACCGAAGGGAGGACAAATGGAACGGCTGAAGTCAAACTTCTGCTTGATGGATACTTTAGTCCGAGAGAACCACTATGGTTTCAAACCTCCGCTGAGGCCATCGTAATTTCGATCTACATTTGAATTGTACGGGGGATCGATCGGAAGGGGAGTCAACGAAATATTAAATGAATGTGGGCGCTATAGCAGTAAGGGCCCATTGATACCAATGTATCATTTCAGGTCAACCTAATAGAGGAAACACTTGGAAACCATTGCCGTTAATTCTTGGTTCCTGGCTTCATGCTCATCCTACCATCGTCCATGGTCCTCGCCAGTGTATACCGTTAGCGCAACGGGCGACGGGAGCAATATTTTATCAGAAAAATTGGGACTAATTTATTAATTAAAAATAATAATGTATAAAATATTAAAAATCTTACCGTATTATTTTTTAAATTTGAGTTAATAAATCACACCGGAATATTGTTGGAATTTTGATATCTTTAAGTACTGGTTGCGAATCTGTGTATGTATGACTATTTGATATCTTTGCGAATATATAGCACTAAATTATCATAGATTATTTAAGATATTATTATACTTTATAACTAATCAAGCGCCCTTGCTTTGTACGGCAGTACATCGTATATGAAAAAGGTCGTAGTTATCATAATAATAAATTTATATTTCATTTTTCCTCGATATCATCGCATATGGGGAAAGAGAATGTTAGTAATGTGGACCGATGACCCCATAGCTAGCAATGTTGATTTCCAAGCTGTTGCCTCTGGCAATCAACGTGATAATTTTTTAGGAATTTATCATTATATCAAAAAAAGCACAGCTTACGAAGCAAGCTTTGTCGATGAAATAGGTGAGACTGAGGTCTGCCTAGTAAAAGCTGTATCAAAATCCGTTGTGCAGTTTAGTAGAAATAAACAGAAAAAGAGACAAATACAGGCATCTACTTTCTTATACTGAACTAGCGTCCCGCCACGGTTTGTCACGGTGTCTTGTCGTCACGTCATGTCACGGCGTCGGTGGTGTAGCGTAAACCGTAGACCACCGACGCCCACCGGTTTACTTCCAATGGTCGCGGGCTCGATTCCTCGCACGATACAAACATTTGTATTCGCGAGTAAGTTTCTTTATATCGGTCTGTGCGTTTTCTTTGTATATTGTATATTTATTTACAAAAATATCTAAATATTTATATCAGTTGTCTAGTACCCACAACACAAACTTTGCTTTACTTGGAACTAGATGGTGCTGTGTTAGGTTTATTATTATTAATATAATATAACACACAACTAAACCTTCGTCTTCTACTCTGTTGATAGATGAAAACCGCATGAAAATCCATTAGTAGTTTTCAAGTTTATCGCCAATATACAGACAGACGCTACGTCACGTTCTTTTTTATAATATGTGTATAGAAAATTATTACAATAAACGTTAATCACTTAGCAATAGATTACTAAATACATAATTTCTAATGATAAAGAAATCTAAACAATAGAATTCACGTTAACGGAAAGTCCAAAGACTGTGTTGCTAGTTTCAATATTGACGACCTCGGTGGTCTAGCGGTCTAGCACACCGCTTTACGTCCGATGGTCGCGGGTTCGATTCCTCGCACGGCACAAACATTTGTATTCAAGAGTATGATTGCGTATGATCTGGGTGTTTTCTATGTATATTATACATGCATTTCCAAAAACGTATGTTTAAAAATTTCTATCAGTCATTTAGTACCCATAACACAAGCTATGATTAGAAAACTTGGAACTAGATGGCGTTGTGTTAATTGTCCAGGGTTATGATTTTTTCATGTACACTGAAATTTCATCAGTTAGCCCATCCTGGCAAGTGACCAATTATCAACCACAATTGTTTCCAGGGTGTAACACGTGGAGGTTGATCTGATATAGTACAGTTGACCTGACAAACTACAATACAATTTATTTATTTATTCATTCAAAACATACGAAAATACTGTAGCCATATAGAACATATACGAAATATACTGTAGCCTTCGCAAGTTCTAAACATATTACTTGTCGGTTCCTATTTTATTATTAGTAGTAACTAGCAATCGAAAGTAATAATTGGTAGATGAGAACTGGCCAAGTTAGACCTTAGGCTACAGTATATTATCTAAGTTATAAGAAGAAATGATATTTTATATTGTTATAAATACATTTCAGGACAGACCATTGAATTTGGCATCCATTTAGATCTCACCTCTTTTGTCGTAGAAGTCAACAATCAAGGCATATATCATAATATTAAACTCGGCTATCAATTCACATTTATGTTTTTGATGGGATTGAAACTTTCACGAAAAGAACCTGTTCCTTGTTAAAAGGCCGGTAACTCACTTGCAATTCCCCTGTTGTTGCGGGTGCTCATGGGCGGTAATTACTTACCAATTACATGGTAGAGTAATTTTTTTATTGATTTAATGTATTTTATTTGTATCAATAATAAAAAAAATAGTAGTTATTGCACTCCTTTATAAATAAACTATAAGTTTACGAAATTTCATACTCCTCCGATAGCACAATTTGCGTAAAAAGAGGTACAAAGTTTTTGTTTGTAACTTGACGTATTAATATAAAGATACAGATAGTTCGATATTATATTATGTGGTTGGTAACGTTATGTGTGATCCGTAGTATTTTTTTAATCCGGTTGCCTACTATAATAAAATTAAATTAAATAAAAGTAAATCACCAGCAATTTTTTAAATATAGAAACACTGATTATATGTACGTCAAATAGTCTATGGTAGGGGAATCCGTTTAATATATCGATTTTTGTATTCGATATAAAACGTGTTTTGCGATATATCGATGTTAAATATAAACATTAATATTACCTGTTTATGGTCTACCGCAGAGAGTTAAAAATAAAATGATATCAAATTAGGAGCAGGAAGGTTTTTATCCTATAGAAGTCCGGCAGTACCCATTCGTCCAATTCTCTATGGCAATCTGCTTGATGTATTTTCCCAAATTAAAAAAAAGTGTTATCTAGTAACTGTTGCAGATTGATAGTTACTGGCAGCCTACATTATTTTTCTATATGAAAAATAAATAAGATGTGTATCAAGAAATGTTATATTAAAAATTATATCTTGGAATCTGGATATGTACATTATTATTTTATCTTGTCAACATAAATATATAATATATATTAAAATAATAAAATTAAATATGATAAGAAACTTCAAAACAGAATCATATATAGAAAAAATTACATAAACCTTTTTTAAACCCAATTGTTGAGGGACTTTATTTACTCATAATTTTTTTTTAAATATATTTTTTTACAATTATTGCAACATCAAAATATTTCTTAAGTATTTTAAAAAATATTCTAATAATTGTAAAATAATATGCATAATAAAAATATCGTCTAAAATATATATATATATATATATATATATATATATATATATATATGTGGCGAATTAACTATTATCGCGCGGCAACACCGTTGCCTAGTTACGACAAACGAATAGAATAACAAGCCTGTCATTTCGAGACCGAATCACTTTCTTGTAGATACCTATATATTCATTGTCATCTATATAAATATTTCGTAATTATAAATATGTACATAACAACAATCTGGACTCATCATTTCACCTCCTTCTTTCCCGCTGCTGCTACAAGAACACAATACAAACATTAATAATAGCGGTAATAATATAGACGCTAAATATATATAAAAAAATATTTACCGATCCATCGAAATTAATCGATATAGCAATAATCGAATAAAATAATTCAACTACTCTGTGGTAATCCATTACATTCACCGATTCATTTCGAGTTATTCTGTGCCATTTATTTTCATTTCATTTTTTTTTTCTTATCGTTTTTTGCATCGACTGGTTTTTATATCATTCGTATTTGAGGTTAATTTTTGTTTAATAATACTCTGGTACCTATTGAAATATGTGATTCGTAGGCAGCAAATAGTTCTTGGAATAAAAATACAAGGTAAGTTGTTACGTAAATTGTAAATACATTGATAGACCGGCGCCGGCGCGGGGACCGATTGAGATTATAGAAGTTAAGCAGATTCCGATATCCAAAAGTTATCTTATTTGATAACTACTATAATAAATCCTACTTGTAGCGACCAGTGATTCTCGAGTGAAAGACCGCCCATGTTGCTAATAATTCACCATGATATAAATTTTTTTGATGAGTTGACGGTTTTTATATAAGTATATGCTGTTTATATACGAGTTTGTACAACATAAGTGCTACATGTTAGAAAAGAATGTTAATGCCGTCTTACTTGAGTATGTAGTCCTTTTAATATTGTGTTTTTATGTAGGTGGGTACTTGTCCAAAATATGACTGGAAATAAGACAACAAAATTAAAATAAAAAACTTATTTAATTTACTTTTCTTCCCCAACAACCTGACTAAGCGTTAGGTTGTTGGGGAAAGTAAATTAAATAAGTTTTTTATTTTAATTTTGTTGTCTTATTTCCAGTTATATTTTTATTAATACTCTCATTCGTAAGGTGTCTGGAAGAGATTGTGTTAGTGTTACCGCCTTTTGTACCTTCTTTCTATAATATATTGTTATATATTTTTTATGTATCTTCCAGTAATATTGATGCAATAAAAAATCTATACATATAAATAAAATTGGAGTGACTGTTTGTAATATTGAAATAACCACTTTTTACTACATGCATATGAATATAAATATGTTACATACACCAAAATAACATTTTTTACAATTTTTGTCTGTCTATACTGACTAATTTCTGAAATGGCTGGAGTGATTTTGGTGGGACTTTTTTGGCAAGTAACTGAGCTGTAATAAGGAGTAACTTAGGCTATTTTATTTTAGAAAAATAAAGTTACATTCCATGCGAACAAAGTTGTTGGTACAGCTAGTTATAAATAAAAATAAAATAAATAAACTGGTTAAGTTTTTTGTATTATTCTTCATCGAGGACTAAGAGCCTAATGGTACAGTAATGCTCAGTCTCCAGCTATTTTTAAGAACTTAGTCAAATCCTTTATGCTATATAATCCTATGCCTACCAGTTGGTTATATATTTAATATTTTTTTCTATGTAAGTATTTAATTGAATTAGTGCTAATTGGTAGTTTGTATTCACACACTTCAACTTAAAAATGTAAAGTAACAATAAAATTATTTAAAAGAGCAATACACAAGTTTCTTGCTTGTTCTTCTTGTGATGAGACAGCTTTCTGAATGAGTGGTAGATTAAAAAAAATGTGATTACTATTCAATAGTGCTTCAATGTAAGTTTATTTGAATAAACCATTTTCTATTCTGTATTCTATTCTCTGTATGTAAATAATTTGTTACTGTGTAACTTGTGACTGTATTTATTTATTTATTTAAAACTTTATGGATTTTGTGTAGGCAGGCTTAATGCTAATAGCTTTCTCTACGAGCTAACCTTAGGGAGTGCAGAGATACTCAAAGGCGGTTTGGTTTTAATAAATTAAATATAATTTATTAAAACCAAACCGTTTGGTTTTCATAAATTAAATATAATTTATTAAAACCAAACCGTTTGGTTTTAATAAATTAAATATATTTTATTAAAACCACACCGCTAGTTGTTACCTTTTTTCTTGTGTATATTTAACTAAGATCCTAACCAACTTTGTGATATCTCCCCTGAGTGGGGGTGGATGTTGCTTGGAGTATGTGTTGAAATAGAAATAATCTTTATTCAAATAAACTTAATATAAGCACTTTTGAATAGTCAAGTTTTTTGATTCTACCGCTTATTCGGAATGCAGATTCATCACAAGAAGAATAAGCAAGAAACTTGTGTGTTGCTCTTTTAAATATATATTGATTTACTTATATTTAATTATCAGGCATGCGACAATCAACATCGAAACCTCTATGCACTTAATCTTTGTTCAATGAGATAACATTGTCTGCACTATGAATTTTAAGTTAGATATTTTCTACAAAAACATTATCATTTATAAATTCTTCAATTATATAATAAGCTTTTTTACAAAGAAAATATTATATGACACATTTGAATTTTTTTCTGGCAAATTGAGTAGTGTGTAAGAGTATGTTTACCTGGGGCAATTGGTCTCATATAGTGATCAGACAAATAAAGATATAAATAAAAAACTAGCCAGTGGACAGAAGAGATATTGGTCCTTAAGAGAGATCATGTAATAATATAATCAATAAATATTGGAAAAATTAATAAATTAACAAATTTTGCAACTAATAATAATAAAACAATTACAGGACACGTATCTCTCCTACAGACATAAGTATATATATATATATATATATATATATATATATATCAATACTTTGATAGATATCTTTGCAATGTTATTGTAGATAACGTTGCCATATAATGTTATCTGATAAGTTATTTTATTTATGAGGGCCTCATGTGCTTAACTGCTACCACATATAGCGGTTTAGCACAGTGCTTTCCTTCCAATGGTTGCAGGTCGATCCCTTGTATCGGTCTGGGTGTTAGAATATCTATTATATTATATATATAAAATATATTGTGTATTTACAAAAATAATTATCTAAGTATTTATGCACTGTGTGAATGTCCAAGGTTATTTATTTATATGTATAAATTATAATGCCGATGTAATACATTTCACACGTGTACGTAGGCGCACGACGGCTGTGTTCAATGGCCGAGTTTACCGTAAATACATCTAAGATTTCAACCAAACCGCCTTATGGTGGCTAGGGTTGGCAGCCGTGCGAAAGTCCTCGACGAAGTGAAAGTCAATAGAGTGACTATACTCCTTATTGAATTTAAAATTAATCTGTCTTTTTTCTAATATAATGTGATAAAATAATACCATAAAAGCTGAGTTTCTTCTCAGGTTCATTTCAATAACACTCCGAACTGACGGTAGATTTGATATATCTTAAGAGTGTTTCTATTAAATGGAATAAAATGGAAACCGTTAAATAAGGTTTCCACCAAAAACTTGGTTGAATAACACTTAAAAAGAAGCTGTAATACAGAAAACTTAATATGTTTCAGGTTTCATAATGAATTAAATATATAACAGCAGATGAAAACTTCACCAATATGTTTCAAACAGCAAGGAGTGGAGTTTCATACTCTATACCATTTGACGAACTAGATCTGAGGTATATAAGAAAAGATGTAAAAAGGAATAACAATCCACTGCCAATATGGAGCATAGACAATAACAAACAATACTACTCGTTTGAGGTGTTCGTAGAGAAGAGATGTAATGAGGACTGTAAAAAGAATAATCTGCAAGAAGTGACTGAAATTAGTAAGTTATTTTTTAAAATTTCATGTATAGTACACACTACAGAACAAATACTACAATAGACTATTGCTATTCAGTAAAAACAACATATGCATTATAACTAGGTACTCACTGGACACTGCAAATTGAATAGCATAGGCCTGTGCCAAAAATAATCTGCAAATTTCGCCAAACTGAAGAGGAAACGCCACTACACATCCTATGTGGTTTGAGTCCACTCATGCATAAACGAAATATCTCCTATGGAAAGTTTACACTCTATCCTGAGGAGATAAAAACCATCGCTCCTAAGAATATCCTTCAATTCTTGTCCCTGACGGGTCTAGGTAGCGAACTCTGAAAACGGGCGAGTACAATAGATCTATGTAGGTCGCAGTGATACAGGACCTCATGCTCACCTTTATTCTCCACTGGTGATCCGCCAGCGTAATCCGTTATCGCAGGCGGGTGAATCATTCCATTATCATCCATCAAAAATGACATTATACTAGGGATATTGGACATAGATCCCTATTCAGTATCTGTATGAGGGCAACAGTCACCACTTAAGATTAGGAGGTCTGACAACTAGATTGCCAATCATTATAGCTTCATACCCAGTTACATAAAGGAAAGAGACCAATGTAGCAGATTGTATATGAGGTATATAAATAAAGAAATCAGAAATCGGTACTTATTTATCAACTCAATGACTGAAAAAACGGTCTCGGTGGTCTAGCGGTTTAGCACACCGTTTTCCTTATCGCAGGTTCAATTCCACACATGGCACAAACATTTGTATTCATGAGTATGATTGTTTGTATCGGTCTGGGTGTTTTATATATAATATTTATGTTTATACGAAAAAATCTATGTATTTGTATCAATTATCTAGTACCCATAACACAAGCTTTAGTTAGCTTAACTCGGATCTAGATGGCGCTGTGTGAATTGTTCTGGGATAATAAAAAAAACTACCATTCAAATCTATCATTTGTGTGTTTAAATGTGGTTTTAATTATACTCACTGCTTTTTTGAATTGTTCAGTGTTATGGATACCGTAGATTTTAAAGTGAAACTTCTATATAGACGAGGTGTATATTTTTCGGTCACGAAAAAAGATATAACGCGTCGTAAGAGAAAGAAACTTGTTCCTTGAACTTTCACTTCTACCTTTTTTTTATACTATGCGGGTTTTTTTATGGATGATAATACAATGGTGCACCCGCTTTCGCTAACGGTTTACGCTGGCGGGGCACCAGTGGAGGATGATAAGATGAACATGAGGTCAGATCAGTTAGCCCATCGTGACAAATTCATCAGGAATTAATCACAGTGGTTTTTATGGGAAACTGCGTGGAGGTCAACCTGACATGGTACATTGCTAGCAATGGGGTTATCAATCCACATTACTAACAATCCCCTTCCCCCCCTACTATGGGGATGTAAACAAGCATACTGCCCATCTGACGGTAAACAGTTACTGTAGCCTGAGACATCGGACGGTCATCGCGTGGCGACACGGTTTAGTTTAATATCAATTTTTAATGTTTTTAATACTCGAGGTATATTTGACACATTTGAATGACTGCAAATCTAAATATAGTATAAAACATAGTCACCGCCGCTATCTGTTCGGTTATATCTTTTAAATTACGCAACGGATTTTAATGCAGTATCAGCAATAGAAAACGAAAGTTTAATATGTATAATACATTTGTATAGTATAAAACAAGGCGAGAAATTCAATTTGTAAAGCATCCGTGCAAAGGCGGATCGGGGCGCTAGTGTTGTAATTGTTGTAGATAATAAATACTCCACTAAATGTAGTTGATAACATAATAAATGATTATTTCAGGTGACACACCAAAAGAAAACACATACAAATGTCCAATTTGTAACATTATTGTTCCAATCATATACTTGAAAGAACACAATAGCAGTTTAAAACACAAAACATGTTTAGAGATAGCAGATTTAGCCATGCAAAGACTTAGAGATTATGTTTTCCTTAATGTCACAGCGTGTACAAATGAAACATCCACATATTTCTGTGAGCCTTGTGCTCTTTCAGTTGATGTTAACCAAAAATATTGCCATGAAGCATCAAAATCCCATGCTGTTTCTTTAAAATATGACAACATATTGTCTGACTTACTCATGTTGTACAAAGACAGAGAGAATTTAGATAAAATCTGCTCAAAATATCTATTGAATGTTGACACTAATGAAATTGCGATGACTAAAACCATAAAAAGTGTTGAAGATAATACAAAAACTACTGCAAATACTGCCGCTACTAAGAAAACTGTTGTTAACAATGAAACTGATCCAGAATTAGTTGATTTAATAGATTATTTTGAAAATATCAATGCTAATCTCGATGGACAAGGTCATATATCTGTTACAGACAAAGATTTTATACTTATAACTGTGGACAATAGTAAATTACGGGTGAATATCTCAAATTTTCATGGATTTTCCACATGTGAAGATTCAGATGAGACATTTTGTTCATTGTGTCGTGTTATTTTAAAAAGTGCTGATCTTGAAGCTCACTGTAAGAATGGGAAACACATAGACAACATTTCGGTGCCGTTACGCGACCAGCACTGTGTCAGGTCCATTGAGGTGAGTGTTTGTTTTAAGATCTAGAATATATCCTGGTAAGCCGATTGGCCGATGTAGGAAACTACTTTCCATAGAGTATATTCCGACTGACGTCAATACAGTGAAATATAACATATGCAGCAACATTTGTTTTGCAAAATGATTTACTGCGTTTGTCAGTTAAAAGGTGGACATTATTTAATTAAATGTTCTAATGAATGTTCAAAGGTTCTAACCTTAACTATGTCTAAAATATGAAACAACATAATAACAAACAATACGAATGCATACCTGAATAGTCTGACAGTGTGTATGAGATAATGTATGCTGCACTCTATGAATGGTCGGATACTGTGTGGATGTGTCATCGAATTTAGTTTTGAAACCATTGTTTCAGGTTTCTCCATGGCATGTGCACTGTATATTATGTAATAAATATACTGAAAGAATAAACGAACATTTCATTAGCACAGAACATAAACATGCACTAAATAATTCCTTAATATACGAAACGAATGACACAATTAACAAAACTTTAATTTATACAGATGTATCCCATAACGATGACGATGAATACGAAAGTATGTCTAATTCCAGTATATCCACAGACAAAGGGTCTGATGAAACAGCTGTAAAAAAATTGAGACGTAGTACAGACTACCAAATTGGTGTGATACCGTCAAACCTCAATGAAGCTATGTGTAAAGTCTGTAAAGTTTTAATACCATTCCATAAAACAAACATAACTGTAATATATGTGGATACTTAAGCAATTAAAACGCGAGCACTTCCAAAACGACATTTATTTGATGAACACACGATTGACAGAATCTACCCTATTTATTTATTGTTTTATATGTACCTTACACCTCCACCCTTAATTAACAGTTTCAATAAAATATATAATAATATGGCTATTACTTAAAAATACAAGACAACAATATTAAATATTAGATAACTTAACCTAAGTAATTAATATGTAAGAATGGACTACAAGTATTATTCTGGATCGAAATTAAATCTTTGAACTGGTTTGCGCACTCTTTTGGGTCGCTGTACTAGTGGTGGAAGTAGTGGATTTGGTAAATGCCTGGAATTCAAGGGTGAACCTTCAATTTCTTTCGGCTGCTGCGCCACCCCATGCTCACTACTGTCTATTCCACCTCCTTCGTCATTTAGCACTGTTTCTGTACTGTCTGCTACCTTTATATTAGTGGCAGAATTGCTGTTGTTGCTCTCTTTAGTGTTCTCCTCTTCCAACGAACAAGGAACATCAGACATACGTGATCTACGTCGGATCTGATCTATGTGTTTTGTGTGTTGTCGACCGTTACTTTCTCTGACCGACATACGACGTGAATCAGAATTACTTACTACAGAACCCTTTTCCCATTTTTGTTGGTTTCTATAATCCCTAAACCAAATAGGATCACCTGGTTCAAAGTGTCGTAATTTACCTCCTGCATAATCGGTTTGATGACGTTGTTGCACCCTAACAGAATCGGTTACCGCTCTCTCGCATCTTAATAAATCTAACCTAGAACGTAATGAACGTCTTTGCAAAATTTGAGCCGGTGTCACCCCTGTAGTTCCGTGTATTGTATTTCTATATGTTAAAAGAAATGTTTGTAACGCTGTATCTATATCCGTTTTGTCAATAATTGCCTTTCTAATGACGTTTTTACATAATTTAACAGAATTCTCTGCGGCCCCGTTAGAGGCAGGGTGATATGCCGGTGAATATCTTTGAAATATACCATTAGTTGCAAGGAAGTTTTTGAACTCACTACTGGTAAATGGTGGTCCCTGATCAGACACAATTTCTACGGGTAACCCAAACCTAGCAAACAATTCTCTTAGTGTTTTTACTACCGCTCCGGCTGTTGTGCGTGTCATTTGAAAGACTTCTAGCCATTTAGATGTCGAATCTATCACAACAAAATACGTTAGTCCATGCAATGGTCCTAAAAAATCTATATGTAATCGTGACCACGGCTGGGGTATGTATGGCCACGATTGTGGTGGCGCCCTCTGGGGCATTGGCATCTCGAGTGCACATGTTGAACAACTACGACACAACTGCTCAATGTCAGCATCAATATTTGGCCACCATACATAACTACGAGCCCATGATTTAGTTTTTACAATGCCCATGTGACTACTGTGTAATTGTTGAAGTATTTGTGGCCGCAACGACATAGGAATTATTATTCTATATCCCCACATTAGACAGTTGTTTTCACAATAAATTTCATTACGTCTTACAAAGTACGACTTTAATGTTTCATCCGTACATTGGTTTGGCCACCCTGCTTGAGTATATATTAGAAGTCGACTCGATATAGTGTCAGCGGCCGTCGCCTTCCTAACGTCGTTATGAGTTACGGGTAAGAAATTTTCTACAAAATTCAAATAGGTAATTTCGTTGACCGGACTAACTTCACTATAACAGAGTGGTAGCCGCGACAGAGCATCCGCGTTATTTTTAGCGGATGGTACATATTCTATACTGTAAGTATACCCGGACAGTAACACCACCCATCGTTGCATACGACTTGCAGCCATGATTGGTATGCCCGCCTTGCTACCAAATATTGAAGTTAATGGTTTATGATCGGTTCTCAAGGTGAAATGCCTACCATATAAGTATTGGTGAAACTTCTTTACACCATAGATAATAGCCAGAGCCTCTCGCTCAATTTGTGAATATGCCCGCTCGGCTTTTGTTAGCGAGCGCGATGCATAAGCTATGGGGCGTTCTCCATGCTGTGTCGTGTGTGTAATGACCGCGCCGACACCTAAACTACTTGCATCCGTCGTTAAGATTAAAGGCAAATCAGGCGAATAATGCACTAATACTTCACTCGATATTAATAACCGCTTTACCTCCCGAAAAGCCTTATCACAATTTTCCGTCCATACGAATCGAACCCCTGACCGTAATAACTCATATAACGGAGCTAAAATGAAACTTATATTCCTAACAAATTTACCGTAATACATTACCATACCTAAGAGTGATCGTAATTCGCTTACGTTTGTGGGTGCCGGGGTGTTCGTTATAGCTTTGACCTTGTCAGGACAAGTATGAACTCCCTTTTTTGAGACAACATATCCTAAATAAGTAACTGATTCAGCAAAAAAACTGCATTTTTCTTTTTTTACTTTAAGACCACTAGATTTCAATATCTCGAAAACTTTGCACAGATTTTCAAAGTGTGAGTGACTATCCCTACCACTAATAATAATATCATCCAGGAATACCCCTACAAATGGTATATGCCCAAACAATTGTTCTAACTTCCTTTGAAATATTCCCGGACTAGACGCGAGACCATACACTAATCGATTATATCGAAACAGGCCTTTATGCGTATTAATCACTGTGCAATTACAAGTATCATCCAGTACAAACTGCGCATAGGCTTGAGATAAATCTATTTTTGAAAAATATTCCCCACCATGTAACCGCGCGAGTAAATCCTCCACTCTAGGCAAAGGGTAACGATCGACATCCAACACTTTATTTAAAGTTAATTTGTAATCAGCGCATATTCTGATGTTACCATCTTTCTTGACCACTGGCACGATGGGCGTAGCCCAGTCGGAGCGGTCGACAGGAGTGAGCACGCCATCGCTCACTAGCTGCTCCAGCGCGCGCTCCACAGGCTCGCGCAGCGCGTATGCGAGCGGCCGCGCTCGCATAAACACCGGCCGCGCCCCCTCGCGCAAATGTATGCTCACCCTACCACCAGTAAAGCGACCCAATTCGTCTGCAAACACTTCACTGTATCTGGAAGTAAATTGACTATAATTAAAATTATTGCAAGATACGTTGTGTATATTGTAACCATTATCGGGTGGTGGTATGGTTATGCCTAAATGTATTATCCATTGTCTGCCCAATAAAACAGTTTTACCCTTATAAATTACATATAAATTTAAATATTTTTTTCTATTTTTATATTCAACGAGTGGTTTTATGACACCCGCCGGTCGTATTGTTTCACCTGTATAATATCTTAATAATAAATTACATTTTTCTAACCTTATCTCACTAAAATATTTTAGGTATGTTTCGTAACTTATGCATGACACGGCACTACCTGTGTCACATTCCATTTGTATACTTTTGTTTTGAATACTCAATGTCACATAAATTGGTGGGAAATGATCTAATGATAACTGATTAATAGTCAGTACCTCGTTCCTGTCATAGCTCTTAGTTTCCACGGCCTCCTCGATGTAGTTGTGTCCATTATTCAGTAACGGACAAACTCGTCGTAAGTGTCCCGCCTTGTTGCATACCCGACAAACATAACGGACAAATCTGCAAGTAGCCGCTTCGTGATCGCCGCCACATGCTTGACACTGTCGTCGCCAGCCCCGCCTGTCTGCCACGGCCGCGACAGCCGCGCGCGCCGTGCCCCTGCTCCCGCTCTGGCTGTGACCCGGCCGAACCAGCCGACCCGGCCGACCCGGCCGCCCCGGCCAGTTGCCTGCTTCAGCTGTAGTCTTATACGATCCTCGTTCACCCCCGTTCACCTCCGTTATCTTCTGACACTCCGCTGACATCATTTTTGACCCGCTATGCCCTTCAGTCAAGGCCGCATCTTTCTCCGCTGCCTCCATACTCCATGCTAAACTGCATGCTTTATTAAAATCTAATTTATCTTCTGCAAACAGCCGTTGCCTTATCGTTTCGCTCGCTAATCCACATACTAATCGATCGCGGAGACTCTCATTCAGCCATTGTCCAAAGTCACATGTTCTGGACATCTTCTTTAATTCTGCTATGTAATCTGATATCTTCTCGTCTTTCATTTGTTTCCTTTGGTGAAATTTGTAACGCTCAGCCAATATACTTGGGCGTGGTTGCAAATGTTTTTCCATGATCACTGCCAACTCATCAAATGATTTACTTGTGGGTTTATCTGGGGTGCACAGGTTTACTATGAGCTCATAACTTCTGGCCCCCATCACTGTCACTAGCGTCGGTACTTGCATTTCCCTACTAATGTTATTGACGATAAAATATTGTTCTAATCGTTCCACATATAAACGCCAATTGTCCGTTTCTATATCGAATTCCGATATCTTCCCGACCGACATTGTTTATTTATTTATTTATTTAACGCACTCACTCACTATTAAAATACACGTAAGTTCGATATTTCCTCGTCGCCAATGTAATATATGTGGATACTTAAGCAATTAAAACGCGAGCACTTCCAAAACGACATTTATTTGATGAACACACGATTGACAGAATCTACCCTATTTATTTATTGTTTTATATGTACCTTAGAGCATAAACTAGGCAATAACCACAGATTAAAGTACAATTCACTTTTATCAACTAACAGATTACAAAGAACTGAAAAAGGTTTCAACTGTGCTATTTGCCATACTACTGTTACTTATAAAAATGAACTAGATCATATAAATGGCAAAAGCCATCAGAGTAACATTCAGAAAACTTTAAATTGTACCAAACAAAAGTTCTGCCAACCCTGCAATGTTAACATTGACGCTCACAATTATGCTAGCCATGAAAAAGGAAAACAACATTTAGAAAATTTAAAGCATTTAGAGATTAAAACTGAATCAGTTAACACACGTTCGTCTAAGGATGTACAAACAAATATTGATAGAAAATTTGTAGTACAGACCAGTAACTCATTTAAACAATTAAAAACAGATTCTAATATGTCTAATAATATTTCTGTTGGTATGAATACTAGTGGTGCTAAGAATGATGTGCGAAAGAAATACTGTCAAACATGCAACCTTAGTATTGATGTTCACAACTTTATTGCTCACGAGAAAGGTAAACGTCATTTGGAAAATGAAATGCTTACTAAAGATAATACAAACATAACCATGAATACAAATACACCTAACACAAATGTAACACATCAAAATTTCGAACCATCTGACATTAATATTGTTTCTGGCTATATCGCTGAGAAGGAAAATCGCCATTTACATAATATTATGTATATAGACACAAATACATACAATACAAATGCAATGAGCAGAAATCTAACAGAACAGAAAGAGTACAAACTAAACAATACTAAGATTGATACTGATGCTCACAAAATTACTAACCAAAACAAAGAATAGCATTATTTAGAAAACTTAAGACAGAACAGAGCTGCTACTGCCAGGACGACTCCACCTATGATAACAAATACAAAGTTAGAAGTAGACAACAATAACTTACTCAAACAAACTTTTCTCGATTTAAATAATTTTGTTATTAATGAGAGTGAAGATGAAACTGTAGATGATTGTAAGATAAGTCCTGATGACACTTGCTCAGATGATGAAGAATATGATGAGGATACAACTACAGCAGATCTTCCAATTACTAAAAGCCTATTGTTACGAACTACAGATTACCAATTCGATGTGGGATCAAATGTTAAAGAGGCTATATGTAAAGTCTGCAGAGTTTTAGTGCCATTCCATGAAAAAAATATAACAGAACATAAATTGGGACAAACTCACAAATCAAATTACAAGATGGTTTTATCATCCAATGGAGTACAAGAGATAGAAAATGGTTTCAAATGTACCATTTGCAATGTTATTATAAGTAATAAGAATGAACTAGATCACATAAATGGTAAAAACCATCAAAGTAATATTACTAAGAGTACCAAGTCTACACGAGAAAAATACTGCCAATCATGCAACATATATATGAATGTTCACAATTTTGAAAGCCATAAAAAAGGAAAGAGGCATATGAAAAATTTAAGACTTTCTGATAATTATTCAGTTAACACAACATCATCTATGGATGCAAAATCAAATTTAGTAGAACAGTGGTATTGCCAATTTTTCGATGTTAACATTGATGCCCACAGTTTTGTTGAGCATGAGAATGATAAGCAGCATTTAGATAATTTACAACAGAATGCATCCGATTTAGTGAGCACAACATCATCTAATAGTAATCGAGAAGTACGGAAGTACTGCAATACGTGTCATATTTACATTGATACTTGCAATTATGCTAGTCATGAAAAAGGAAAGCGTCACTTGAAAAATTTTACATTAATTGATATGAAGGCCATTCTCAAACACTTTAATGGGTACAGTGCTCCATCTACTACAGGTAGTAATACAACAAATGATGAAAAACGTTTTGTAGAACAAAAGTATTGCCAACCTTGTAACATTAAAATCGAAGCTAACAATTTTGCTAGTCACGAAAAAGGAAAGCGACATTTATAGAATGTAACTTTAAATAAAACGTACGTGTCCAATCCTAAGAAGTATAGTATTAACGAAATAGAACAAAAATACTGTACAACTTGCAATACTAATATTGATGCGCATATTTTTTCTAGTCACGTCAAAGGAAGGCGTTACTTGTATAATTTAAAAGCCAATGATGCAGAAATAAATATACTGATTTCTGTGATGATGCACAAGTTAATACATATAATGAAATACGAATAAATGATGTCGCACCACCACATTATCAAGTTACTTTAACCAAAGATATTAATACAAATATATGAGAATTTTTGAAGTAGTAGTACCTAGTATGAATGTAACAGAACATATTACATCAAAGAAACATAAATCTAAATACAATGCGTTGCTAACAATCAACAAATTGCGTAAGATAAACGCAGTATTTCGCTGTGATATTTGCACAGTTAATATTAATAATATGAATGAATTGGATCATATTAATGCTTTATGGAAAATTTAAGTTAAGCTGCAGAGAATATGGTATGGATATATAGAAATTTAAAATTTGTATTTTGGAAAAAAAATGTAGTTACAAGTCAAAGACCAACTAGAGACCAACAAAAAAGACGGGAATTTATCAATGAATAAAATAGTGGTAATTTTTTATGTAGGCTTTATCGTAATTAGTACAGATTCTTTATTGATTGCTGTTCTTTTAGCAGCAATAGACGGCCACTTTATACCACTAGTTAGAGATAATTACAATAGAGTTGCCAACTGTCCTATTTTTCCAGGACATGCCTTGGTTTTTATAGTGTCCTGGAACTTCCTGATTAGTTTTTAAGTTGCCTTTTTTAATAACACGTATAATTTAATTCAAATATAAAAAAGTGATTTTACATAAAAAAAATAATACTTTCACTACATATTAATTTTATTATTACTATTTATTTAATAGTTGCAACTCTATTACTGCTTCCTGTTCTTTATTCTTAAACTGAATTGTCCTAGTTCCCCTACTTAAAATCTTGGTTATTTAAATGAATTTGGGGTTAGGTTAGGTTAGTTCTTTTAAAATAAAAGATATATTTCAAAAATAAAGTATTATAAATCTTCGTAAAAAATATGATTTGAGAATATATGTTATATTAGTGTAATATACATTGTCTGTGGTTCCATTTTTTTTGTTGGTCTACAGTTATAGTAACTCTGCATACTTCTATTTCTACATTAAAATAATATGTTCAATTATTAGTTCATGCTTATTTTGACGGCCTCGGTAGTCTAGTGGTTTTACGCTCCGCCTTATTTCCGATGGTCGCGGGTTCGACTCCTCGAATTGCAATAACATTTGTATTCATGAGTATGATTGCTTGTGGATGTTTTCTATATATAATATGTATGTATTTACGGGGAAAAAAATATATTTGTGTATTTGTATCAACTCTTTGTACCGCACGCAGTCTTTGGTTAGTTTAACTTGGGTCTAGATGGCGGTGTGTGAATTGTCCTGAGATTATTATTATTATTTATTTTAGAGACTGTCAAAACACGTTGGCTTGTGTACGTCAGTCTCACCAATTACAGCCGTCAAACAGCTTACTTTGTAAACTGTGTTTAGGTCGAGATATAGTAGAGAAATTACAGGATACGAGGCATGACGTCGCAGTCTTCCCGCATGACGACGCATGAGTGGTATACATGATAACGTGATGTGCGTGATGCTATTCAGATGTGATGTGATGGTTAGTACTAGTTCCTACTGGTTGGTGGATGGTATATTGTGAATGGTCAACTGGGATGTCATTTGTATGTATATGTGATATTTATATATATACACTCGCGAGCAAAAGTATGGAATCCGATAACGCGTTTTTTTTTTAAGGTTAATGGTGCACCCGTCTGCGCTAACGGTTTACGCTGGCGGGGCACCAGTGGAGGATGATAAGATGAGCTTGAGGTCAGGTCAGTTGGTCTTGACAAATTCACAAAGAATTTATCACGATGGTTTCCAGGGAGAATTGAAACATCTTCTTCCTTACTTCTTCACATAATCCGGGATAGCACCTTAAATACTGGTGTTTTTTTTTATAACACAGGGGACAAACGAGCATGCCGCTCACCTGATGGTAAGTGATTACCGCCGCTTATGAGCACCCGCAACACGATGGGAATTACAAGTACGTTGTCGGCCTTTTAAAAAGGAACCTGACTTAACCTAATCTCTACGACTGATTTACTCTTATTTAATTGGTTGTATATTGAATATTTTTTCTAATTGATATAATATGGTCAAGCGCAGCGATGGCTGGCTCATCAGTCATACTGGAGAATGAGGGCTGTTTGTCTGATGTAATCACTATGACTAATTTACTCTTATTTAGTTACTCAACCAGTTAGTTGTATATTTAATAATTTTTCTATTTGAGTATTTAATTGAATTAGTACTAATTGGTAGTTTGTATTCACACACTTCAACTTAAAATGTAAAGTAACAATAAAATTATTTAAAAGAGCAACACACACGTTTCTTGCTCGTTCTTCTTGTGATGACAGCTTTACGAATGAGCGGTAGAATAAAACAAAATGTGATGACTATTCAAAAATGCTTCAATGTAAGTTTATTTAAATAAATGATTTTCTATTCTATTCTATTCTTTCAAATGGTATCATTTTTATTATTCTTAACTAGTTATTAAGTATTCAAAACCGCGCGGAAATAATTCCAAAAAAGTGATTGATGATTCCATACTTTTGCTCGCTAGTGTAGTTCCTAGGGGCCGTTCAAGTATTTCATAAGCACTAGGGGGCGGGGGGTCTTTGCTTTGCTTATTTATGATTACGTCATCGGTAGTTTTACTTTTTTACACAAATAGCAACCCTCACATTGTTTTTGCTACAAAACGCAATACATTAATCGAAAAATATTTACGCAAGCACGGGGCGAGGGGGTAAGAGCTTTGCTTACTTTGCTGACAAGGGGGATGGTAAATAATTGTAATAAATCTGCTTACTTAATACTTGAACGAGCCCCTACTTGGTGGATGTAAATTGTGATGTCATTTGTATGTATAATTTGTATGTGTAAAAAAAATTGTAAAACATCTATGTTAATGAAATAATTATTATTATTATTATTATTATTATAATTTATGTGTAACATAATATAGTAAAACAGAGACACAGAAAAAGGAATAAAGGATAATTATGTAAATTTGTATGTATATGTGATTTATATATAAATATCAACCATGTGATAATGACAGTGATGCCCACAATTCTAATATCAACCAAGAATCAGAGCATTTAGAAAAATTGGAACATTACGCTCCAATACATTATTTAATAGACACTCGCCCCGGCTTCCTCATCACTCTATCTATTAAAAAACCCGATTCAAAATCCGTTGCGTAGTTTAAAGATTTAAGCATACATAGGGACGGACAGACATGTAAAGATGATTAAAAGAATTGTAACTGGAAATTAAAACTAATATCGTAACTGCAGTTTTAATTTAATATTTTTGTAATAATGTACCTTAGACTGCTTAATTTATTGGCTTATGAAGGCTTGAAATTAACTCCAGATATATTGTTGCAGATTTCGGCGTGGCATATACATTGTATTTTATGCAATAAATGTATATATACAAAAAGAATCGATGATCATTTTCGTAGTGAAACCCACACACTTGCATTAAACGAATCTTTGATTGATGAAACTGTTAATGCTAATGATATATCAATTGGCACCGCCAAAGATCTTAAAGAAGATCATAGTTTAGATATTTTCACGGCTACTGAGGACGATACAGACTCTCATTACGAGACAGGGGATGATGTATCCTTACATTCAGTGCCAAAACTAACACCGGCTCCAACAAACGAACCTCTACATTACCAAATGAATGTATCAACGAATCCAAAAGAAGTTACATGTAGAGTATGTAAGGTTGTAGTACCGAACAAAATAATTAATGTAATTGAGCATATCATGGCAAAAAATCACAAAACAAAATACGATGCGCTTTTATTAAACAACAAATTAAAACGGACAGGGAATGGGTTTAATTGTCATTTTTGTCAAGTTGATATAGATAACACGAACGAACTCGAACATATGGATAGTGAAGCACACCAAAAAGCTATGAAAACGTTAAATGATTATCCTACGATAAATATAAAATATTGTGCAGCATGTAAAGAATATATACGTACCTCTGTATTTGACAAACACGAATCAACAGCGAAGCATAAAAGTAATTTAGAAATACAACCCGCTAAAGAAGAGAAGATCATACCTACGTTAAATATATATTGCAAAGAATATATACCTAACTCTGAATTAGACGTACACGAATCAACAGCGAAGCATAAAAGTAATTTAAAAACACAACCCGCTAAAGAAGAAAAGATCATACCTATGTTAAGTATATACTGTGCAGTATGCAAAGAATATATACCTAACTCTGTATTAGACGTACACGAATCAACAGCGAAGCATAAAAGTAATTTAAAAACACAACCCGCTAAAGAAGAAAAGATCATACCTACGTTAAGTATATACTGTGCAGTATGCAAAGAATATATACCTAACTCTGTATTAGACGTACACGAATCAACAGCGAAGCATAAAAGTAATTTAAAAACACAACCCACTAAAGAAGAAAAGAATATAATTATAAGTAAAACCAATATACACTATCACTTACAGAAGACTAATATAGCCTCGGAACTAAAGTGTACAATTTGTAATGTTTCAATACCGAGCAAATCGAATTGTATAACAGAACACATCATGGGAAATATCCATACATCTAGATACGATATGTTTTTAGTAAAAAATAAGCTAAAAAAGGTAGAGAATGGTTTTCATTGCGATATTTGCAAAGTTAAAATAACTAATATGAACGAACTGTCTCATATAAATGGTAAAAACCATCAAAAGAACATTCTAACATTTAACCAATCTGATCCTGTCAAAGATATAACTAATATACAACCTAATGATATAAATGATGAGAATGCTGCAATTCCATCTACAAGTTCAAACATCTTGAAAATAGTAACGAAGAAATATTGCAGACCATGCAATATTTATGTCGATGTTAACAATTTTACTAGTCATGAGAGAGGTAAACGTCATAAAGGAAATTTAAAACTTAATGAAATAGATTCGGTCAGTACTACTACTTCCTCTACATCTGTATCTGGGATGACATATTGCCAATCGTGCAATATTCATATCCATACTCACAATATAGATAGCCACACGATGGGTAATAAACATTTGAAACAATTAAAAATCAGTGAAACGAAACCGGTTGATACACATTTGGCGGTAATTTCTAAATATTTGTGTTACCTTATGAGTCCTACAGAGGATCCTAATGAATTAATGTGTAAAATTTGTAAAATAGCAATTGCTAAGTCAAACTTAATGAGACATTTGAAGGCAAGAAGACATAAGAAGAAATATAATACGCTTTTGTCATCCAACGAAGTAAGGAAAATCGAAACTGGTTTTCATTGCGACATTTGCGAAGTTAATGTGACTGATATGAACGAATTCAATCATATATTCAGCGAAACTCATCAATATAAAATTGCAAATGAAGCTCATGTTACAATTGAGGCTGATGAATCAGTGACCAATAGAAATAATACGCTGTATAATGTAACTGATTTACAAACTCAGGAGGATGAGGAGAATTATTCATCTCTTTTATGTTGATGCTAGCCAATCCGAAGCTTAAGAAGGCACATTTATTTCAGGCTACTAGGCCCATATAAATACCTTATAGACTAACATACATATATTACTATTATATAACTAATATTCAATGTACCAAAGTCTCTGTGGTAATGGCACTCACGACGCAATCTACCACGGTAGCGCCGATAACCACACCCTTCGGCCAGTAATCCTTCATGAAGGTGGGTAGCGTATTGGAGGGGACTCGGGCCACAAACGCCTTGAAACTCGCTTTATGACTCGACTCCAGCTTCGTCAACCTCAATGTCAGGTTACTCTTGGTTCTTATATAATCGACAATGTCCTGCTCCTTAGTGGCGTAATGTAGGCCAGTGTTTACCAACTGGGCCCCACCCCACCGGGGGGCAAATTCGAACGGACCCGACACGACTCCAAGCAAAGCAAATTCTTAAATAATTGTTATATAACTAAACCAGCTTTTGCTCGCGGCTTCGCCTGCGTTAATTTATCCCTTTAGGGGTGGAAATCCTTTCTTAGGGGATGGTTACATCATAGTTGCTTTATGGAAGCAAAGTCTCATCCCGATCGGTTCAAAATTAACGAAGTTTCATATAAAGATTCATCCCCTATTTTATCCCCTTAGGGGTAGAATTAATCAAAATCCTGTCCTATCTTTCAACTTACACACAATGTGCAAATCAAATTTGCAATCAGTTTAATAGTTTAGCGAGTCCATCGCGGACAAACAATGTGCTATATTTTATATATGAAGAATTACAGCAGCTATTAGAAAATACGTCACCAGGGAAGGGGAGTGTCGCAATGAGACAAGGACAGGGGAGTGATAAAAAAATGCAAGTCAAACATGAATGTTATTTATTTGCTCTATATACTTTACCATTTATAATTTCAATCGAATTGGCCTTCTCATTTGAATACATGATCAATTCCATAACCTCTATAGATTCCTCTGCTTGTAAATATTCAATGCTGTCAGTATCTTCTTTGGGAAGTCTGTCTAGGACTCTTTTTGTGAGCTTCTCCGTAATTTTGTCGAGTACATTCGATTCTGATATTTTTTTTAATACATCTGTTATATTAATTTTTCTATTTGCAACTTTACTGTTGTCTCGATATTTCTTATACTTTTGATACAGTAGATTCTTGAATGAGTCGAATTTAGATTTTTTGACATTCGTATCGTATTCGTTAGCCGAGTAATATGTAATAAAACTAAAAACTGAAAACAATATTAATTTATATGTAATAATAATAAAATGTATATTAATATTGTAAACGCTATGAAAGGAACTTGTCTATCCGTTTAGCTCGAATTGAACGGATGGACATATGTTTTATTTTATATATATTTATCTATGTAATTGTACTAGTATAAAATAACAACGACGGCCTCGGTGGTCTAGCGGTTTAGCAGACCGCTTTACTTCCGATGGTCGCGGGTGCGATTCCTCACACGGTGCAAACATTTGTATTCAAAAGTATACAGTAGAATTGTTTATATCGGTGTTTTCTATGTATATTATGTATTTGCTATAAAAATACATATGTATTTATATATGTTGTTTAGTATCGATAACACAAGCTCTACTTAGCTTGGGACTAGATGGCGCTGTGTTAATGCTCAAGGGTTATTTGTTTATATAAAAAAAAAGTCAGAGCTTCTTTGTTCGTTTGAACGCGTTGATCTCTGGAATTTGATAAGTTCTGTTGGCATTTGATAGTGCATTTGACAAAGACACACTTGAGACTGGTGAATATTCAACGCTACGACGCTTAGGAGCAAACAGAGAAAGTAACTTTAAGCGAAAACGAAGTACATTACGCAGTGGGGGGGTGATGTAACTCTGTGAAATGAATATAGCGTTAAATTATGGTTGGTAACATACTCCCCTGTCTTACATTAAAATATCATTATTAATATTGTGTTCTAAAATAAGCCTTATATTATAATTATACGACAAAACAGCTGAATATATGTTAATTAATTATACTGAAAAGTTAGGTTATATCACGAGACAAGTTGTATTTCATCTCAAAAAATGTCGCGGGTCACAACTAGTGTTGCAAAAAAAAACTATATAAGATTGTGAATTAGCCTTTTAATGTATTTTTGATATCAATATATTTGACTATATCTTTTATATCTTAAGAATTATTTTCTAAGCGTCTATTTTTAGGTTAAGAGTTTACAAATGTGATACTGAAGTATATATTTTAAGTATTGTTTAACATGAAGAACGTTTTTTACTTCGTTATAGTATGATAAGTCTACAATAATAATACGATATAAGTGCGTTATGATGGTTATAACACACGAGGCGAAATTTCTAAGTTGAAGGCGAGGGCGTAACATAGCCGAGTGCGTTAAATACGCCCATATATCGTACAACTTTTTTCAACCCACTTGATTTCAAATAAATTCAATCATAAAATGATCCACACTGTTACTTTTCCGTTTTACTTTTTAACATCAGCGCGATGCCTACTGAATCGCACCACGCGGCGATGACTTTAAAATTTGATAAGTAAATAGCGATAGTGCAGTTATTGTTTTATAACTTCACTATTTGAGTTTATAACTTACGCGTTTATAAGTAGCTTTACATATAGATTATGGTGAAATTGGATCGGCTTTAAGAGCAAGTGTGTTGAAAAATAGGTTTATTGTATGTAACCAAGTGCTGAAATTTCCGTTATCATTCGTGCCAAACTATAAGCCGCAATACATATACAGTGAAACCTGGTTAATTGGGATCTCAAGGGTCAAAGAATTATGTACCAATTAATAAGAGTTTCCATTAATCCAGTTTCCCAGTTAAGCAGGTTTAAAATTATAGTTGTCTTATTTGCAGAGGCCCCCGCTTATAGAGGTCTAATGTACCGTTATTCCATTTTTAAAGGTGGAAAAACGCTGAAATAATTCTGACATAGCATGTGCGAAAGACATTGAAATGTTTGTAAACAAACGTGTCAGAACCTGTCCCAATCTGATTAATATCTCACTTATACCGAAAATTGAGCTACAAGTCCTAATTATAGAGGTAAACATCGAAACAATCTTAGAATTCAAATCTCCTTTAACCAGGTTTGAACTCCCATTTTTTTTTTGGGGATGATAATGAAGTGTAGCACCCGCCTGCGCTAACGGTTTACGCTGGCGGGGCACCAGTGGAGGATGATAGGATGAGTATGAAGGTCAGGTCAGTTAGCCCATCGTGACAAATTCACTAGGTTTTTATCACAATGGTTTCCAGGGGGAACCGCGTGGAGGTCGACCTAACATGGTACATTCCTAGCAATGGGAACTACTAGTTCCCATTACTAGCAATCCCCTTCCCCCCTTCGAAGTCCCATTAACAGAGGTAATTCAATGAAAAAGTACCGGGACCTCATTGCAACTCTCAATAATACAAGTTTCTCAAATAAAAAAATAGGCCAAAAGGATGTCGCCACAAAGAAATCGATAGACATATATTACACTAAAAAAATTAAAAAATAGAGGTTTCTCACTTATCCAAATCCCACTTAACCAGGTTTCACTGTATATTAACTATTTATGAGCTTGTGAAGTATATAATACTTACTTGTCAATGTAACCAGAAAAAATATTTTCATTTAATATAATTTTTGTTTAAATCTGTAAATTAAACACGGGAAAAATAGGTTAATCTTTCAAAAATAGATTTGTTATTGGCTTTGTAAAATTATTTTTGTATAAAATAGGATTATATTCTTAGATTGTACAGAAATGACGGTCTCGGTGATCTATCGGTTTAGCACATCGTTGGTCGCTAATTCGATTCCTCGTACGGCGCAAACGTCCATGAGTATTATTGTTTGTATCGGTCTGGGTGTATGTTATATATATTATGTATGTATTTACAAAAAAACATATCTATCATACTCATAAACGAAACATAATTCATGTTTTTACCGTGCGACGAATCGAACCCGCGACCATCGAAATTAAGGCAATATGCACACCATTGGACCACCGAGGCCGTCATATAATACAATATAAAAATATAATAAAAAAAATTTTAATTGTTACTTTTTTTAGTTTGTAGATACAATGTCTAAAGCAAATAAAAGATTTGTGATATGCGAGTGTAGTTTTTTCTTAATAGAAATTCTGGAAACGATCCACACTGTGGGTTGAATAAAATTACTATAGGCCTCGTTTTGGCTGAAACCGGGACTGGATAGTTATTTACAATATTCTTCGATTGTTATATTCTTCTTTGTTAGTATATTTTTTCAAATTGTAATAGACTATTCAAATAAACTCAATACAAGCACTTATTTTTAGGCCCATATAAATTAGTCGCCATAAAAAATATTAGTAGCCAATTCTCAAACTCTCTACTGAATATTCCGCTTCGGAGGAGTATGATAGCTAATAGTGTGACACGAGAATTTTATATATAAGTTGTATCGCAAAATCTAGTAGATAGAAAAAAATGTATTTACGTTTAAGGCACACAAACACAAGGCACTGTAATATTAACAACAAAAATAAAAACAGATACACAATTACATTGGTCAGTCAACAAAATACTCCCTTTGTAAGGTACAAAAAAGAAAACGGTGAGTAACGTGTGCGTGCATAGCCCATACGCAAAAAGACATCACCTCAGTGTATTGTTTGCAGCAAACCACTGATATTCAGGCACTGCCCAGAGGCAAGCGCGAATAAAATAATACGATATTTTTTAAAGTCTTATAAGATCGGCCAGGGGCGGATCGTGAATTTGGGGGGCCCTGGGCTAAATCTACTTAGGGGTCTACCTACTGTACTTAATTATATTACTTAACTAAAAAATACACCAAAAACAAGCGACTAGACATTCCCTGTTCCTTTCTGTAGACGCGCACTTGCATGTGTTGAATGAACATTCTAGATATTTTTTTATATTCGTTTAAATGGGGACTGGGCACCCCTCTGTATTTTCGGGGCCCTGGGCTGCAGCCCAAAAAGCCCTTAGGTAGAACACCCTGTGTGGTCTAGCGGTTTTGCATGTCCCTTTCCTTCCGGTGGTCCCATGATTGTAAACAACTTTAGAAAACCAAGCCAAAATATTATCACTCACACAGCACCCGCTAAACATGTAGTTTCGAATAAATTTAAGTAGAAATATGTAGCTATTTGTTTTATCAAACAATATAAATATTGGCCCATAAAAATTGGTTTATTTGATTAAAATGTCCAACGTGAAGGTCAAATGATATAAATACATATGCAATTGTATATTTTTATCTTGTTAATATTATAAACGCGAAAGTTTGCGATTATGGATTGTTTGTGTCTCTATCCCGCAAAAACTACTGAACGGATTTTGATGATACTTTACAGTAATATAGCTTATAACAGGCCATAAATTTCATGCGGGTGAAACCGCGGGCACAGGGGGGACGGGGATTGATAGTAATGTGGATTGATAACCCCATTGCTAGCAATGTACCATGTCAGGTCGACCTCCACGCGGCTCCCCTTGGAAACCATCGTGTTAAATTCCTGGTGAATTTGTCACGATGGGCTAACTGACCTGACCTCATGCTCATCTTATCATCCTCCACTGGTGCCTCGCCAGCGTAAACCGTTAGCGCAGGCGGGTGCACCATTCCATTATAATTCACAAAAAAAAAACCGCGGGCACAAGTAGGAATAAGTACATTATCGTTACTCATTATCTGCTTCTTCCTCATTCCATTTATTTGTGGTCGGCATAATGCGCCACGCTAGCGCCGATACACCACACCCTTCGGCCAGTAGTCCTCCTTCATGCAGGCAGCGTGTTGGTTGGAGTCGCTGTGGACTGTTTCGATCCTGCGACTATGGCTACGGCGTTGGACAAGGGACATCTTGGAGTTTTTAGTGAGTAGGAGTCTCACAGTAAACCTCCAAGAAAAATAAATATGTTATTATGATGGACATATTCAGTGGATGTATATAGCAGCAAATATAATTTAATCTCGTTTTGAACACAGTAGCACGTTACATATATCTGTTACTAACCAACTGGAATACTTATTTAAAATGTAAAGGACTGTTTTATTTATTAGACTTTTTCTTCTAAAATATATTATATTAAAGAAGGCATAATTTTATTAAATTTCATCATGATTTCCTAACCTGACGAAATTAAGTAAAATTATGTTATCGAATAAGTATTATATAAGATTTATCATTAAGAATAACGGAAAAAATACTGCAGTAAATTAACTTTGATATTATAAAAACTCATTATGAAAAGATAATGTTTAATTTTTAATTAAATAATCAGTTCAAATGTAACACAACTCTTGCTGTATTATCAGACCTCTTCATTATCATTTTATATTAAACTGGCTACCCGCCCCGACTTCGCACGGGTGTACATGTATTATACATATAAACCTTCCTCTTGAATCACTCTATCTATTGCTGTAAACTACATTAAAATCCGTTGCATAGTTTAAAAGCTCTAAGTGAACTGCCAGCAGAAACGACTTCATTTTATACTATGTAAGGTTAACCTTCATTTTTATTTTCTCTCTTTTATCTTTTGATATAACTTTATTCTTCATTTTTACTTCTTTTGCTTCTCTTCTTTTATATTATACGTCACTCCTCTCTATTTTATACAAAATATCGTTAATGGTGACAAACTGTTCACCGTCAATCTCCGTCACTGGGAACTTGTCATCGCCTATCACCACCGTTTCTTCATATACCTCCAACTCATTAATTTCCTCATCATGATTATCATAATACAGTTCACTATTTACATCACTGCCGATTAATGACTCATTTGCTACGGCCTCACTCTTTATTTTAACAGTATCGTCTTCTAAATCACTCTTTCTTTTTCTTTTATTCACCTTCTTTATAACAGTATCACCGACTACTAGTTCCCCGCAATCGTTAACATTATTCTTAGCTTTATTCCGTTTCCTTGTTGTTGTCTCTTTATCTTCGACTATTTCATTAATTAGTAAATCTCCAAACTCATTAACTTCCTTCTTTCCCGCTTTGCGTTTCCTTTTAGGTTTTACATCTTCATCATCACCATCATCAATGTGATCTGTTATTAAGTGATCATCATTATTCGTAATTTTTTTAATTCTACGATTATTGAAATCGTATATATACATTGCTGTCTCGTTAACCAGTTGTTTATCGATTTTGCTAACATTTAGCTTCATGTACGGGTAAATATAAGGTATACCCTTGATTTTCTTTGGTGTTAAATGTGTTAGGGTAGTTTTTTCAACGTTATGCATATTGCTTATGTGTTCTTTTAGGAAATCTGTATGGACGAAGTTTTTGTCGCATATGTCACATTTGAAAGGCATCTCTGGAGCGTGACCCTGCAATTAAATGTATTCACGTATTAATACTCATTAGTAGAATAGAATAGAACAGAAAATACTTTATTCAATTATAAGTCACAGGTTCGGCCGCAATGGAGTACTGCTCTCATCTTTGGGCGGGAGCACCTGGATACCAGCTCGGTCCTTTTAACTCGGTTCAGAGACGTGCTATGAGAATTGTCAATGATCCCAATCTCTCTCGCGGTATCGAGCCACTCAGCTTGAGGCGAGACTTCGCCTCGCTTTGTGTGTTCTACCGATTATACAACGGACTGTGTTCTGAGGAATTGTTCGACATGATGCCGACAGCCACCTTTTACCACCGCACCGCTCGCCATCGACAGGGAATTCATCCCCACAAACTGGAACCTAAGTGGTCCCGAACAGTGCGGTTTCAGAGGAGTTTCCTCCCGCGTACACTTAGATTGTGGAATGAACTTCCTGCCGAGGTTTTCCCACGAGACTACAGCATGGGGTTTTTCAAGAAGGGTATATTAAGGTTTCTTAAGGGTCGGCAACGCACAAGTGATACCCCTGGTTTTTCAGGCGTTCATAGGCTACGGTGACCATTTACCATCAGATGGGCCGTATGCTGTTTTAAAAAAACCTTGTAAGTTCACATTTTTCAAGTCGAAACGTGTGAATACAAACTACCAACAAGCACTAATTTATTAGGGTCGAATATAAATACACAATAAGATTAAATCAGTCGTAGTGATAAGAGCAGACCAGTCCCTACAAGCAGCACTCGTTCACGAGTATGACCGATGAGCCAGCATATGTATAGTACATACTAACATCGCTTACAGCTATGATATTCATAGCTGATACTCATGAAACAACGAAAAATACAATCATACTCATGTTTTTTCTGTGCGATGAATCGAACCCGCGACCATCGGAAGTGAAGCGGTGTGCTAAACCGCTAGACCACCGAGGCCACTTACGACTCCTCGGTACGATATAAACTTTTATATACCTATAAATAACTTATAGACTAACATACATATGAATTAATATTATAATACAAATATATTGAAATTGATTGTGGTCACGGCACTGACGACGGCAATCTGCCATGGTAGCGCTCGTATACCATCCTTCGACCAGTAGTCCTCCATCTTGAAGGTGGGCAGCATGTTGGTGGGGACCGGGGCCACGAACGCCTTGAAACGTTGTGACTCGACTCCAGTTACGTCACCCTCATCACGGAAAGTCTGACTGTCTGGTCTTACGCACCCCCCTAGGGAGGTGAAGGTTGGGGCCTCGGGGCGAACCCTGGCTTTGCCCCGGTATCTACTCCGGGGGCAACAACCCAGGGTGGCTAGATCAAAGCCCCTAGGGTAAGTATACATAAAAAAACCTATGTGTGTGTATATATATATATATACAAATACTAGCTGTCCCGTTAAACGTTTTGCCTTAAAATAAAAAAAAATTAAGGTTGGACTACCCCTAACATTTAGGGGGATGAAAAATAGATGTTGGCCGATTCTCAATACGCTCACAAAATTTCATGACAATCGGTCAAGCCGTTTCGGAGGAGTATGGGAACGAAAACTGTGTCACGAGAATTTTATATATAAGATGATATCATGTATATCAATAATGGTTGTCAATTAATGTTTTTTCTTTTCTTTCTACTTACCTTCAGTATATGGTCCTTGCAGTCTGCCCTCAATTGGAATCGCAAAGGGCAGAGCGTGCAGTGGTATGGTTTTCTGCTATGACGGGCCACGTGGTGCATGAATAGAGCCTGCGTCGAAATTAACTGTACGCCGCATACGTTGCACGGGATCTTCATGAAGGCATGCTTCCGTTTATGAGCCTGCCAGGACGTTAGAAGGCACTGGAAGTTAAACAGAAATTATTCATAACATATATATAATATATATTTATTTTTGTATTAGAAAAAGACTTTTTTTCAGACCACTCTAATGCTGGCGGCAGCTGACCTTTATAGCTTCACCGGACGATATAGGACGAGTTCAGATGGCACTCAAACCACAGGACTTATGGAGCGGCTGAAGGCCAATTCCCGCCTGACGGATACTACTTTAGTCTGAGGGCACCGCTAGGGTTTCGAACCTCGACTCAGGCGTCATAATTTCGATCCCCGTTTAACTTGGACAGGGGTCGGATTATAATAGACCCAAGCTTGGCCCGCATTTTGCATAGTGGTCCACAGTGAAATTATTGGTTTTGGGCTAGATTTTATAATTATTAGTATATTTTGTCCATTTGTTATTGATACTTATGTGGATATAGCCCATAGTTAGCAATGTACCATGTCAGGTTTTCCTCCACGTGGTTCCCAGCCATCCTGAAACCTGGAAACTATTGTAATAAATTATAGAATAATTTGTCACGATGGGGTAACTGACCTGACTTCATGCTCATGACATCCTCCACTGGTCCCTGGTAGTGGTACACTTACCGTCTCGCCGCAGAGTTCGCACAGCTTACTGCGACCCTTCGTCTCGTCCAGTGTTGGGTGGACTTTCTTACAATGGTTTAAGTAATATCGGGTATTCAACATAATCTCACCACACTGAAATCAAATAAATATTAAAAAAAAAAATGAAATATAGGAGAAATATTGTATAAGCAATGCCCTACCTAATTAAATGGCTCAGATGACGTGCGCGTGTACGTTTGAGTAGGGCGAAATAGGTCGCCCTAACTACGAGATGGGATCTGTCCCTTATCCCTACACAGTCTATAGAGCAGGCCAACGCTTAGAATACTAATGTGATCTCGCGACAATCTGGTTGGATACTAGGGCCAGGGTTTTCGCCTTGAGGTATCGGTGCAACTATATAGCCCCAGAGGCATGAGTCTAACCACACGCCTTCTCAGTTGAATAGGGTGAGCTGTTTCATCAGCTTAAAGAGAGTTGGGTAGTGTTGTAGATATATTTTTAATTATTACATTACAACATAATAGAAAATGAAGTGGCTTCCGCTGTCTATTCGCTTATATCTTTTAAACTACGCAATGGATTTTAGTGATTAATTTTCAGCAATAGATAGAGTGATTCAAGAGGAAGGTTTATGTTTATAATACATGTACACCCGTGCGAAGCCGGGTGGGTATATAGTTTTTTTTCGGAGTACTTTAATACTCTAAACCGCATCTGACCTTTACAGCTTTACCAGACGATAGGGGACGAGTGCAGATGGCACTCCAAACCAAAGGAACGACTTATGGAGCGGCTGAAGATCAACTCCCCCCTAACGAATACTACTTTAGTCTGAGGGCACCGCTGGGGATTTGAACCTCGTCTCAGGCCATCGTGAATCCCGTTTGAATTGGACGGGGGGTCGATCGGAGAGAGATGGGGAGGGAGCTAGCTTAGTTACCTTATATATAGCAATACTTACATATGGACAATTCATGGGGAACTGGTACGCAATCTTGCATGTCCGTTCGTGCTCATTATACTCTGTTGCGCCCTCGTATATTTTTCTACAATGGATACACGCGTGTCTGAAATCAGTTACAAAAGTGCTATCTTATATATAACATTCTCATATCACAATGTTAGTTACCATACACCTCCGAAACGGTATCACCGATTTTTTTGAAATTTTATATACATATTCAGTAGGCCTAAGAATCAGCTACTATCTATTTTTCATACCCCTAAGAGATAAGGGTTGTCCACCCCTAACATTTTTCTGTGCCAAATTATTGACTTGTGGGCGATTTTTTTAACATACAATACTAATGTTTGCATTACAATTTATAGTATAATTAATAGGAAATCTTTAGATTTTTTTTCATTTTATATTTTTTATATAAAATTAAAAAACTCTCTATCCTAATCCGGGGGGGATTAGGATAGAGAGTTTTTTAATCCATCCCCAAGGTCTAATGTTAACCCTAGAAAATGCGGGGCCCCCAGGTGAAATATAATGGTTAATATACTTACAATATATCTTTTGCCTGTTCGTGTTGGTTTCTCACTTGGTGCAGTTGTAAGGCCTCCTTCGATTCAAACTGTATGTCACAGTCTGTGCATGAAAACTCCATATGGGGAGTTTTACTCAATATCTGTGAAATACGTTACTATACTAATTTTAGCTCCCATGTTTTTTTAAATTAAAAAATATCCTATGTTCATTTTAATACCTCCAAGAACATGTGTACAAAATTTCATGATGATCGGTTCAGTAGTTTTTGCGTGAAAGCGTAACAAACATCTATACTTTCACATTTATAATATTAGGAAGGATATATATGATAGCGCAAGCTCAATACAATGACCATTTTTATTGTTAATTGATTAATTTAATTATTTTCGGCCTATATTGATTATATCGCTGTTATTTATTTAATTTAACATATATATAAATAATTTATTATATATATTGACAATGAATAAAGATATTTTGATTGACCGTAGATATGGAGGAAGACACACGATTTAATATCTACTTACCACGTATCGATGCGCCGATAATTGATGGTGGTACAATCTCCATGGTGAGGAATACGACATACCACAGGTGGGACAGTGTCGGTTATAGAATTGTGAATAGTGATATTTTTTTATGTGGAAGACTATACTGTATTTCCTGCGAACACAATACACAAGCACCATCTATTAAATCTTCCGCTGAAGCTGCAGACCAGCTGCGGCCAACAGTATTAGAGTAGTCCGAAAAACAATTGCGGAACACATTTTGTTTGGGTGATAATGGATTGGTGAATCCGCCTGCGCAAACGGTTAACATGGAGGATGATAAGATGAACATCATGTCAGGTCAGTTAGCACATCGCGGTAAAATCACCAAGAATATATCACGATGGTTTCCAGGGAGAACCGTTTGGAAGCCAACCTGACATGGCACATCGGTGGAGGATGATAAGATGAACATGACGTGAGGTCAGTTAGCACATCGCGGTAAAATCACCAAGAATATATCACGATGGTTTCCAGGGAGAACCGTTTGGAAGCCAACCTGACATGGCACATCGGTGGAGGATGATAAGATGAACATGGCGTCAGGTCAGTTAGCACATCGCGATAAAATCACCAAGAATATATCACGATGGTTTCCAGGGAGAACCGTTTGGAAGCCAACCTGACATGGCACATCGGTGGAGGATGATAAGATGAACATGGCGTCAGGTCAGTTAGCACATCGCGATAAAATCACCAAGAATATATCACGATGGTTTCCAGGGAGAACCGTTTGGAGGTCAACCTAACATGGCACATCGGTGGAGGATGATAAGATGAACATGACGTCAGGTCAGTTAGCACATCGCGATAAAATCACCAAGAATATATCACGATGGTTTCCAGGGAGAACCGTTTGGAGGCCAATCTAACATGGCACATCGGTGGAGGATGATAAGATGAACATGGCGTCAGGTCAGTTAGCACATCGCGATAAAATCAACAGGAATCTATCAGGATAATTTCCAGCGGGAATCATTTGGACAGAAACATAACATTCATTTATTACATCGTCTTGTGATGCAGTAAAGGCCAGCTGCAGTCAACACCAGTTAATAACATAAATAATGAAATACCTCTATTTAAAATAACGTATATAAAAGTCTACGTACGTGACTTTCCTAGGACAATACTGGCATATCATAATCTTTTCATTCTTAACACTATTCGGACCGTGATCTGCTGTATGTTTCCAGGCAGCCTTCCTGAAAGCATGTTTACATAACAATTATGCAATTTTTAAAAACAAAGAGCAATTGTCGTCTAGAGTAACTTAGAGTGCGAGGAATCGAACCCGCGACCATCGGAAGTGAAGCGGTGTGCTAAACCGCTAGACCACCGAGGCCACTTATGACTCCTCGGTACGATATAAACTCTTGTTATACTTTAACCTAAATAAAAAAATTCCGACTCTCTGGTCTTTATCTCCTCAGGATAGAGTGTATACTTACCAAAAGATACATTTTGTTTATGCATGAGTGGGCTACAACCACATAAGATATGTAGTGGCGTTTCCTCTTCTGCTCGGTTAAATCTGCAGATTGTTGTTAAACTAAGTCCTAATTTTGTCATGTGTTCATTCAATTCGCAGTGTCCAGTGAGGGCCCTAGTCGTGATGCATATATTGTTTTTACTCAATAGCAATAGTCTACTGGAGTATAGATTTGAGTAGCCCGTAATTAGGACTTTTGAACGTACTAATCCTGGCATATACTGCCCGCGTTCTGTTCCAGTTTTAGGCAACGAGGTACACCAAAGAAGAGTTATGGGCCTTAGTTTATTATTCCATTATTATCAAATAAAAAAAATGTAATAACAATTTACAATACCTCCTATAAAACACTTGGTTGCATTGTCTACATTTGTATGAAAACAAATGATTCACCAGCATATGATTACTCATGCTGTGCTTCGTCACAAACATCTCGCCACAAATGTCACATGTCATCAATGGCTGAAAATAAAAACAAAGGATAACTAGGTTTGTTACCGGTGTGTTATTTCCACACAGGTCACATATTGAGCGGTGCGTGTTTATTCTTAAAAACTCTACCTTTAAAATTATATTATTTTTAGTAGTGCTGAATTTCTTCCACCATTGTCTTGGCAACCTTTATGTGGACATGAGGTAATGGAAGCCTGAAGAAGCCTCAATCTTCCATGAAGATAGATAGATCTTAAATCCTTATTCATATTAATTTGTCATGTGATGATTATATATTGGAATATTGTTATCTGTGGATATGTGACATTTTGTATCTTAAGATCCAAATAAAGATCCAAATAAAAAAAAACTATTATCTATCTATCTATATAAAAACATAGTTACATTTTTTAACCACAATGGACAATTCACACAGCGCCATTCACTGGTGCCCCGCCAGCGTAAACCGTTAGCGCAGGCACCAACCCATTATCATCCGTAAAAAACAAATGATATAAATACTTAGATACTTTTTTTTTAAATACACACATAATATACAGAGAATAGAACAGATAATTCTTTATTCAAATAAACATAAGCACTTTTGAATAGTCGTATTTATTTCTTTTAATCTGCCGCTCATTAGGAAAGCTCTCTCATCGCAAGAAAAACGAGCGAGAAACTTACGTGTTGCTCTTTTAAATAATTGTTGTTACTTTACATTTTTTAATTATTCAATTGAGTTTCTTTCCTGTTCTTCTCAATTGGATCTAAATACCAAACTGGACGGTAGGGAAAAAATTAAAATTATAATGTAAAAATTTGACGTTCATAAGCGGCTAACATGTCCTATATGAATAAATGATTATTGAATTAGAATTTGAATAATATGTGAATAGAAACTATCAACTATCACTAATCATCACTAATTCATTATATATGTCAAAATGACAATACACAATCAACTAGTTGAGTAACTAATAGAGTAAATCAGTCGTAGTGATTAGAGCAGACCAGTCCTTACACGCAGCATCCGTTCACGAGTATGACGGTTGAGCCACCCATCACTACGTTTGATGAAGTTTTAAATATGTATTTTTAATATCATATAAATGAATACAAATTTTTCTATCATGCTAGAAATCGTACCGCCGACCATCGGAAATAATTGTTGTGCGAAACAGCTATACTACCGAGGTTATATAATGCGATCTTACCTGACATTTACTTTTGTTTTTCTTCGAATATCTGCGACGTCCTTTGTCCAGGGATTTCACAGGTAGTGCCTTTTTGTACATATTCTCAACACTTACTCGTACAATTAAGAATTTGTCTCTCAAATTACTGTCCGTAAGTTTATTTCCAGTTTTATGTTTGTGTATTGCCGCTGAAGTTCTGAAGTAATTAAAAATATATACTAGGTACCGGCCCCAGCTTCGCACGGGTGTATTTGTATATTCTATACATCTATAACTATAAATAAAATTGGACTGTCTATTTGTAATATTGATATAACAGTTTTTTACTACATGTATATGAAAATAAATACGGTACATACATCAAAATAACACTTTTTACAATTTTTGTCTATCTGTCTGTTCGGACTAATCTCTGAAATGGCTGGACCGATTTTGACAGGACTTTTATTGGCAAGTAGCTGACGTAATAAGGAGTAAGTTAGGCTACTTTTATTTTAGAAAAATAAGGTTAAATAATAAGATGAAGTCTCGGGTACAGCTAGTAATACATATAAACCTTTGATCACTCTATCAATTGCTAAAAACTGCTTTAAAATCCGGTGCGCAGTTTAAAGGATCTAAAATTCAATTATTTACAAAGAATGTGCTAACTCACGCTCCGTATATCTTCTCATTGCATCTCTTGCACTCATACTCATACATATGTACAGAGATGCTGTGCGTCTCCTTCTCTATCTCAGTCTTGAAACACAGTTTGCAGATTTCACACATGTAACTGTACGCCAGCTGTAACAAACTATTTTTAATACTACGATGGTGGCAAACAAGCTTTTTTCGGACTACTCTAATGCTGTTTGGCCGCAGCTGGTTCTTACAGCTTCACCGGCGAGTGCAGATGGCACTCCAAACCAAACGAAGAATTTATGGAACGGCTGACCGGCCGGATACGAACCAGTCTGAGGGCACAGCTAGGGATTCGAACCTCGGCTGAGGTTCGAATCGGACGGGGGATCGGCCTTCAGACGCTCCATACATCCTTCCTTTAGATTCGAGTGCCACCTACACTCGCCCTCTATCCTCCTGCGAAACTGCGCCAGCTGCGGCCAACAGCATAAGAGTAGTAAAAAAAACTGATACAAACAATCACAAAACCCTTTCATGCAGAAAAAGGTGTAATGGCAATTGACTTCCTTTTTTGAAGTTAAGTTACTCACCGACTTTTGATGGTACAGCACATGTTTTATAAAAACATCCGGTGTACTAAAGCTTCCAATGCATAATCCGCATTTGTACACTGCATTCTTGAACACATCGGAGTTCAATCTTATGTTGAAGGCAGCTTTCTGTTCATCCAACGTTAGTGCTCTAACATTAAAATTACATAGGATCCTGGCTCCCTCAGTTGGCGATTTATTGAAATATTTGCCGTCGCTCTCGCCAGATATCAGCACTGATGTTGCCTCTTTAAAAAACAATATATAAATTAAATAAGAAACATTGATTTATTCGTGTCCTGTCTCTTTCCCCCTTTTTTTTATTTTTTCTGATTTGATGCCACTGAAACCCAGCGGTATGTTCAAATGTAAGAAACACTAATAAACGATGATGACTTAGGCTTTGAAGCCGGCTACCGCAAGGGAAACTCCGAGTACCGCCCGGGACTTGTGACCCCGGGTCACAAGCTAGTGTAGGTTTAAAAGGCCCCTTTAGAATGCATTAACACTCACCTTCACTACTTGCAGCTTCCCAGGCTGAACTAAGACCGGAATAAACCCGTTTCTAATACAATTCACTTAGTATCTAAAACACAACCGCCACGCTCTGCGCTCGTCGACTGAATGCCGCGGTTCACCCAACGAAAGAGGATTATTCAACTACCGACCTCCTTATTTATATCAGTGTAGTAGGTCGGTCTATAAATACTAGATGGCGCTATTTACAATATTTGTAATAATCTTTACATTGGATACTTCATTAGTATTAAACACAAACTACCTTCTTTTTTTTTAATTTTTAAAATATCGTTTTTTTTACAATATTGATGTGAACTCTAACACAAAGAAACACAAAGAACATAAAGCTGAGTAAAGCCATTTCAGTGTCTATATATAAAAAAATTAAATGTATATAAAATGAAGTTTAATTATATATATATATTTAATTTTAAATCATCTTGTTTTCTTGTTTTATATTTGAATCTGTATAGCGAATTGGACGGTAGAGTATTAAACAAAAGACTTGACATTCATAAGCAGCTAAAATGTCCTAATAAATGTAGTACCTGTTAAATTAAATAAATATTTTTCACCTAAAAAAAAGTTCCAATACAATTCATTGCTTTTGGAATTTTACCATGTAATAATTAATGAATAAATAAGATTTTTTTTGGAAGCTATCAATGTTATATTAATATATTTTCAGTAAAATTTTTTTATTTGTCAGTTATTTCAATTTAAATAATTTAATCCACAATAGTCAATTCGGTTTTTCCAAAGGTTGTTCAACTACAGACGCAGGTGCAGAGTTGCTTAGACACGTATTTGCTGCATGGGAAACTAAAATGGATGCGAAGACCTTTCTAAGGCTTTTGATTGCGTTGATCATAATACATTGCTAAAAAAACTTGCTTTTTATGGCGTCAAAGACAATGCTTTAAATTTAATAAAATCTTATCTATCTGATAGAATACAGAAAGTGAAGGTTAGCTACGTCTAACGGGTCAATTGTGCAAATGGGTGTACCTCAAGGATCTATTCTCGGTCCATTTTTATTTCTAGTTCACATTAATAATCTCCCATATGCCATGCAGGATAGATGCGGCATAGTATTATTTGCAGACGATACTTCATTGATTTTTAAAGTTAATAGAATGACTAATAATTATGACGATGTAAATAGTGCTTTGCGGCGTCTCCTGCACTGGTTTACAACTAACAATCTTATGTTAAACGCTAAAAAAACAAAATGTGTTAATTTCTCTCTGTCTAAAAGTTTTAATACTAATTGCAATATTAAATTAAATGACGAATCTCTGGAATTTATAGAATCTACTGTCTTTCTAGGAATCACACTAGATAATTGCACAAATTCAAAGCCTTGCAGCGAAACTAAGTTCAGCAGCTTTTGCCGTGCGTAAGGTTAGACAGTACACTGATACTGATACTGCTAGATTAGTCTATTTTAGTTATTTTCATAGTTTACTCTCTTATGGAATATTACTATGGGGAAAAGCGGCAGATATTAAAAATATATTCATATTACAAAAACGTGCCGTTCGAGCGATCTACTGTATGAAGAGTCGTGACTCATTAAGAGAGAAATTCAAAGAGGCAAATTTTCTCACCGTTGCTTCTCAATTTATATATTCAAATATCCTATATGTTCATAAAAATCTTGAATTATTTCAAAAAAACAGCAATATTCATAATATTAATACTAGAATTAAAGACAAACTTTTATCGTTTAGAAAAAGTTAATAGGTCTTTTATGGATAATAATAAGATACCAAAGGATATGTTGAATTACCCTTAAATAAATTCAAAACATCTGTTAAATCATATTTTGAGCAAAGCCTATTACTCACTAAACGATTACTTGAATGACGAGTGTGCATGGCAATAGTTGTTCATGCGCTGAATTTTCATTTAATGTTAGACATAGACACCTATATAAATATACATTGTAAATAGCCTGGCTTTAAAAAAAAAGTATATCAATTGAGATCTTCTCAATTGGATCTATATACCGAACTGGACGGTAAGGAAAAAAAAATAAGAATGTAAAAATTTGACGTTCATAAGCGGCTAAAATGTCCTACATGAATAAATGATTTTTGAATTTGAATTTGAATTTGAATTTGTTGTTATTGTGTATTTTTAGATAATAACTATGAATAAGAATTTTGCTCACAAAAAATATATGATTACAGGGAATTTTGTAGAACAAAAGTTCAGTACTTTCATATCCTTGCAGCTACAGAATGCCCTTTGCAACTAACTCTGTCTATAAATCGCTAGACAGTAATATGACTATATCTACCTATGTATCAAAACCCATTCAAATGCAGTACTTCAGTATTTTTGTGTAAAAGAGAAGAACAAATATTAATCCATGCATCATTTCAAAATTCTTTATTTAGATAACACCATTTTACAATTACATTCTACAGTTGTTGAAGACTCCTTTTAAGCATAAAGATGCCTGTGCCAGGAGGCTCCATTTCAACCTTTGCTTTTTCAATATTAATAGAATGTCCACCTTACCTGGTTCTTCTACTCTCTCTAGTTCCTCTTCACTCTCTTCTGATTGTAATTCCTCTTCTTTAAGATCTTTAAAAACATCTTCCAAATCAATATTAAGCAATTCCTCTTCTCTTACACAATTCTCTTCTCTTACAGAATTCTCTTCTCTTACAGCATTCTCTACATTAACATCAAGTTCTACTTCTACATCCTTGTCAATAGCAACTTGAGATGGATCCTCCATGTCTATGGTTTCAGATTGGATTCCAAACTTAAAAATATTGCCATTCAAATCAAACATCTCTTGTTTCATAGCTTTATCGTCTTCTTCCTCATTCATAGTGTAATAGAAATGTCTGTCTGTCACACTCATATTTATATTAGATATTAAATTTGTTTTTTTCCTATCCACTTTGTTTATGTCTAATAAATTTAGCTGTAAATATAAAATAATAAGAATTTTCATTGGATAGTTCAGAACTATTATACTAACTAACTCATTACTTCACCTGCTATAATGTGGAATTAACAAACAACTTTATCCTGGTACATGTTTAGCTCATAGAATCCTATGTCCATCCTTATGATCCAATCGACTTTTACATCAGATTTTATAACTAGCCATTCAGATCATGCTTATGTCCTGAAGATGTAACAAACAGACAGATACTGTTATAAGATTACTATATTTTTATTCAATTCAGGCTACTAATGGCCCATATTATAAATACCTTATAGACTAACATATTACATGTTAATATGCTTTTTTTATTGAGGGGCTTGGCCTATTGTCATGTGCCTAGATCTGTAGCACTGCAACCTACATAGATCTATTGTGCTCACCCTATTTCAGTTTTTGCTATCTAGATCCGTCAGAACAAGAATTGAAGAATATTCTTATGAGCGATGGTTTTTATCTCCTCAGGATAGAGTATAAACTTGCATTTATGCATGTGTGGGCTATAACGATATAGTATTTTTAGTGGCATTTCCTCTTCAATTGAGTGAAAGATAATATGGATAAAAGGAGAGACACACAGATATGCCGGCCGGTAGGGATCAGTAGAAGAGAATTACAGACTACATTACATATTACATACTATGCACAAATAATGTGATAAAGGCAAGGCAATGATGATGATTAGGACAGTATTGTGTAGTGGCGTTTCCTCTTCAGTTTGGCAAAATCTGCAGATTTTTGTTATGCACAGGCCTATGTTTGCCAATGTCAGGTTACTTCTTGTCGATATGTAATCAACATTAGTTTGGATCTTGTGCATTTGAATATCTACGGCTTAATTATTATTAATCTTAGTAAAAACTTACATCTTTCTTCACCAATATAATTTCTTTCATGACAAAATGAGCTCTTCGGACTTTTCTCCTAAAGTGAATGGCTTTCCTAATTTGGGTGTGGCATTCCATGCACAGATAGTTTGGGTATCCATCTCCTGGGGATATCTGTAAAATTGTATATTATTATTATATGATAATATATTGGTGCATCCGCCTGCACTAATGGATTCTAAGGAGGTGTGTGTTACACCCCTTTAGAGTTTAGGTCTAGGACCTACTTTATCGAGAACCTGGGAGTTAGAAATTGAAGAGACGACAGATTGTATAGAAGTAGGTTTATTATAAAAGTATTTGGGCCTTATATACAATTTTATGGGTGTCGCTTTTAAGCAGCTTGCAGGTGACGACAGCTTGAATCAGCAGCAGCGTTCCTAATGTACACATGCCGTGCCATAAGGATTCTAGGAAGTTACAAGGATGTGGATTGTGGCACCTGTAGAAAGTATGTTGCTACAAACTAGCTGTTAGCAGAACACCAATAAAGATGATAGTGTAGCGTGGTGGTTACTTCCTTACCACTACAGTATTATATATGATCTGATGAGGTGTCGCTACATAATATATTTTTTATTGTAGTATGTAAGTAGTGAGTATACAAGTGAAATGATTGTACGAATTTATTGTACATTATTAAATTTATTAAATAGTGTCCTACATTATAAGTAACATGTTTATTTGATGCAGAGTTGGAACGTTTTTCACTTAACTTAAATGTATGTTATTGGAAACGTAAACTAATAGAAGGGTCTCAAGTTTTGATAGAAATATTATAAGTGTAGGCACAATAGTAGAAACATGAGGTCAGGCCAGTCAGTCCGGTAGCCTGTCATGACAAATTCAACAGGAATTTATCATGACAGTTTACAGATAGAACCATGTGAAGATCCTGAGTCCTTTTCCCCTCTCCCCCTCCCCTTATCCGTATTGTGTGAGAATTGAATCTGCATCCACTATAATTTTAATGTCACTCGCCTATTGAGCTCCCCCCTCAAGTGTGATGCAGATATAGGCTTATTAGTAACGTGGATTAGACAGAGGTACGCGCAATAATAAAAAAGATAAATAAACACAATAATAATTGATATTGCTAACTATTGCTCACACAATTTCTTTCGGGCTTAAAGAGTGCATACCCATATAAAGTAGTGATTACTTGCTCAGTGCGATGTTTACTTTGGAGAAATATTCACAAAAATTATATGCTTGATGTTTTGAAACTTAACGTTATTTACGTTAAGTTTAGAAATTACCTCGATACCGCTAAGAGCTGTATAAATTCTTCTATGAGCATCACTAATTTTCTTTAACTTGCTGGTTATATTTAAACAACACCTACAGGCTTCTAGATCTCTCATTTTAAATAAAAGATTTTTAAACTAAATCGGTAAACATTACAATGTATATCTGCAATATGTATCACAGATTTATACACAGCAAAGAATATACAGGTACACAGTATCTGCATTTCACAATGAGTGTCAGTTGTCAGTGTGTGTCAGTGTGTCTATATGACAATATATGTAAATGTCAAATTATGCATCAATGCGTCATTGTATCATAGTCACAGAGTACTTCCGTAGTTTTGAATACATCGGTGTACACAAATTTTAAAATAATTAACCTGTATACATAATAATAATAATAATTAGATTTTAATATTACAAAATAAATAAAATTCGCAATTCTATTAAATATAGTTATATTAAATCGCTTAAAGTTTGATTGTGTTAATTGTAGTAGAAAGTTGTAATGGTATATATTAGAAATATAACCTAACATGAGCTCTATACAAGAAAGGTTACAACTGAAAAGAGTTCCACTGGACACTTGGATTATTAGGGAGCAGTTATGTCTCGCCTCCGCCGTGGTGAGGAGTGGCGATCAGAACTGGATGTCTGTATCACGGGCGCTGAAAACTATCGGAGAACAAAATAGACCAGCTGACTGGTATTCACAAAAGAGGTAGAGTCATTAACCTTTACTATGCTGTTTTAGAATGAGGCTTGCAAACAAAATGAAGACTGACTGATAGACGAAGTATGTCTGAATATTTCTTGTGAAGAAAATGTGGTTAATGATAAGGTCCTATAATGACACTGAGCTGATGCTAACTCACTGTAGTTGAATATCCTATATACAAGCACACACCCACAAACTTTCTTCTTCATACGCATATACTCACACAAACACACATACACTCATTGCTTTTTATTGTACTTTTTTGTAAATTATTTTGTAAGTTTTGTACCTTGTAATTGTACTGAAGCCTGTATAAAGTTAAAGTTTCTGTACTAAAAGATTTTTTATTCCTAGGACACAAGCCTTGAGATTTAGTGCAGGGATTTTTGTTAAAACATTTTATTTATATTCATTAATGTAAAAGTGTATACAAATAAATAATAAAAAAAATTGAGAGAAAATGTGTCTTATCATCTTTTTTATTTATTTATTTATTAGAAACCAAGAACATTACAATTTAATTTTCATTAATGTACATTGTAATATTAATCATACTATAGGTTTCACTTAATTGACACAAAGTATATTGTATTGGCTTGCGCTAAAACAAAACAACCAAATTGTGTTATTCTGATGTACAAGCTATTACTGTAAAATTTCATTAAAATCTTTTCAGTAGTTTACGGTTCTTAGTTATTGTAATATATATACAACTGAGAACCATAAACTGAATATATCTTAAGCTGTTCTTATATTAGTGCATTAAATATATAGTAACCAATGAATATCTTACCGTCCAGCTGTGCTGCACAATATGGGGCTTTATTGGAACATGTTGAAACTCCAAAACGCAAGAAGCGCAGTTCAGAGGGGGCGGTGGAGACACCACAGGAAAGCATACTAAAAAGACTGACACAAGAACGGATTGTTGAAATACAGAAGACGCTAGCAGAACTAAACCAGCAGTATGAACAAGTCACGGTAAACTCTTACTGACTCTTATTGTAATAACTGTTACTTCTATATATTTGAAATGTATCTTATGGTGTCTAATGGTGTGTGTGTGTATATGTCCCTTTGGGATTTGGGTATATGACCTACTTCGACAAGAAGCTAGGAACTTCAAATAATACAGTTGAGAGACAAATCAAAACTTCTTTATTCATGTAGGTCTATTACTGACTCTTATGATATGGCAAATCTACCATCAGTTCAGATTGCTTTTGAGCTGGGAACTGACAAGAAAGTCAGCTAGTAATTGTTTACAATAATACAGATTCATTTATAAATTATTAGAAATCTTCTAAAATTCTTGGAATACTAAATTGCCAGTAACATAAATATAACATAGTAAAAAAAATATATTTCAGAATGTCATAACGGAAGCACAAAACCCAGCTACCACAGAAGACCGCCTGCAAGAGATATGGGCGTCAATAGAGGCGGCGAAGCGAGCGAGGGAGCGAGAGAACGCTAGGCGCGCCGCCTGGTTGAAAGAAAGAGAGGAGAAGCGAGCCAGAGCGGACCGAACGTGGCGGCCGCCTCAGCAAACACCCAGCTCTCCAGGTACTAGATTTTTTTTCGTATATAATTGAAATGGCAATACTGTCTGTCTGGATTAATGGTAAGGGTTCATGTATAAATTACGTCACACGTTAGAGGGGACTGGAGGAGGTCCATACAGTGTGACAGTGTCTGCCAAGGGAAGAGAGGGGTCCTAAATGTCGTGACGTCATAAAACATAATTTTATCAAAACCAAATAGTCTAATCAGTGTTCGTAACCCTAACAGACCAGTCCCCACAAGCAGCACCCGTTCACGAGTATGACGGATGAGCCAGCCATCATTGCACTCAACCATAATATAAAACAAAACAATATTTCAATAATACAAAACGCAAGTTGAACTATTAATAATAATATATCAGGACAATTCACACAGCACCATCTAGTCCCAAGTTAAGTAGAGTTTGTATTGTGTGTACTTGACAACAGGTACCTATAAATATATATTTTTTTTGGAAATACAAAAAGTATTGGCCTGTATGTTTTCTATGTATAGTATGTATTTAAAAAAAAAAGTATCTAAGTATTTATATAAGTTGTCTAATACACATAGCACAAGCTCTACTTAACATGGTTAAGATAGCGCTGTGTTAATTGTCTAAAATTATTATTATTACAAATGGCTATTCTATTCTATTTAAAAATGTTGACTACAGCGACAACAGCACCGCCATCATCCCCTCTGCTGACGTCACTGCTGAAATCATCCCCCGTGGTGACAACACCCCAACACATCAGCCACCCCGCCAACGTAGTCGGTGAGTTTATATGCTATTTATAACATTTGTAGCTGAATCACCACCTAATGTCATTTTAGGAATGATCGATACGTATCGATATTTACGAATAGGGATGGGCGAGTTGATGTAGACTAAAATAAAAGTAGTCTATAAATTGCCGTGTTACAATATAATATTGCTGTGTTACAGCAATATTCAGAAATTTGGCCAAAATGTGATGAATGATAATTTGATTTAATCGCGTTATATTATAAAAAACTCTAATTAAAAAGCATAAAAAATCCGTTTTTTTAAAAGTTCCACGAGCTGTATAAATCTTTTTATAAAATAATATTTTTATCCTGGACAATACACACAGCGCCATCTAGTTCCAAGCTAAGCAGAGCTTGTGTTATGAGTAGTAGATAACTGTTTCTTTTTTTGTAAACACATACATAATATACTAGCTTTTGCCCGCGGCTTCGCTCGCGTTAATTTATCCCCTTAGGGGTGGAATTTATCAAAATGCTTTCTTAGGGGATGCTTACGTCATAGTAGCTTTATGCATGCGAAGTCTCAGCCCGATCGGTTTAAAATTGACAAAGTTTCATAAAAACTTACATCCTCTATTTTATCCCCTTGGGGATAGAATTAATCAAAATCCATTCTTAGTGAATGCGTAACATCTACCCGCATGCCAAATTTCGGTCCGATCCGTCCAGTGGTTTGGACTGTGCGTTGTTAGATCACTATGTCAGTCAACTTTATGTTACATATATTTAGATACTCTTATATTATGTATGTATTTAAAAAATATCGAATAATATCTACGAATTGTCTAGTACCCATAATACAAGCTCTGCCTACCAGGGCACTAGATGGCGCTGTATAAATTGTCCAGGATTAATATTACTATAATTATCGAAGTCTGTATTGATGTTTTTCTAATATCGGTCATCCCTAAGTTAATCGTCGTAAGTTCAATCCACACCAGTGCGCTTTTAATTGCGTTTACTTTGTTTGGCTGGTAGCTGATGTAATGAGGAGTAACTTAGGCTACTTTTATTTTAGAAAATAAAGTTAAATAACCACGCGGACGAAGTCGCGGGAACAGCTAGTAATGTTATATAAATATTATTGTAATTTTTTGCATGCCGGAAATGGCAAATGTTTGGAATAATTATAATTTTAAGACCATTATGTACACATGTACCAGTAAATAAATTGAATTGAATGTGAACAGTACTATGGAATACTTGATCCTATTCGTCTACGTGAACTACGCCAATGGCGCGACGCAAGATGAACCTAAAAGAGCACTGGTGTAGATACACTATCATTCGTTAACCATCTTGAGATCATTGTGCTATGTTTTTTATGTTACAATCTTCCTCGCCTTGGTCATGTCATTTTGGTGTCGGCCTTAATATATACATGGGATTTAGTGGGATTAAACAATAGCTTGCTATCTACAAAACTTCCAGTCCAGCTTTTTATAGACATTTTACAGAGTGTAATTTACTTTTCGGCACTTTAAATTGATTAACTTTCGGTTCTATACGAACTTTTTACATAGCACATAGTACATAGTGAATTTTCTGCGCAATTTTTTATCTTTTAGTTCCAGACGAACTTTTACATAGTGTAGTCAATCTTCTGCACTTTCAATTTTTGAACTTTTAGTTCTGAAGATAGATAGATTATTTTATTTGCTTCAACATTTACTACAACAGTACAAATGCATGCAAATTATAATTCATAACAATTACTTTTACAATTACATATGACTTATTTCCTCTTATTAATTGTTTAACCAGTTATTGAATGTTTTTTCTATTTTATTATTTAATTGAATTAGTGCTAATCGATAGTTTGTATTCACACACTTAAACTTAAATTGTAAGTAAGAATAAATTATTTAAAAGAGCAACACACAAGTTATTTGCTCGTTCTTCTTGTGATGAGACAGCTTTCCGAATGAGCGGTACATTAAAAAAAATGTGATGACTATTCAAAAGTGCTTCAATGTAAGTTTATTTGAATAAATGATTAAAAAAGAATTAAATTACATTATAAATAAGAATATTAAATGTCAGGTCAATTCTCACAAAGAGTAACAGCATTTTTTAATGAGCCATTGGTGTAATTTTTTTTAATCAACATGAATTACCTGTTGTATTTTATTATATATTTGTACGGAGCTGAAGTGGGTTAATTTTATGCAAGTTAGTTCTACACGATGGCATTTTAAATTTATTTATTTATACTCTTTATTGCACCAATTACAGAACAAAAAAAAACAATTAAAATAGAAAATATACTGATACAAAATACGGTCTTATCGCTAAGCAATCTCTTCCAGACTACCTTTAGGTGGATAGAGAAATAAAAATAAGAACAGGGTAGGTGGCGCACGTAATAAATAAAAATAAATATATTACTAGCTGTCCCGGCAAACGTTGTTTTGCCTTAAAATAAAGAAAAAAATAGAGGTGGACTACCCCTAACATTTAGGGGGATGAAAAATAGATGTTGGCCGATTCTCAGACCTACTCAATACGCTCACAAAATTTCATGAGAATCGGTCAAGCTGTTTCTGAGGAGTATGGGAACGAAAACTGTGACACGAGAATTTTATATATAAGATGTATCAAATATATATAAATATAAATAATATATATATGTTAATACATATCTACATACATATTAATTTAGTAGGGTCTCTTTGTGTAAGTTTTCTATTATCGTTTATTTTGTCATATATATATAAATGTTTTTTTACAAACATACCTATTTCATAACAGGCAGTAACAATTAACACACCAATTTTTTTTAATAACGGTCTACATGAGTGCAACGTCATACTTTCATACTTTTCTTACAATGGTCCTACCATTGTAAGAAAAGTATGAAAGTATGACCATGTAAGAACGTTCTACCAAGTATGAGAAACTAATAATAAAAAAACAACTATCTCGAATTATGGCGTGACCAGGGGAAATAGGATTATATCTTCTAATATATAAAGTTCTCGTGTCACGATGTTTGTAACAAAATTTCTCCGAAAAGCTTGACCAATTTTTATGAAAATTTATAGTAGTAGTCTGAGAATCGGCTACTATCTATTTTTCACACTCCTAAGTGCTGTTTCACACCCCTGGCATTTTTTTATTATTTAGACATTTTTTTTTTAATTTGGCATTCAAATTAATATATCCAACCCTAAATTTTCATCCTTTTATCAGCAACCCCTATTTTTTAATACCAATATAAATGTATATGACAAAACAGCGTTTGCGGGCTCAACTAGTATGTATATATATCTCTTAACAATAGTCCCCAAAATAGCTCATAATATTAGTAAGATAATAAACAACTAGCTTACCAGCGCAACTTCGTCTGCATTTCATTTCCCCAACTTTTGCAATATTTTTCATTGTAGCTCCGCTCCTATTGGCCGTAATGTAATGTTATATAGCTTAAAGCTTTCCTCGATAAATGGACTATCCAATACAATGCAAACGGTAGGAAAAAATAAATAATGTAAAAACTTGACGTTTATAAGCGGCTAAATTGTCCTACATGAATAAATGATTTTGAATTTTTGAAATTTCAATTTGAACCAGTAGTTCCTGAGACTAGCGCGTTTAAACAAACAAACTCTTCAGTTATAGATAAGTTATTGATAAGGTAAATTAGGGTTTATTAAACTTCATTCACACGTTGCTTCCCTACCCCCCACCCCCCTTAAATCTTCAATAGAGACAATATCACCTTCAGCAACAGCGCCCACGTTGTCGATGCTGCTGGAAAAGTCAGCACCGTCTGGAGCCACGCAGCATGAGAGCAAGCATGCAGCCATCGAGCACATCAAGAGCCAGCTGGTGCAGCTTGAACAGCAGCTCAAGGGTACGTCTCTTGTATTTTTTATAATAATAATAAAACACTCTACACCACCCGAAAGGCTGGCTTTGAATACCTGTAGAACTGTCCGAAAATTCCTATAATAGACGAAAAGGGGTGAAACCGCGTGGGGTCAACCTGACATGGTACAATGTAAAGGGTCATTAGTCCACATTATTAACAACCCCCTTTCTCCTGTCAGTAGAACTGTTCATGTATATAGGCGATAGTTACTACCATCCCCTCCGATCGATCCCTCGTCAAATTCAAGCAGCGATCGAAATTACGACGATCTGAGCCGAGGTTCGAACACCTAGCGGTGCCCTCAGACTAAAGTCGTATCCGTCAGGCGGGAGTTGGCCTGCAGCCGCTCCATAAGTCCTTCCTTTGGTTTGGAGTGCCATCTGCACTCGCCCCTTATCGTCCGGTGAAGCTGTAAAGGCCAGCTGCGGCCAACAGCATTAGAGTAGTCTGGAAAAAAACGTTACCACTTACCATCAGGTCGGCCAACAGACTCTTTTGCCATTCCAATTTCAAATACTTGGGACCAGATGGCGTTGTGTAAATTTTCCTGTGATATTATTATTACTAACTATTGTTGTCTCTCTCCAGCAAGTACAAGTGCATCTCCCGTCCCACTCGCGCAGCCTCCCGCGGCCCCGTCTGTTGATATAGATGATATAGAAATAAAAGCAGAGGATGTATACGCATTTAGAGACATTGATTTGCACATACCACCTGTGACTTCTATGCACAAAGGGAATACACGGTAAGCAAATACAATTTTTTTATTTTATTAACTTATTCAAAATATTTTTTTATTGTGTTTAAATTTTAAGTTATTATAAATAATGTTAATAATACTTACTTCCTTACTAATAATATTTTAAATGCGAAAGTGACTCTGTCAGTCTGTCTGTCAGGCTATTACGACAAAACTACCGAACCGATTTATGTGAAATTTATAGGGTAGAATTTATTAAGAGAAAGGATATAGGCTACTTTATAATGCCTACAGTAAATAACCATAGAAAACGTCAATCTTATTGTATTATATTGTTATTTTTTAATATTTATTTCTTATATAATTTTTCAAACACTAAGATGTTCATGTTTTAGGATTGTTGATAAACCAGTATTCAAGAAAGACGAGGCTGAAATGGCCCTTGAAATGCCCGGTGTCAGCGGTGCTGGGGAACAAATTGAGCAAGTCGTAAAGGTATTTTATATTTATAGCATAGGAGACAAACGAGCATGCGGCTCACCTGATGGTAAGTGATTACCGCCGCCCATGAACACCCGCAACAGCAGGGGAATTGCAAGTGCATGTTTATAATTAGCTGACCCGCACAACGTAGTCCGCATCACACTTACCTGACATTTATCATTATATTTCGCCCAATTTACATAATATCTTTTTAAATTATAACCTATGATTCTGATGTATAAACTATATTACTGTAAAGCTTAATTAAAATCCGTTTAGTAGTTTTTGTGTGAAAGAGTAGCAAACATCCATCCATACTCACAAACTTTCGCGTTAATAATATTAGTAAGATATTTCGCTGCCTTGCCTTTATCCCATTATTTGTGTTTGCAGTATGTCATTCTCCTCCACTGATCTCTATCAGGCCGTCATATCTGAGCATACTTTCCTTTTATTCATATCTTTCACACAATCCATCCATCTTTTTTTCGGTCGTCCTCCGTTTCCATCCATCCACGTTCATATTATACACTCTCTTTAAGACATGATCCTCGCTCCTCCGCATACCATGTCCATACATATCTTATCTATACATCTATACATATAAATAAAATTGGAGTGACTGTTTGTAATATTTAAATAATCGATTTTTACTACAAGCATATGAATATAAATAAGATACATACACCAAAATACATTTTTTACAATCTTTTTTTGTTTGTTCCGGCTAATCTCTGAAATGGCAGGACCGATTTTGACAGAACTTTTTTTGGCATGTAGCTGATGTAATAAGGAGTTAAGCTACTTTTATTTAAAAAAAACTTTTATTCTAGGAAAATAAAGCTAAATTCCACGCGGACAAAGTCGCGGGAACAGCTAGTTAATATTATAAACGCGAAAGTTTGCGAGTATGGATGGATGTTAGTTTGTCTTTCACTGTGTCACGTGGAATAGAATCGAATATTTATTCGTATTTCGTGTATCGGAACATCCCTAGAGTATAGACTCTAGGACTACCAGACTCTAGATCGTTAATGTAGGAAAAAATTAAGGTTTTTTTTCATATTTTAGGAGGAACCTGAATCTACTGAGACTGTTGCTGAAGAAATGGTCACGACAGGAATCGAAGTGGTAACTACATTTTTTTTTATATATAATTGTAACGGTAAAGGGGTTTATGGTAAGTGGTAACCGTCGCTACAACACACAACAGCAACGGACATGATGCTAAAATGTCCAGACATGTGGCGGCGTGGTGGGCCGGGTCATTGGGCTCCCTATAATATGGTCGAGCACAGTGATGGCTACCTCATCCGTCATACTCGAGAACGAGTACTGTTTGATGTAATCACTACGACTAATTTACTCTTATTTAGTTACTCAACCAGTTGGTTGTATAATTAATATTTTTTCTATTTGAGTATTTAATTTAATTAGTACTAATTAATAGTTTGTATTCACACACTTTAACTTAAAAATGTAAGTAATAATAAAATTATTTAAAAGAGCAACACACAAGTTTCTTCCTAGTTTTCTTGTGATGAGACAGCTTTCCGAATGAGCGGTAGATTGAAAAAAATGTGATGACTATTCAAAAGTGCTTCAATGTAAGTTTATTTGAATTAATGATTTTCTATTCTATTCTATTCTATTTGTGTGATGCTATACCTCTTATGTTGCTTTTCTGAAGCACTAAGGTGTCTTACCTCTTATCCTGTTTTTTTTTATTGGAGGGTTTGGGTTATTGTCAGGTGCATGGACCTGTAGCACTGCGACCTATATAGATCTACTAGCTTTTGCCCGCTGCTTCGCTCGCGTTAATTTATCTCCTTAGGGGTGGAATTTATAAAAATCCTTTCTTAGGGGATGCCTACGTTATAGTAGTGCTTTATGCATGCAAACTCTCAGTCCGATAGGTTTAAAATTGACAAACTTTCATACAAACTTTCATCCCCTTGGGGGTAGAATTAATCAAAATCCATTCTTAGCGGAGGATGCCTACGTCATAACATCTACCAGCATGCCAAATTTCAGCCCGTTCCGTCCAGTGGTTTAGGCTGTGCGTTGATAGATCACTACGTCAGTCACCTTTGAGTTATATATATTTAGATACTCTTATATTATGCATGTATTTAAAAAATATCAAAGAATATCTACGAATTTTCTAGTACCCATAACACAAGCTTTGCTTACCATATAGATCACTTATACCATCATCACAGATAGATCACTATGTCAGTCACCTTTGAGTTATAGGTATTTAGATTGTGCTCGCTCTTTTTCAAAGTTCACTACCTAGACTCGTCAGGTACAAGAATTAAAGGATTTGAAGGATATAGACTTTAAGATAGGCCACTGAGGCCGTCAAATACTAACAATTTCGTCTCTTACATCATCAGCCGTCCCAGGAGCCAGCTGTTTCGTCGCCACCGTTGCCGGAAGCAGCGCCGGAGGTCAAAATCTCATTCCCGGAAGTGAAATTCCCCACGCCGGAAATTAAGGTCATACAGCCGGATGAACAGAAGGTACGCACACATTACAAGTATATACAATTGACACAACAATAATTTTTTGTCATTATTGTTGTGTCAATTGTATTTTTTCTATTCTGAAGTTGCATTTTTAAATACGTATTATAAAACTTTAAATAGAAAGTTCGTATGTTTGTCTAAATTCAATACTTTCATCACATAAAAATAGCTAGTATTTCATACATTTAAATGTTTTTAGACTAGATAGATAGAAATTTTTTAACTTTTTGCCACGCACAACCACATTGTGGTATCACCTTCCTGCAATGGTATTTCCGAACCGATACGATATTGAAACCTTCAAGAAAAAAGCTTATTCCTTTTTAAAAGGCCGCCAACGCACGTGCAATTCCTCTGGTGTTGCGGGTGCTCATGGGCGGCGATACTCACCATCAGGTGAGCCGCATGCTCGTTTGTCCCTTGTGTTATAAAAAAAAAGAAAATGGATATACATGGAATGGTTACATATACATATATATACATACAGGTTAAAGAAGAGATAAAAGAACCGGAGGCACCTCCTCCAGACCCTGAGCAGAGTCAGCAAGTAGACGTTGCTGAAGAGGAAGTCTCAATATCGGCAACAGAGGATCAAAGGTATGTTTACAAAGCTACTATATATTATTGACAACCTCGGTGTCCAGTGGTTTAGTACACTTTACTTCCGATGATCACGGGTTCGATTTCTCGCACGGTGCGATATTTAGTATTCATGAGTATGATTATTTGTATCGATCTGAGTTTTTTCTATGTATTTACAAAAAAAAAGAATTTCTATCAGTTTTATCTAGTACCCATAACACAAGCTCTGCTTGGCTTGGGACTAGATGTCGCTGTGTGAAATGTCCATTGTGGTTAAAAAAATCTATGTATTTATATCAGTTGTCTAGTAGGCAAACACAAGCTTTGCTTAGGTTGGGACTAGATGTCGCTGTGTGAAATGTCCATTGTGGTTAAAAAAATCTATGTATTTATATCAGTTGTCTAGTAGGCAAACACAAGCTTTGCTTAGGTTGGGACTAGATGTCGCTGTGTGAAATGTCCATTGTGGTTAAAAAAATCTATGTATTTATATCAGTTGTCTAGTAGGCAAACACAAGCTTTGCTTAGGTTGGGACTAGATGTCGCTGTGTGAAATGTCCATTGTGGTTAAAAAAATCTATGTATTTATATCAGTTGTCTAGTAGGCAAACACAAGCTTTGCTTAGGTTGGGACTAGATGTCGCTGTGTGAAATGTCCATTGTGGTTAAAAAAATCTATGTATTTATATCAGTTGTCTAGTAGGCAAACACAAGCTTTGCTTAGGTTGGGACTAGATGTCGCTGTGTGAAATGTCCATTGTGGTTAAAAAAATCTATGTATTTATATCAGTTGTCTAGTACCCATAACACAAGCTCTGCTTAGGTTGGGACTAGATGTCGCTGTGTGAATTGTCCATTGTGGTTAAAAAAAATCTATGTATTTATATCAGTTGTCTAGTATCCATAACACAAGCTCTGCTTAGGTTGGGACTAGATGTCGCTGTGTGAATTGTCCATTGTGGTTAAAAAAATCTATGTATTTATATCAGTTGTCTAGTACCCATAACACAAGCTCTGCTTAGGTTGGGACTAGATGTCGCTGTGTGAATTGTCCATTGTGGTTAAAAAAATCTATGTATTTATATCAGTTGTCTAGTATCCATAACACAAGCTCTGCTTAGGTTGGGACTAGATGTCGCTGTGTGAATTGTCCATTGTGGTTTAAAAAAATCTATGTATTTATATCAGTTGTCTAGTAGCCATAACACAAGCTCTGCTTAGGTTGGGACTAGATGTCGCTGTGTGAATTGTCCATTGTGGTTAAAAAAATCTATGTATTTATATCAGTTGTCTAGTATCCATAACACAAGCTCTGCTTAGGTTGGGACTAGATGGCGCTGTGTTAATTGTACAGGGTTATTATTATTGTTGTTATTTAACTTGAAAGCGTCAGGTCCGTCAAGGTTTACTACTCAAAATTACTGCCAAGTGATCGAACGCTGTTAGCCGCAGTTGGCCTTTACAGCTTCACCGGAAGATACGGGGCGAGTGCAGTATTTATATCAGTTGTCTAGTACCCATAACACAAGCTCTGCTTGGGTTGACATTGTCCATTGTGGTTAAAAAAATCTCTAAGCGGTATGACTTATGGAGCGGCTGAAGGCCAACTACCGCCTGACGGATAGAACTTTAGTCTGAGGGCACCACTAGGTGATCGAACCTCGGCTCGGGCCGCAATAGTTAATAATAAACAGAATGTTTTGTTTCCGTTAGCGAGCAGTCTGAACCGCAACCGGAAGTGATATCCCCGCGACCGGCAGAACCGGAAACAGTTGAGGAACCTGCTGAAGAGTTGGTGGAAGCCCCTAATCCTGACGACATACCATTGCCTAAGGAACCGCAGCCCGAGATTGAAGAATTATCTGAAGGTGATTGATCTTTTTACACACAACATATATTTATATACATAAACATATAATTATGTAACTTTTATTATTATAACAGTACCATTACCAGAAGAAACTCCGCCGCCGGTGTCGGCAGAATTAAAAGACGACACTGAGGAGCAGCCAGAAGTAGATGACACTCAAGAAGAGAGCAATATACAAGAGCAGACCACAGAAGAGATCAAGAAGGAAGATGATGCTGAAGTAAGTTTTTAGTCCTTCGCAAATTGTCACATACACATGGTCTAGCAGTTTACTACTCCGGCTTTTTCCTGATGGTCGCAGGTTTGATTCTAAATAATTGTTGACCTCTACGCGGACCCTTGGAAACCATCGTGGTAAATTGTCATTTACCAAGAAGGGCTCACTAGTAATTTGTCAAGATGTGCTAACTGACCTTACTTCATGCTTATCTTATCATCCTCAACTGGTGCCCCGCCAGTGGAAACCGTTAGCGCAGGTGGGTGCACCATTCCATTATCATCCATAAAAAAATATCCGCTTTTGGGGAATGCGGATATTTTTTCCCTGCATAGTTTGGAGCCAGATATAGCTGTGTATAGACATTGAGGTATTGACCCTATTATGATTGTTGCCAGGATTCAATACCACTCAAGGATATGATGAAGGAAGTCCAGCCAGCCCAGGACGTGGTGGTGAAGGAAGAGAGACCGGCAGAGGTAGAAGACACACACACAGAAACTGATGATGATACCCCAATGGAGGTGAGATCATACATACATTATGTATGGGTTCATACAAATATTGCATTAGAAAGGAAAAAAAATCTTTCCCTTTACAGTAAAAACAAAAACAAAATTTTTTTTTGTATATATAGAAAGAAAGAAAGAAAGAAAAATATTTTATTTTGTAACAAAAATACAATATATATATATATAAATTGACCTGTCAGTGTTAGTTGCGTTACTTTACCGAAAAGGCTTAACAAATTTTGATGAAATTTTAAATACGCTCAGTAGGTCTGAGAATAGCTTGTTATATTTTTTTTATAACCCTAAGTGAGTATTTAAATTAAAATATAATTTTAATGTAAAATTATTCTTTCAGTTGAGCCGCGAAGAAGAGAAGGACGGTAAAAAGAAGAGAGACTACTCCCGGAAGAAGAAGTCTGATTCTAGAAGTAAGTGACATCATTCTTTTGTTTACTTACTATAGATTTCGTTACAAAATTATCTGCAGTGACTACCAGAAGGCTAGTGTAGACGTGTACATTTGGAATTACTTGTCCTAATAATTATTTATAACATAATGTCGATTTTCATCCCCTATTTTATTTTACCTTTATAGCATTTTTACAAACTTTGTATGTAATGTTTATTTATATTTAATCAACAGTGAGAAAAATAACTTTCAAGCTTCTACCTTTGGAAATTAGCCTAAAAAATAAGTTATAAAAACTTCTAGCTTTAAAAATAACTGTACTTTCATACAATCTTTCATTTCCTCTTTCAACCCCTTACAACCCTTTTGTTTTATTTATATTTAATCAACAGTTTAAACAATAGGTTTCAAGCTTCTACCTTTAAAAATGACGATACCTCTATGAATATAGATATATTGAGTGTGTATTCACCATTGCAGCTTGTTCCGGTTCTGAAAGTGCGGCAGAAGCGAGCGCACCGGACTCGCCGAGCGGAAGTGACGCCGAGCGACAACACCGGCTGTGGAAGAAGTCCGTCATGTTGGTATACAGCAGGTGAGAGGCGGAGACGTTGTAATTTGAATTTTATGTCTATTTATATAAACTTGTTATTTACTTACGAATTGTGGAATCCAGAAGGAAAGGGAAAGACCAACACACAGATATACAGATATATACTATATCAAGAAATTAAGTATGTATACTATCAACCTTACATTGACAACAGCAATATAACACAATACATTTGCTCATAAGTATATTTTTAAGACGCCAAATGATTCGCTTACTAATTACTTTTTCTGAAAAGTTGTTATGTAAGTTTTTTTTATTCTGTATATATTATTGATATTTTTTTTTATTATAGTTACGTCCTTATTTCCATAAACTGAAGGTCCATGCCCTTTTTTGCAATTATTTTTTTAATTCAGTCTTTCTATTATATATTTTTTCACGCCTTCATTGCTCCACGAATAATATACAGTGTGGCTTCCCGCAGTAATTTTTTTTATTTTTCTTTTTTTTCATCTTTTTTATTCTCTTTTGTCTGGTTTTTTTTACTTCTTTTATATAATTGATATTACATACTTCGTCATTTTATATGAAATATTTTATTATTCTCACTCCTGTTGTCAACACGCCAACCAAACCAAGTAAAAAGTTGGAGAAGGCATACGATGTTCTAAATACATTGAATTCCTCAGATTGTGTGCACATAAGTACGCGTCGCTGTTCCTGCGGCCAATCAGTGATGAAGAGGCGCCAGGGTACAGCCTGGTGGTGAAGAGGCCCATGGATCTGACCACCATCAGGCGGCACATAGACGCGGGCACCATACGGTAAACATAGTGGCTGCGATTATTTAAATGACAAACGTGCATGGCAATAGTTGTTCATGCACGGGATTTTCATTTAATATTAGACATAGACACCTATATAACTATAGAATATAAATAAAATGGCTTTAAAAGAAATAAGTTGAGTTTATGTCAGTTCTTCTCAATTAAATCTGTATCTGAAACTTGACGTTCATAAGCGGCTAAAATGTTCTACATGAATAATAATAATAAATCTATTTATTGCCAATATTAGTATAGTAATATAGTTACACATTTATACATATTTATTATGATTGGCAATAGGTACAAACTCAGCTATTGAATAATAAATTATTGATTGATTGATTTAAACCCGAAGCAAATTCTCATTCGAAGAAAAACTCTCCACTGTGCATTATCATTCATGATAACAATATAGTAACATGTATATAATACTGTACTGGCTAATCAGAAATGTAGTTTTTAATCTAAATTCGTATTAAAATTTATATAGTTGTTGTATTGTACATTCTTGTTTATACTTCACTGTTTTGACAATCATTTCCTAATACATATATCTCTGCATTCTAAAAATATTTACCTATAGGTATACATATAAAATAAAACTACAACAATAATGATATTTTTACTATCAGCTCTAATAATAGTGATATCCAATAATTGAATATTTACTAATAGTTTTTATTTATAATTCCAGAACCACGGCGCAGTTCCAACGTGACGTGCTGTTGATGCTGTCAAATGCGCTAATGTACAACAGCAGTGAGCACAGCGTGTACACAATGGCTAAAGAAATGCACGAAGAGGTAATTATAATAAAAGAAAACAAATAAAACATTATTTTTACCGCACCGGTGGTGGGCACATCGCCTTCACTGACGGTCACGGGTTGGATTACTGTATTGTATTATGGACTCTATTCTCGTCTTAGGATTACTGAACAAACATTTGTATTCCTGACTATGATTGTTTATTCTATTCCACACTGGTCCACCATCATATACCTTTAACACGCGGGTGCACCATACAATTATCACACAATAAAAATTACAGGCTCAAGGTCAGCTGGGGATGCTGTTGGCTGCGCAGGCGCACGCAGGACTGTCGTCTCCCCCGCGCCGCAAAAGAAGACGTCCAGCCTCCCCCCACCAGCATCACTCGCGTCCAAGGCACAACTGAACATCAGCCTTATGAATACCTTAGTGTTAAGGAAAATAATGTGAAAGTGTGAGGTAAAAAAAGGTCAAACAATTGTATGCTTCTGTTAGGACATGGGCGTAGCCAGCCATGGGCTCAAAAATTCAAATATCATTTATTAATGTAGGACATTTTAGTCGCATATGAACGTCAAATGTTTTATATTTTTCCCCTACCATCCAGTTCAGCATACAGATCTAGTTGAGAAGAACTGGTAAGAAACTCAAATGAGTTGCTTATTTTAAATTATTCACTAATTATTTTTGGTGTTTTTACACCGTACAAAAATAGAGGCCAGCAGCAGTTCAAGCAACAGCAGTAGAATTTTCTAGAAAAAGATACAAAATAGGAGCAGAAACTATTAACAATGCTCAGTTTTCCTAGTCGGCTGACTCTACACGAATTTGAATAATGGACTCTATATGTAACAGCAATAGACTCATTTTAACAATTAGTCATTTGTCTCTTACCTTCAAAAGTTCGAGAGAAAAGGGCCATTCAAACTTACACAAGTTAAGGGGAGAAAGTGTGACATTAACAAGGCGAGTCTTCCAATAGGATTTTAGATTTTGTGAGCTCACACTTAAATTTTAGTAATAAAACATGTAATTTTAAATTTAAATGTGAGGTAGAAATGACTGAAATTGATGGATGGCCCCAATTAACAATTCAATAACTAAATTATTAAATTTACGCAAGGAGGTATGACCATTATTAAAATATTTCCAACATTTTAAATTTTAGGTAACAATAAAGTTAACATGTAAGTAAGCCTTTTTAGAAAATAAACGATTTTTACTCAAGTTCATTTCTTCTTTTGTCATTTGTATTTCTTAAAAATATAAATACCTGTACTTTATTAATTTTGTGTTAATGTGTTTTATATAAACACTCAAAGATGTGTAATTAATATTAATTACCGATAGTACCACAACCATATTAATAATACAAAATCCTGGCAACATCGGAAACTTTGTCTCCGGGATTAAAAAACAGACTATAGATAGATTGGGATAAAAAAATAAAACACATATTAGCTTTAATATACATTTTACTTATATTTAAAATTATATTACAACCTTTATGTATTTAGGATACCTGCTTAAACCTCGCGGCCCTGTTTACATGGATCGCGAGTAACGTATGGGTATATAAACACAATTGGCGCTTAAACGGTACTAATCCATTGATACACATATGAATAGACCCACGGATATCCGTACATCGGATATCATAATATCCTACACGTCATTATCATACGATTTATGGATATAAATCTATCCCTTACTTTATTCACATATAACATCGATCTGACGGATGTTTTATAAAAATCCGTTGAAATAAATTAATTTATACATTCCATTTATCGTACAGGCGGGAAATATATCGTTTCTCACCATTTGATCTTTGATAACACACAATGTGTGTGTCTTTGTGTGTAACATATATATCGCACACCTAGTATAAACTTTGGAAAATCCACTCTAAATATTTTATTTTAAAGTACAATTTCAATTTTTTAATAATTTTGTAGCTAAGCATACAATACAGGATTAACTAAAAAATACAAACTTTGGAAAATCCACCCTATACTTTTAACTTTAAAGTAAAATTTCAAAAATTTGATAGTTTTGAATGATTCCTACACTACTCGATTAACACAAAAATTACAAACATTGGACAATGGACACAAAAGTCTTAATTTTAAGGGTATAATTTAAAAATAATTTGATGAATATTTTTGAATGAATCATACAATACTGAAGCAACTAAAAAATTACAAACATTGTAAAATTCACACTGTAATTTTAATTTTAAAGTATAATTTGAAATATTTTATAATTTTGGAGCCAATGATACAATATTGGATTAACACAAAAATTACAAACAGTGCAAAAGAAACCCTATACGTGGTTTTATATCTCTCAGTTACTACAATATTGAACTAGGTATGCGATAAGAGTATATATATAAATTGTTACAACCTCAAGCGCATTGGATCCGAATAGAGAAACTACGGTTTGAGTGTGCAAGTAAAAGTAAGCCTTATTTACAAGGGAGCAGACTTGTCCCACATGCGCTTGTGTTTCTGTATATTATATATAAATGTATATATATAATATACATTTTTTTTCTAGTCCTTATTAACAAAGTCAAGTCCAGCTTATACACAAGTCTTTTAAGTAATAAATAACTTAATTATAATACTCGAAACGTATTAAAAATCAAATTGGAGTGTTCTGTCACTTTCTTGCATATGAAGAAGTTAAGTACAGAATAAAGAGATGTATATACATATATATAATATTTTTTATGTCCATTTTAACAAAGTCAAGTCCATAACTTATACATAAGTGTGATAAATTACTTATTTATAAAACTCGAAATGTATTTAAAAATCCAATGAGTGTTCTGTCACTTTCTTGCATATGATAAAGCTAAGTACAGAACAAGGAGACGTATATAAGATGCATTTTTATGTCCGTATTAACAAAGTCAAGTTTATATAGTCTTTTATATTATAATTCACTTATTCATAAAACACAAAACGTATTAAATGATTGATATAACAATCCTTTGGAGTGTTCTAGCACAGGAAGAAAATAGAGAGGTACAGGGCAAATAGATGTGACTAAATATAGATTTATGGTTGGTATTGTACTTGCAACTATGAATAAGTGACATATTCAACTCTTATATTTGTCAAAATTGGGACTAGTTTCTACCGAAAAATTATTATTCACTTTTATTAAATTACTATGAGATTTTTTTAAATAAATAACCTTAGACAAGCCTCTCTATATATTCCCAAACTAACTAGAGTTTGTGATATGACTACTAGTATTGTGTATAAAGATAGAAACACAGTCATAATGAAGACAAAGACGTAAACGGGCGGCCTTATCGTGAAAAAGCGATCTCATTCTGGCAAAATTAGAAAAGAAGTGATTAGATTTGCATATGATAGAGGCGTAAAATATATATGTGTGTGTATGTTTAATATAAAGTATGATAGCAACGATATAAAGAACAAAAAATTATTAATCTAAAAGAAGAACAAACTCAGATCTGAAATTGATATATGAATACTATACGTGTAACAATAATTGGTAATTTACAAATAAATTGGTTTAGTTTATAACAAATATTTGAGCCCAAGAATAAACATATAATAAAATAGTACATACTTTTGATTACTATAAATTAAACAGGATTGGTAATTTAAAAACTTCTAAATCGGATTACAACTAGTTTAGTGCGGACGCTTGCAAGACTGTAAACTATGAAATAAACTATAAACTTTCTTTCGTGAAACCCGGACGTGTGGCAACATGTTTAAAAGTACTAATGGCAAATTGAGATACATACAATGTTTTTTAATTATGGCGTTTTACGGATCTGGATACTAGCTCCTTTTAATAATAATAATAAATAATATACCTGGACAGTTAAGAGATTGCTATCTAGTCCCAAGGTAAGCAGAACTAGTGTTATGGATACTGGACAACTGATATAAATACTTAGATTTCTTTTTAATACATACATAATATACATAGAAAACAGCCAGACCGATACAAACTACTCATGAATTTGTACCGTGCGAGGAATCGAACCCACGAGCATTGGAAGTAAATCGGTGTGCGAAACCGCTAGACCACCGAGGCCGTCATCATCCTTTTTGATCCCATTGTACAATGAAAGTTGCTATTCGTGCTTAAACTTCGTTTTTTTTAATTATAGTTTTGTTTCATACCAACTCCGATGTCCTTAACATCGAGTGGAACTTTAGGCTTGTGTTGCGGTTGTTCGTAGTAATAATCGAATCGTTTGAACGACTCAATGTCTCGTTCTGTTCTATCTAGTGTTGATAGATTGCTGATGCTTCGGTCCGGTTGGTATACGCTGGTTTCTGTAGACAGCGGTACAGTCAGCTCAGTTAGTCAATGTCTGCCGACTGTACAAGAAATTTGTTAGTACATATCTGAACGGAAGATGTGAAAAAACAAATATCTTATATATAAATTTCTCGTACCACAATGTCAGTTACCATACTCCTCCGAAACTATTTTTATGAAATTTTATATGTACTAATAATTTTTATACACCTAAGTGTTAAGGGTGGCTGACCAAAAAACCACCAGAAAAACCAGACCAGAATTTTTTTTTTTTCTTTTCGAGAGAAGGTACAGCGTCAAGTTTCAGAAGTAAAGGGTGGGGTTTTTCAAGAAGGTTACATTAAGATTTGTTAAGGGTCGGCAACGCGCACGTGACACCCCTGGTGTCTCAGGCGTCTATAGGCTACGGTAACCATTTACCACCAGATAATCTGAATGCTTGTTTGCCACCATCGTAGTATAAAAAATATTCGTGGAAACGCAGCTAAATATCACTTGAAAATAAGGTTCAAATTACCATGATGTCGTCCGAGTCCGTGTCGCGTGCCGACGGCCCCGAAGCCTGTGTCGTCGTCCAGCGAGGTGCCGGACGCGCCGGACACTCCGGACAGGCCGGACACGGACGCGCCGGACATGCCCGAAATGCCCGAATCTCCGGTCGGCGAACCGGTGCCGGACCCTATATATATTGGTGGAGGATTGTTAGTAATGTGAATTTAAAATTTAATCTATTCTAAAACTCCAGGTCAATTATTATCCTTACATGATGGTTTTTTAACCAAGAATTAACGACTATGTTATCCAGCGGACTGCGTGGATGTCGTCCTGACATAATACATTATTACAAACTAGGTAACTAGTTCACATGACTAAATATTCAAAGGGGAAAAGAGGATTGTTAGTAATGTGGACTAACCTAACTAACTTATGTGGAATAACCTCATATGTATGTACCATTATCAGGTTGTATTATGCGGTTTCTTCTGGAAACCATCGTGGTAAATTGCCATTTGCCAACATGGGCTGACTGACCTGACCTCATGCTCATATTATCATCCTCCACTGGTGCTCCGCCAGCGTAAACCGTTAGCGCAGGCGAAAACACAATCCATTATCACCTATAATAAAACTATAAAAAACTACAACTATAAAAACTTCACCGGACGATAGGGGGCGAGTGCAGATGGCACTCCAAACCAAAGGAAGGACTTATGGAGTGGCTGAAGGCCAACTCCAAGGCCTGACGGATACAACTTTAGTCTGAGGGCACTGCTAGGGTTCGAGCCTCGGCTATGGTCGATGTAAATTCGATCTCCATTTGAACGACGGATCGATCGAGGAGGAAGCTTGAGTTATAGATTACAGATACTATACAACTGTAAGAATTATTTAAATACATTTTTAAAGTCACGATCCCGAATATAATTAAAAATTAATAACTGCACCCCGACCGATACGAACGATTATTCTCGTAAGAATACAATTGTTCGCATCGTGCGAGGAATCGAACTTATGATCGTCTGAAATAAAACGGCGTGGTACACCGTAGTCGAGTCACAACGCGAGTTTCAAGGCGTTTGTGTCCCAGTCCCCACCAACACGCTGCCCACCTTCATGAAAGAGGACTACTGGCCGAAGGGTGTGGTGTATCAGCGCTACCGTGGCATATTGCCGTCGACAGTACCGTGACCACAGGGATTACGATTTTAATAATAGTTGTTGTCAAAAACACTGATTGTGGTGTATCGGCGCTACCGTGGCAGATTGCCGTCGACAGTACCGTACCACACAGACTATAGTATATTAAATATTAGTTTTATAATATTAATTCATATGTATGTTAGTCTATAATGTATTTATAATATGGGCCTAGTTGCCTAAAATAAATAAATAAATAGACTGCTAGACCGTAGGCTGTCAATAGAAATAGCATTACCGTGCGTAGTAGCTCGTGACATGTGGTGCAGTGGCGGCTGCACGGGCCCTACAGGTCCCACGGGCCCCATGGACATCCCCTGCATCGACTGCATCGGCTGTATCGGCTGCATCGGGTGCATCTGATGGCCTGGATGTGAGTACAGCGCGTCAGGCCACGCGCCGCTGTACTGTGCTTCCGGGTCCTGTTTGTTTATTTGTTTGAATTAGTGCTAGTTGGTAGCTTGTATTTTGCTTTACATTTCGTCGTAATGTGTGAACATTACGACGAAATGTAAATTACAACTAAATTATTTAAAAGAGCAATTTCTGGCACGTTCTTGTGATGAGGCTCCTTTCCAAATGAGCAGTTTCCGAAAGGTATAAAAAGTATCATCATAACAGAATTCAGGTAATTCTGGTATGATACTTTTTACTACAATAAATAATAATCCTGGACAATTCCTACAACGCCATCTAGTCCCAAGGTAAGCAGAGATTGTATTATGGGTACTTGACAACTGATATGAATACTAATATATATATATATATTTGTAAATACATACATAAATACCCCGACCAATATAAACAATCATACTAATGAATACAAAAGTTTGTACCGTATGAGGAATCGAAGCCGCGACCATCGAAAGTAAGACGGCTTGATAAACCACTAGATAAATAAATCTTGTATAGAAAAAGTTACACTTACTTGTCCTTTATAAAATTTTGATTCAGTGACGTGGTGAATGGTAACTTCGTTGTTCAGTTTGGATCCAACGCGCAGTCTTTGGAAATATGGTAGTTGGTCACCATTAGCCATATGGTTGGGTCCAACATCATCCATCTTCCCAATATTTGGACCAACATCATTTTTCTCATTAAACAGTGCACTTCTAAAGACATTTCTATTCTCTTGTCCGAATGGAGTGTATAGACCTCCACTGAAATCGTTGTCTTCTCGTTTCAATGGAGTGCCAATTGGTTCAGGGCGTTGTATTGGATTTGCAAATAATGAATCGTTTGATTCAAACCTTGGCTCATTGTTGGGTCTTGTTCCAATTGGATTTGGTGACACAGTTGGCTTCGGACTCTGATTGTCCACATAGTACTCCGGAGTGAGAAAGCTTCGTTGCTGATTCTCCTCAGTCGGTTTAAACAATGAATACCCTTCATCATTCTTCTGGGTAAATGATGCCAAATTCATTATTCTGTTCTGGAATTCTGAGTCTTGGGTTTTTGGGGATGCTCTTGGGTCTACGTAGGGTTGTTGCACGGGGTAATTCGGGTTTACGTAGTTGTACTGGGGTTGATACATGTTTGGAGCTTGGGGTCTCATGCCCATAAGGCTTTGCTGATGCATAATCGACATCAACGGGTTCCTTATGGTGTACATTCCGTTAGAGGTAGGTGTTATGGTTGCTTGGCAAGCGTTTGGCGGCATAGGAATCGGGTCGGGGATTCGAATCTCGGCCTTCTTCTGCGGTGGGGCATTGCTTATCTGAACCGGTGGGAGATTCGGGTGGAACATTGGGTTCCGTAGAGTGACCATTTTTGTGTCTTGTTTCGGTTCTTCAGCAGCGGCCGCGGCGGCTTTCTTCGCCTTCTTCTTTGCTTTCTTCGATTTTCCTATCACTTGTGGCAACGGTTCAGGAATTACTATTGCTTTAGGCGGTTCTGTGAAACGATGAAAGAATATATATTTTACACAATGTTTAATTTTTTTTTTAATATATATTTTTTCCTAGAACAATTCATAGCGTCATCTTGTCCAAAGCTGAGACGGCCTTGTGTTAAAGGTACTAGATAACTGATATAAAATATATAGACACAGTTTTTTTTTGTAAATACTTAACATACATAGAAAACACCCAGACAATACAAATACAAATTATTATACTCATGAATACAAATATTTGTACCGTGCGAGGTATCGAATTCGCCACCAAATGCGGTATGCTAAACCGGTAGACTACCAAGGCCGTCATATATAAACGAATAGTCATATGATAACGTGACGCCCCTTATATGATGATGCGTTGTCACTTTTCAGAACTAGGAGCATCATCAGCGAGGGGTCTGTATGTATGTATGTATCGAGCGACGGGTACGTACCGGGCTGCGAGAACATCATCAGCGAGGGGTCTGCATTGATGACGGGCGCGGGTCGCTGTACCGGTGTTGGTGGGGCTGCCAGCTGGCTGCAGCGCCACGCCGGCTGTAATCATCAGACCATCATCACAATACCATATTACGATATAAATGATCATAACGATGGTTATAACACACGAGTCGAAATTTCAAAATACATATTTTTATTTTATTTATTTATATAACTTCAATGCACAAAATACCAAGGTAAAAGTACATATGGCGGACTTAACGCCTTAAGGCATTTTCTACCAGTCAACCATAGGCTGTGCAGAGAAAAACAGTACATACAACATATCTACACAATAAATTCATTTTTTTATAATCATATCAAATCAAAAATCATTTATTCGAGTAGGAAATTTTAGCCGCTTATTTACGTAATTATTTTTTATATTCAATAATTTTTCATATTATCTCAATGTTATAATTTATAAGAATCTGTTAATTTTAATAATGTATAAATTAAATTAGATTATTTCAAACATCCGTTAAATAATATTTATTGAGCAACACCTGTATCACACTAAGCGATTCCTTAAATGACAACCGAGCCATCACTGTAAACGTGCACTGTGTTTAACAACCTCTAATCTAGGTACATAGGGAGGCAGGGTATTGTTAGTAATGGGAACTAGTAACTCCCATTGCTACCAATGTACTATGTTAGGTCGACCTCCACGCGGTTCCCCCTGGATAAATTCCTGGTGAATTTGTCACGATGGGCTAACTGACCTGACCTCATGTTCCTCCACTGGTGCCCCGCCAGCGTAAACCAATAGCGCAGGCTCGTGCACCATTCCATTATCTTTCACAATAAAAACCTAGGTACGTATATATATACTTACCACTGATTTGATGGACGGTGGGTCCTTTTTCTCAGCGGGTTGGACGCGAGTCAGCGTAATGCCGGGTGGTAACTTCAAATCCGCCACCTACAAATACAATATTAATCTATTTAACTATATCACATCAAATTACAAAGGTTCATAATCTGCTTCTTTCTTATCCCATTTATTTGTGGTCGTCGTAATATGTTTTTCTCTTCCATTCATCCCTGTTCGCAGTCATCTCGTTATTTACTCCCTTTCTCACCATATCATCTTTCACACAGTCCATCCATTTCGTTTTCGGTCTTCCTCTTATTTAACTAAATTACGAAGGTTATTTGTTTTATAATAGAAAGGCAGTCTACGTTTTAGTTATATAAATATATGTCAATACGAAAATTACTATTTTCATACAATAACTGTACACATTAATACCTATAGTTAATTAATTTTGTATTAATCCGTTTTAAATAAACATCCACATATTATTACTGAATAATACATAAAAATACAACTACAAAATTAACTAAATCAAAATATATTTATTCATGTAGGTCTATTACAGACTCTTAAGATATGTCAAATCTACCGTCAGTTTGGAGTGATTTCGAGATGAGTAGAACTGACAAGAAACTCAGCTCGTATTCTTTTCAAATACATGTTTACAATAATACATTTTTATATACAAATTTGAGGAGATTAGAATGACCACCAGGCGAATCGGTAATTAATATTAATTTCTGATAGTAGCACAACCCTATTTAAAAATTGCCAAAAGCTGGCAACATAGATAATGTGGAAGTCCCCGAAATAAAAAAAACAGATATATATGTGATTATATCTAATAACCTTAAGAGGCCTTTCACATTTTTTGGCCTAAAAGCAGTGTCTTTGGGGTTCTGGTTCTAAGAAATTAAGAGTCGGATATACATTTTGATTCCTGAATTATATAGATAGATATCTAATCTTAAAAACAACATCTTTGAAATGTTAATTTTCTCTTTGTTAGTCTTCCTAATTTCTAAAATAGTTTATTCAAAAACGCTAAGAGACAGAAGTTTGGGGTCGTCGTTCATTAATAAACAAACATAAATTGATATGATATTTGTACTAAAACTTGATAATTACTTTATAAATTGAGACAGCATCGTCCTTTTTTTCATTTTCAACTTAAATATCAAAAAAATTGATCATAATGAAACCCGAAATTTCAACAAAACTTTGCCATAATCATTTCTAATTTTCTCATAAATACAACGAAATTTTTGCATAAAAAAAACATAATAATAAAGTTAATATACTTGTAAATTAGAAATATAAAAAAAATATATAAGTTTCTAAGAAAAAAATAAACAATAATAATAATTTAAAGTTGTATAAATTCCGTTGCGCCAAAAGTAAATTCTCAGTGGCGCGCTAGCGCTCGTCGAGGTAGGACCTATGCCATTTTTTACAACACCGCTAAGATAAGACATTCGTCAGTGAACATTAGTATAGAGCGACTAAACCATTTTGATAATTTAAGTAATATTTAATTAATTTTGCTAATATATACTTATTTCTACGAATATTAATTTAAAGTTGTTGTTAAATATATATATATATATATAATAATAATATTTATTTTAGCATGCCAAGACAAAAGTACAGTTATGCTACAAATAAAACCTACCTACCCTGCTGGACTATGAAAAGCACAAGAGCATGGTATTTCGTCACACTAATGGCAATTAATTGTTAAAATTAAAAAAGAGAACATTTTAGTATTTTAAAAAATAACGCTTATCTGAGACAAAAATGTAAGAAAATGTAAACCAATTTTACTCTATGTTTATTTTGTAGTTTTTTTCTAAATTAAAATAGGGTTATTGTTTATAAAAATACCATTATTATTTTTACGTACATTTGTCTTGTGTTATATAGTGTATATCATCTAGTATGCAATGTGGATTGTAAATAAATTACCAAATTATATATAAATTATATTCCTTAATGTTTAGAGATATTTTATCCAATTTTATTTTATTTTACACAATACAGATATTTCTAAATTGCAGCTATTCTGTTATTATACTCGTTGGACTTTCATTACTGTACAGTTATGTCAAATAATTATGCGTGTTTGGGTGAAAAGTCAACAACATTATAAATGTTTTTATTTAGAGACTAGCTTTTAGCTCGCGGCTTCGCCCGCGTGAATATGGGATATATAGGTTATCGCGCGTTTAAAGATCCGTGTACAGTATTGGGACGTTATATATAAACCTTCCTCTTGAGTCTATCTATTCTGTCTATTAAATAACAACGAATCAAAATCTGCGTAGTTTTTTAAGATCAAAACATACATAGATCTATTACATGTGTAGATGATATTTTAACCGGAAATTGAAGCCGTTAAAATGGTATTGGCAGATCAGTTGGAATCATCGGTATTCTTGGTATATAAGCTTCAATTCTTTAGTAAGCAATATATCCAATGGGACGCCATTGCACATGTTCGGCGGGCTTAAATTTCATGACTGGATCATGCTTTTGAGAAATTCCTTCCTCAAGTTTGAGCATTTAGTGTGGGAAATCACTATCTGTGCTTCCATAAAAATGAGCTCTCAAATTTGTCAGTAGTTTTAAACTTTCAATTAAAGTCCATAAGGGAGACGATGTTAATGACACAGAGAGTCTTTCAGAAATCTCCAGCAAAAGTATAAAAGTAATCCCGCCAATGAGAGCAGAGGTGTTTCTAAGGTCTTTTAAGGTTCTGTCCAAAATCTCTATAGCTCATGGTGATTTCATTACATATAATCAATGAGGCGTCTTATAATAATTTATAAAAAGGTTTGACATTAACAATTAATTATTTATCAAGAATCAAGAATCGGCCAACCAAGAACGAGAAGCTGCAATATCAGCCAATATCATGCGGCGACGTCAATGATGCAGGAACAGCAATGATAGCAGTTGAAGCTTTTTTTTTACAATTTAGAAAGGAAAACAAGCTGACGGCTCTCCTGATGGAAAGGGGTAACCGTCGCCTATATACATGAGCAGTACCTGCCATGTTCATATCAGCACATTGTTTCCCTCATGCGTTACCATTCCTGAAAACTCGGGTGTTATTCCCCTGTACCTTGTAAATTCACTACCATATATATACACAGGTAGTCTATATAGATAGATATACATATACACAGATAGTATACCCTGAGAAAGGTCATAGACTACTTTATAGTGCGAAAAAAGTATTGTAAGGGATTAATATAGATGAAAGGTTGTATCGTCATTGTTTAATTGAAACAAAGAAACTTTTTTAGGTTATAATCTAAATATATTTCCTTTATTTGGTCAATTTCATTATACCACGCTGACGAAGTCGCGGACACACCTAATATACATATAAAGATGGGACCTTTAAATCAAAACAAAGCCTTGAAAACAGAACTATTATATATAAATAAAATAATTATTTGCTAAGTATAATATTTAGAACAAGTGAATATGGCAATAATGTATCCGACTCTTATAATAAATTATATTGTATCTATTAATAAATAAACTGAATTAATATGTAAGAAGAATTAATTAGTAAATTTATGTTATAGTAATTTCATCTTCCTGTCCTTATCCCAATTATTTGTTACTCATATTACTTAAGGTTTTGGCTTTTAGTTGTACAATCGGCCAGCATCCTGACATCAACCCTCTAGGAATAATATAATAAAAAAATATGGTCATTATTAGCACTTTGATAATTAAGATAAATCACGTTATTTAAAAAAATCCAATAAGTAGTCTCAGTTAAGTAGAAACATATCACATTATTAATTAAAATATTACAAGGATCAAAATGGTTCATACTAAATCCACACCGATTGAGCTACACGGTTATTTGCGTCTGTGTGCGTGTATTACTGTATGTGTGCGTAAATCCATGCGATTAAACCTAAAGTTGAGCGGCATCATTTTGTAATAGTCCTCTTAACACTTCAGGGCGAGCTTGGTGGTCTAGCGGTTTAGCATATTGTCTTACTATCAACGGTCGCGCGTTCGATTCCTCTCACGATACAAACATTTGTATTCATTACTATAATTGTTTTGGTTTGGGTTGTTATCTATGTATATTATGTATGTATGTATGTTGCCACTAGATGGCGTTGTGTGAATTGTCCTGGGTTATTTTTTTATCATACCTGGACTCCGCAACTCAGTTGCTCCATGATACTGCATGACGGTGGCTTCTCAGGTTCATTGCTCGATTGGTTCTGAAAGTTATATCAATTTTAACTAGCGACTCAACTCGGCTTTGCTGGGGGGAAGGGGATTGTTAGTAATGTGGACTGATGCCCTCATTGCTAGCAATGTACCGTGCCTGTTTGACCTCCGCGTGGTTCCCTCTGAAACCATGATGATAAATTCTGACCCGACTTCACACTCATCCTATATCCTCCACCCCTCCGATCGATCCCCAGTCCAATTCAAATGGGGATCGAAATTACGACGGCCTGAGCCGATGTTCGAGACCCTAACGGTGCCCTCAAACTAAAGTCGTATACGGGAGTTGGCCTTCAGCTGCTCCATACGTCCTTTTGGTTTGGAGTGTCATCTGCACTCGCTCCTTACGGTGAAGCTGTAAAGGCCAGCTGCGGCCAACAGCAAGTAAGAAAAAAAATAAAAAGGGTATATTCTCCACTGGTGCCCCGCCAGCGTAAACCGTTAGCGCAGACACCGTTCAAATATCGTACCTTAAAAAAAATACCACTTTCCTTGTATCTACATGTACCTATACTCTATATAACGGAAGTCCTATAACTATATGTATATATCATACATATGGCCTCAGTGATTTGGCGGTTTCGCATGCAGTAATTCCGATGGTTGCGGGTTCGATTCCTCGCACGGTCTATACAAGCATTTGTGTTCATGAGTAAGATTGTTTGTATTGATTTGGGTGTTTCCATGTATATTACGTATGCATTTACAAAAATAAATGTATTTATGTATTTGTATCAGTTATCTAGTAACCATAACATAAACTCTGTTTAGTTTCAGGGTAGTTGATACCGCGGGATATCTTATATATATAACTCAAACGTGACTGACGTAGTGATCTATCAACGCACAGCCCAAACCACTGGACGGATCGGGCTGAAATTTGGCATGCAGGTAGATGTTATGACGTAGGCATCCGCTAAGAAAGAATTTTGATAAATTCCACCCCTAAGGGGATAAATTAACGCGAGCGAAGCCGCGGGCAAAAGCTAGTTATTACATAAACCATCTGGAAGAAATTGTACGTAGTTTAAATTATTCAATCGTACGTAGCTTCTAGAATTCAAACATACGAAACAAAGTATATAGTAATGTTAGAACGAGCTCATAGAAAATTTGCTCGATACTTATACCATAAACTGTATGGCTATTATCCGTTTTTATACCCGTCACTATTTGTGTGCAGTGTGGTCGGTATGAACACGTTGGAGGTAAGGCGAAAGTGCAATCTGATGGTGCACTATTATATGCTGCTGAATGGGAGAATAGATAATCCGACAACCCTGAGTCGTTCTTCCTTATATGATCCACAGCGGTACCTGCGACTACGCACGTGTCGATTAGCACCACATGTTCGCACGTGCACTTCCCAGTTTGCTCCCACTTATCAAGCTATCGCGCTGCTCAATACCTTGGTTTCGGAGCGGCCAGAGGTCGATATTTTCCACGACAATATTAATAAGTTTATTGAGTGTTGTTTGTTGTTTTTATTTTTATTTTATTTAACTTTAATGCACAAAAACAACGTGTACATATGACTTTACACCATGCGGCGTTATCTAGTCAACCATGAGTGGTGCAGAGAAAGATTGTTGGCGGTGCACTAATATAAATGAGAAATGTCAAAAATGAGATATATAAATATAAAGAAAAATATTTTAAATATAAATTTCAATAAAAAATAATAATAATAAACATACATAAATATATGTATAAATATAAACATAGATATATAAATATATATAAATAAACACATGATGATCTGATAATCAAATTATAAGTACAGCCTCAAAGTGAAAGTAATTTAAAAAAATATATAGAGAGAACTATAGGGAAATAACAGAAAGATGTGTAAAAGGTAGAAATAGTAAAAAAGTTACAAAGTTAAATAATGTTCCCGCAATTTCTGTTTAAACGAAATTTTACTCGTGGCGGTCTTGATATAAAGAAGTGTAAGTCATTCCAGAGTTTGATTGCCTGAACGGCGAAAGAATAATGGATGAAGCCGGATAAATGAGCCGGGATATGAAGTAAGAATCTGGTAGTCCGTAGAGAGCGATTGGTATTGTCCCCATGTTCATGTAATTACGTTATTCGTTATGTTATATCATTGGCTCACTACACGCTTTGTTTTATCTGCAAGTGTGGTATCTTATCTTAAATAAATAAATAAATGACATTGAAAAAAATTCAAAATATGTTTAGAAGAGGGCTTAAATGATACTTAAGAACAGTTTCCTTTTTTACATCGGTGACATAAAATGTGTGTATTACACTAACATCGAACCGGCGACCGTTCTGAAGTAAGACAATATAACCGCTAGACCACCGAGGCCGTCATCAAAGTGTGTGTAGAAACTGTACTGACCTTCTTATTGACCACCTCTATTGTTGTGTCCGGCGTGATGTTAATCACTTGGGACTTTTGTTGCTGTTGTTGTTCCTTCTTCTTCTCTTTCTTGTTGTTCTGTTGTTGGGGCTGCTTGTTCGGTTTGGTCGGAGCTGGCGCTGCAACTATATATATAGAGATAATACAGAAACTTATTGAGATGCGATCTTAAAGATCAGATTTGCACTCTTTGTAACGATATTCCCGAAACTTGACCGATCGAGACCAAAATTTCATCGAAGGTCGACCTTCGGGCCTCCATCGTTTACCACTCAAAGAAATCCCGATCGGTCAAGATCGAGTTTTTAATAATTAACGCGCTCCGCTCAGCATGTGACCTAGCGTGTAAACAACACATCGGTAACACGGTAACAAATCTAATATAACCTACAAGTTAGGACAGAGAATTCCCTATAAAACTGTTTTTATCTGCAAACCGATTGGAATTAAATTGACACTACCTAAGTAAAACCTACCACAAAAACCTCCAATTTGGTTAACCCGTTTATGATATCAGCGCGCACAAACGCACAGACAAGACAAAAACAATTGTAACAATTGCAGACGCGAGCTAAGTTGTACGGGTTGCAATTACAAATGGGAAATAATCGCACATATATATAGAATTGTTTATTATTAAAAATGTTGTTGCAACTAACATCAAGTACTGGGGAGAGATACACAACGAGGAGAGAAAAAAAGTGAGATGAAGCTGGGCCCATAACCTATTTGAAATAAAGATCTCAGCAATTTTTCTACTATCGATGTATAAACTATTATCATTTCAATATATTTTAGTACTTTAGTATGTCCAATTAACATAATAACTTTTTAAATTATTGCGTTATTCTGATGCCTATACTATATTACTGTAAAGTTTCTTCAAAATACCTTCAGTAGTTTTTTTGTGAAAGAATAACAAACATGTCTGTCCATACAAACTTCGTGTTCATAATATCACTAACTAGGTACTCGCCCCGGCTTCGCACGGCTGTACATGTATTATACATATAAACCTTCCTCTTGAATCACTCTATCTATTAAAATAAACCGCTTCAAAATCCGTTGCGTAGTTATAAAGATTTACGCATACATAGGGACGGCCAGACAGCGACAGCGGCTTTGTTTTATACTATGTAATGATATTTTCTCTATTGCGTAATTCTCTATTTACAATAGAAGATAACGAAATATTATTAATAACCTACTATATAACCTTTTTTTATGAATGTGGTAAAAAAACGATCCACTTAACGTTTAATGGTAACTAAATAAAGCAAGTATATAAATATATCTCACCAGTCTTCTCCTGTTTGTTCTCTTTCCCTTTCTTCTGTTCCTTCTCTTGTTTCTTTTCTTTCTTTTCCTCTTTCTTTACGGGCTCCTTTTTATTATCTGCTTTTTTGTTATCTATCTTTTTATCAGTCTTCTTGACGGGCTCGGGCTTGGGTGGTTCTTGTTTTTTCACCTCCTTTTTACTCTTGGCTTCTTTTAGCTGCCTCTTTCTTTCTTCTTCTTCCGCCTTTAATAAAATGTTTAGTTTTTATATAGGGTCGATTATATATTATCGATTGCATAATATTAAAATGTATACTAAACTAGCCGTGCCCGCGGTTTTACCTGCGTGAGATTTATAGCCGATATGTCATTCTGATGTATAAGCTATATTACTAAAAATAAATTATATAATATTCATAATTAGTAAAATTTTATCAATATCCGTTCAGTAGTTTCATCCATACTCACAAACTTTCGCGTTTATAACATTAATAAGATCTTCACGACTGCTTTCATAAATGGGGTAGGCAAAGATATCGTCAAGTGTTGTAATTATGGTGAACGCAACACTTGACATGCCTAATACCTACTCAAGATATCAATTAATAACATAAAAAAATACACTTAAGGACAAAGAACGGCAGAGAAAAAATGTGAGGAGACACTGGGCCCATAACCTACTGAAAATAGAGATGTATAAACCATTATCATTTTAATACTAGCTGACCGCCGCAACTTCGTCTGGATCACGCTTGCTTGACATTATATATATTTCGCGCTATCACATTTTTTTATTTTTTTATATTGGGTTGTTTGGGCTATTGTCAGATACCTGCACCTGTAGCACTGCGACCTACATAGATCTATTGTGCTCGCCCTTTTTCAAAGTTTGCTACCTAGACCCGTCAGGGACAAGAATTAAAGGATATTCTTAGGAGCGATGGTTTTTATCTCCTCGGGAAAGAGTGTAAACTTTCTAAGGGAGATATATCGTTTATGCATGAGGTATTACATTACATATTACATAATATCCTATATCCATAAATCGCTATTACATAATATCCTTTTAAATTATGGTCTGTCTTTGTCTGATGTATATGCTATATTACTGTAAAGATTCACTAAAATCTGTTCAATAGTTTTTGAGTGAATGAGTAAGATTCATCCATCCATCCATAACATACTCACAAACTTTTGGATTTATAATATTAGTAAGATACATATATACCTGTTGTTTCGCTAACAGCTTCCTCTGTTTCTTGGATAGTTGCTGTACAGGTTCCGGCGCCGGTGGCGGTTGACTCTTCGGCTGCACTTTGACCTTGGGAGCCGCCTTCTGTTGTACTTCTTTCTGCTTCTTCTATTTAGATAAATCTATATATTAATATGGGGGTTTTCTTGAATTCCTTTTGTATCCTTTTTTAAGAAAATGACGCGGATAGTAGAGTTAGAAATGTGACATACTTAAGGGTTTTTATTTTGTTACTTTAGAATCTAAAAATGAATCTGTATTTATGTACAAGCTTTTTTGAATAGAATACGAGCTGAGTTTCTTGTTAGTTTTTCTCATCTCGAAATCATTCCGAAGTTACGGTAGATTTGACATATCATAAGAGTATGTAATAGACCTACATGAAGTAATACCTTTTCTTTATTAGTTCCTTTGGCCAGCTGGTTGATATGAGCTAGCGCCTGCTCCCAGGTTTGCTTGCGTTGATTCTCCGCTGGTTTCTGAGGTGGTGGCTTATCGTCGCGAACGTTTAATTCTGTGAATACATTATTAATTACTTAAAAATATCCAAAACCTGCAAGGATTTAATTACACGACCTCGGTGGTCTAGAAGTTCAGCATACCGCTTTACTTTCGATAATCGCGGGTTCGATTCCTCGCACGATGAAAACATTTGTATTCATATGAGCGTTTGTATTGGTTTGGATTTTTTATATGTATATTTTTTAATGTATGATAATGAAATAGTGCATGCACCTGTGCTAACGGTTTCCGTTGCTGCATCTTCACCAGTGTAAGATGATAGGATAAACATGAGATCAGGTCAGTTAGCACATTGTGACAAATTCATCAGGAATTTATCCTGCTGGTTTCCAAGAGGAACATTACATTATGTATGCACTTACAAAAGAACTGTATCAAGTATTTGTAACAGTTATCTAGTATCCATAACACAAGCTCTGCTTAGCTTGGGACTAGATGATATTGTCTTAGTTTTGTACAAATTCTCACACATTATTTATATAGACGAGTGGAGAATGCTATTTTTTTAAATTATGCATAATGTTCAATATTGTCTAGTTAACGAATCAAGGTTTGTTCACGTGCTGTTATCAAACTAATCTATATGAAGCAAGTCTTTGACAATAGAGTCTTGATACGGTTCTAACTTATAATGTCGACTTCGAAAGCGGTGGCTGCGACCGATGTCCGGCGTGTCCGAGGTGTCCTGCCAGGGTGTGTGAGTGACCGGTGACCTTGATGATGTCAAGCGGTGGCTGCGACCGGTGTCCGGCGTGTCCGGGTTGTCCTGCCAGGGTGTGGCGGCCAGTGACCGCCAGTTTCCACTGACCTTGCAGTAGATGTGAGAGCGGCGGCTGCGACCGGTGTCCGGCGTGTCCGGGTTGTCCTGCCAGGGTGTGGCGGCCAGTGACCGCCAGTTTCCACTGACCTTGCAGTAGATGTGAGAGCGGCGGCTGCGACCGGTGTCCGGCGTGTCCGGGTTGTCCTGCCAGGGTGTGGCGGCCAGTAACCGACAGTTTCCACTGACCTTACAGTAAATGTGAGAGGGGCGGCTGCGACCGCTGTCCGGCGTGTCCGGGGTGTCCTTCCAGGGTGTGGCGGCCAGTGACCGACAGTTTCCACTGACCTTGCAGTAGATGTGAGAGCGGCGGCTGCAACCGGTGTCCGGCGTGTCCGGGGTGTCCTTCCAGGGTGTGGCGGCCAGTGACCGACAGTTTCCACTGACCTTGCAGTAGATGTGAGAGCGGCGGCTGCGACCGGTGTCCGACGTGTCCGGGGTGTCCTGCCAGGGTGTGGCGGCCAGTGACCGACAGTTTCCACTGACCTTGCAGTAGATGTGAGAGCGGCGGCTGCGACCGGTGTCCGGCGTGTCCGGGGTGTCCTGCCAGGGTGTGGCGGCCAGTGACCGACAGTTTCCACTGACCTTGCAGTAGATGTGAGAGCGGCGGCTGCGACCGGTGTCCGGCGTGTCCGTCGTGTCCGGGCATTGTGAGGGTGACAGCGCCGTCGCAGGCCGACCGCCGGACGCACACCATACCGGGACAGTTCCTTGCGCCTGGAGAAGTACATACAATGGACGAATAATGCTAGTTTATTTATAGACTCACCTGCACGAATAGTATAATAATAAAAGTAGAAATAATAATAATAATAGTATAATAATGACAATAATATCCCTATTTAATCTATAATATTAAAATGAATCGCTGAATGTGTTACTAAAAGGAAATCTCGAGAACAGCTAAACCGTTTGTGCTAATTCTTTTATTAGAATATTCCTCGAAGTATAGATGGTGGACGTAGAGAAAAATTTTTAAAATTCCTTGAAAATGTGTAAAGACAATATTTTTTCTATACTTCCACACAAACTGAAAAAATACCTGTATGGTAAATTGACTTTTAAGTATTATTGCGAATCGTTTGTGTGGAAGTACGTTATAAAATTCAAGTGTTAGTGGAGAGGTTCTGGGATTATATGTATAATACATGCATGTTGATGTATAGAACAAGCCGAGAAATTCAAAGATTTTTAATCCACTTGGGCGAAAAAGGGGCGGGTCGTTAATTAAAAAAAAATAACCTCTTTTCCTCGTTATGACACTAAATGCTATATATTATATTTTATCTTAAAAAGCAGTCAGTAAATAATGAAATACACTCACTAATGAAAGAAGCCTGCTTCGGGTTCTCCATTAGAAGCGCCTGTTGTTGTTGTAATTGTTGTTGCTGTTGCATCTGTTGTTGTTGTTGCTGCAACTGTTGTTGTGATTGTTGCGTTTGTGCTATTGCGCCTTGTTCTAACTGTTGGCAAAACAAATGATTTTATTACTATTTTTTAAGTCGAAATAATACTGTGCTTATAAAAATACAATATGAATACGAAATATTATAAATGCGTAATCTGTCTCTGACAGACAGATTGAAAGACTATTATATATGCAAAGCAGATAGCCAATTATGCAGTATTCAAAAGAAAATAAAAAAGAGAGAGTACATACGTTCTGTTTTTGAGTTTGTTGTTCCTTGTTTCCTTGATTTTGTTGATCCTTCGGGTTACGAGAATCGGGCTCGGCTTGCAGCGCTCGCGCCTCAGCCAGCTGCTTGTCGCACTGCTCCAGCCTCTTGCTCCACTCGTCTACCAACTGATCCGCCAACTCCAGTTCCTAGAGATGTGGAGAAGATTGTTACTGGAACTTTATTGATTAATTTATATCTGGCCTTGTAGATAGAAAACAGAACTAGACTTTTGTATTTAGATAAATAGTCAAATTTGTGTCTTCTATTGTTAGAGTTAAATTTATTTATTTATTTATAAAATTACATGCTCTCAGCATGTAATTTTATAAATAAATAAATAAATATTAATAATATAGTATTAAACATACATATATATTACACTATATAAATACATACGTAAAGATACGATATACATAAAATAATTTTAATAGCAATACTATATTTTATAGCGTAGCTTTCTAGCGCATTGCATTGCGCTGGAGTCCCGCTGACTGTGGCAGATTAATATAAATTTCAAATGTAAGCAATACGACCTCAGCGACAAGCAAGTTAGTCGGTTACAAAGGTTACAGGAAGCTCACGTCTCTCGATAATAAGCTCCTTGTTCTTTATATCTGCTTACGCGCCTCTTTTTTTTTATATCACGTAGGTGGCAAACAAGCATACGGCCCATCTGATGGTAAACGGTTACCGTAGCCTATGGACGTCTGAAACACCAGGGGTGTCACATGCGCGTTGCCGATCCTTAAGAAACCTCAATATACCCTTCTTGAAAAACCTTTTAAACCATATCATTCTGAACTTTTTATTTTCCACATTGTTGACCTCCTGTTATTTAATAAATAAGTGTATTGTGCCTAAACAGGCGCACCCCACACATTCATACTTATATACATAAAATATTTGTAGTGTGCGAGAATGATTACAATGATTATTTAAAAGAGCCACACCGATGTTTCTTGCTCGTTCTTCTTGTGATGAGACATCATTCCGAATGAGCGGTAGATTAAAATAATGATAACTATGACTATTCAAAAGTGCTTAAATTAAGTTTATTTTAATAAATGATTTTCTATTCTAATGAAACTAGCGACAACCGGAAATAAAGATATGCTTAACCTCTAGACCACCGAGATAACAAATTCTATGTAATAATATTGGTACATACCTGCACAGTATTACGTATGAGCGTCGTGAGTCCGCCGAGTTTTTCTGCCATCACTACCATTTTTGCCTCCTGCGCAGGATTCAACTTTTGTTTCTTGCCTGAAAAAAAGTCTTCTGTTAATATAGTTATGTTACTAATATTATAAAGGTGAAAGTTTTTAAGTATGTACGGATGGATGGATGTTTGTTACTCTTTCACGCAAAAACTACTGAACGGATTTTGATAAAACTTTACTGTAATATAGCTTATACATCAGAATACGCAACACTATCCTGAGGAGAGAAAAACCATCGCTCCTTAGAATATCCTTCAATCCTTGTCCCCGAGGGTCCAGGCAGCAAACTCTGAATAAGGGTCAGCACAATAGATCTATGCAGGTTATATAACCCTCAATAAAAAAACAATAACTATGTACAAAGTACTACAAATATAATGACCTTTCTTTTTGTAAGTCTGTTGGTGTGCCAGCCTGGCTTCCTTCAGTCGCCGCTTGGTGGCCATTTGGGTGAAGAGTGCCACCTCGAGGGCGGCCATGCCGCGGCGAACTCTTGTCAATTCTGCTTCTAACGCTGTCCTCTCCTCCAGTAGTCGCATCTCCATCTGTATAATTCGCATGTTTACTAACAAAGTGCATTAATTCGTCGAATACAAATAGGGATCTAAATGATGTTAGCCCGAGCAGAGATTCGAATCCTTAAAGTGCCCTCAGACTCCAAAGTTGAAACTGTTAGGCAGGAGGTCTTCAGCCGCTTCATAAGTCCTTCCGCGGGTTTGGAGTGCTATCTTCATTCGTCCTCTATCGTCTTGTAAATCTGTAGAGGCCGGCTGACCAACAGCATTGGAATAGATCGAAAAAGTTAGCCTAAGTCGAGATACAAACCCTAGCCTAACTCTACCTAAAAAACTCCCTAAGGACAAAGCACGACTGCAATCTTCATTCGCAGGATGCGAACGATGTGATCGTCCGGTGAAGCTGAAAAGGTTAGCTGTGGCTAACATCGTTAGATTAGTCAGAAAAAGGTACGAGGTTCGAACCTCTAATAGTACCCTCAGTCTAAAGTCGTATCCTTCCAGCGGGAGTAGAGTCTTCGGCCGCTCCATTAGTCCTTTTTTGTTTGTAGTGCCACCTCAACTCGCCTCCTATCGTCCGGTGAAGCTGCAAAGGTCCGCTGCGGCCAACAGCATTAGAGAAGTCCGATTAAAGAACTAAGGACGAGGTACTAGTGCCACCTACAGTCGCGGCCTACCGTCCGGCGGAGCTGCGGCCGACATAATAATAAAGTGAGTAAGGCTGTGAGTCGGACCCGCTTGCCCCTCTGGCGCATCTTCTTGGCGCGCTTCTTGCCGCGGTCCTTGTGCCGCGCGGGGCCCTCGATGTACTGCAGCAGCGCGTCCAGGTCGCGCGGGTCCGCCGCCCGCGCCCCGCCCCGCGCGCCGCGCCCCCCGCCGCCCCCGCCCCCGCCCCGCCAGCACGAGCCCCTGGAACACACCACACCCGTCACCACCCCAAGCCCCGTCCGCCGATACTACCGATCTATCAATGATAGATCGGTGGTATTGATGGATGTGATACGTGTGTATACTCTAACATGCGGCGCATCGTATTACGCACAAGCTTTCAACTCGACGGCCCATCGAACGTTACCACCGATCGACCGATAGCTGTCTTTGCGTACGCTCTTTCACGCGACACACAACTAACATTGAACTCGACGCCGTATCGAGCATTACCACCGATCGATCGAAAGCTTCGAAAGCTAACCTTATACACAGACTTACTTACTTTCACGATATTCAAACTGAGCTAACCTCATACTCATCCAACATTACATATATATACAGGCATACTATGCTATTATTCAAAATTCAAAATTCAAAAATTCTTTATTTAGATAACACCATTTTAAAATTACATTATACAGTTGTTGAAGACTCCTTTTAAGCATAAAGATGCCTGTGCCAGGAGGCTCCACTCTTCCATACCTTATATCACCACTTTTGTAAAATGTTTCTTGTTTATTATACTATAAATAATTAGTTATATAATTCAATTTTAAAGTACATACATTATAGGAAACATTGTATTCAATCTATCTTAAAAATTCTGTCTAATAAATAGGAATATATATACATATGTGTGTGTGTGTGTGTATGTGTGTGTGTGTGTGTGTGTGTGTGTGTGTGTGTGTGTGTGTGTGTGTGTGTGTGTGTGTGTGTGTGTGTGTGTGTGTGTGTGTGTGTATGTGTGTGTGTGTGTGTGTGTGTGTTTGTGTGTGAATGTAATCTTGCACAACAGTTTTAGCATTGATAACAATGATGCAGCAGTAATTCAGTTTTATTATAATTTAATGTTTTTATCCAATCTATTAGTATATTTTTACATTCACGATAATTTTTAGGGTATATAGCTATCTTTTCATTTATTGTATTATACAAGAGTGCAGTTTGCTTTTCACATTGTATACTCGCGAATTTGGTTTTCGTTGTTGGCACTGATACAACTTTAAGTTTCCTTCTTTTATTTTCTAAAGCTGGGTCGTATGTAATTTGTTTATGCTTTTTTAAAACTGTTTTTAATATGTACAGTTTTCTCACAGACAAAAGATCCGTGATCCGGTATAAGTCATCAGTAGGAAATCGTCGGTTTTTCAAGTACATTACCTTGAGCAGAGCTCTTTGAGCTCTTTCTATTTCTAGGAAACGTGACTTGAACGCACCGCCCCATACAGGAATACAATATATAATTATGGATTGTACCAATGCCATATATATTTTATTTAAAAGATTGGGTGAGCTGTGTGGGGATGTCTGATTACTTGGTACAATATGCCTCAATGTTTTGAACATCCAAATAAACTTCCTAATCCTTGTGGAGACTTGTTCTATTTGGGGATACCAAGATAAACGCTGGTCAACTATAACACCTAAGTATTTTATATTACTCACTTTGTTTATAGTAGGGCAACTACACTTTATTCGCGGCGACTTAGATGCAGTGTTGGAAATAGCAGAACCATCTAATATCATAGAGTAAGAATTACAATTATGGATTTTAATATTGAAATCTTGTTCTGGCTGCGAGTTATTATAAATACCAAAACAAACGTAATTTGTTTTGCTAGTATTTAGGGTAAGAAGATTGTACTTTAACCACTTAGCAACTTTAGCCATACCAAGCTCGGTGTTCCTTTTTACAATACTCCAGGTAGGACCAGTGAAGACAATGACAGTATCATCGGCATAAGATAAAATTTTGGCATTATTTAAATTCATGTTGCAGAGATTTATTATGCTTGCGTATGTATACAGGCATACATACGCAAGCATTATTGAAAAAATAATAATTAAAAAAAGAAGTATCTAAGTATTTCTATCAGTTGTCTAGTTAAGCAGAGCTTGTGTTTAGGATGCCCCATCAAGGCATATAGTAAGCGCAGAAATTATGTAAAAAATATATTCAAATATTCCAAACAATTATGTGGTACCCATAACACAAGCTCTGCTTAACTTGGGACTAGATGGCGTTGTGTGATTTGTCCTGGTTTATTATTATTATTATTTACAATCGACGGTTACCATTTACCATCAGGTGGACCGTAAGCTTATTTGCCATTACAATTTCGTAAAAGAACGTAGAACAGTAGTGGTGGCCTGGTGAGTCTAGTCATTGGGTCCCTAAAAATGGTCGAGCACAGTGATTGCTGACTCATCCGTCATTATCGTGAACGAGTGCTGCTTGTAGTGACTGGTCTGATATAATCATTACAACTGATTTACTCTTATTTAGTTACTCAACACATTAGGTGTGTATTTAAGATTTTGACTCTAATGAATTAGTGCTATTTATAATAATAATAATTTATTTGCTTAAAAAACACAGTATAAAAGATGGTAATTAAAACTTAGTATCATGTGTTTTGCCATAGTAGTGGCATGCAAAATAGTATTGTTTAAAATTATACATATTAACTATACAGATAGAAATAATAATTATAATAGTTAAATAGGATTTGGTAGTTTGTATTCACACATTTTAACTTGAAAATGTAAAGTTACAACAATTATTTAAAAGAGTTTCTTGTGATACGACAGATTTCCAAATAAATGATAGATTAAAAAAATAAGTATAATAACTATTCAAAACTGCTTATATATAAGATTTTTTTAATAATAAAATTCAATACTATAACTTTATATTTAAATTAAGGTAAGAGTGCAGACACTTTCCAAACAGATGAGGGATGAAAATATCAAATCTGACTTACCCTGAACAACCTGAGGACGTCGAATAAACACTGGATTCTCTACTGGACAGCGACATAGCAGTTCTTTGTTGTTGCTGTCTGCTCTGTCTTTGTTGTTGCTGCAACTGTTGTTGTTGTTGTAACTGTTGTTGTTGTTGCAATTGTTGTTGTTGCTGCAATTGTTGCTGCTGCTGCAACTGTTGTTGCTGCTGCAACTGTTGTTGTTGCTGCAACTGTTGTTGTTGTTGCAATTGTTGTTGTTGTTGTAATTGCTGTTGTTGTTGTAACTGCTGCTGTTGTTGTAACTGTTAATTAAGAAAATAACGGATGCATTTCTTGTAACACTTTTGAATTTCAAACACCGTTTAAGAAACTAAATAATCCTTATTCAAACAAGTTATTTCAGCAAGTTACTATTGTAAAATTATTAATTTATTGTTGTGGTAGTATTGTAAAAGATTCTCACCTGTTGTTGTTTTATTTTGATGAGCTGTTGTTGTTCCGCGGTCAGGGTCGGCTTGTTGTGTACAGGCAAATCATATATCGGCTCTTTCTTCTGTTGTAAATTAATTCTAACCTGTTGATCTCTAATTTGTTGTTGTTGTTGTGGCGTCAGTGTCGGCTTCTTGTGTATCGGTAAGTCGTAAATCGGCTCTGGTTTTTTCTGTTGTTGTTGCGCGTTTTGTTGTTGCTGTTGCATTTGTTGTTGCATCTGCTGCTGTTGTTGTTGTTTTATTTGCTGAAAATATAATTGAAATAATTTATATATATTTTTTATTCTTAATACTGTAATATTAGAAGAGATATTTATCCTAACAGGTGGCCAGTTAAGCCTGTGGATTCTTTGCCATTGATACAAGTGTATGTAAATATTATGTTTGTCAGTTCATCTCATCTCAAAATCACTGCGAACTAACGGTAGATTTGACAAATGATAAGTCTGTAATAGACCTACATGAATAAAGACGTTTTGAATTTGAATTTGAAAACTGGACGTTAGCAATAAAATTTATGACTGGAATGAAAAAATAACTTTATTTGAAACTTGCCTGCAGACGTATTTGTTCCACTGTCGGTTGGTTGGCTTTATTCTCCGTTTTCACAGCGGGTGGCACATTCACTTGTACCGGTGCTGTACTTTGGAGCGTCTGTAAGACAATATTATCACATTTATAATTATTTGAATCTTTACTAATATAATAAACGTCAAAGTTTGTGTGTATAAATAAATAACCTTTGATAATCAGCACACTGCTATCTAGTCCCTTAGCTTGGGACAACTGATATACATATTTAATATTATACATAGAAAACACCCAGACCGATACAAAAAATCATACTAATCAACACAAAAGTTTACATCGTGCGAGGAATCGAACCCGCGACCATTGGAAATAAAGTGGTGTGCTAAACCGCTAGAATACAAATGTTTGTATCGTGCGAGGAAAGGAACCTGCGACTATCGAAAGTAAAGCAGTGTACTGAACCGCTAGACCGCCGACTTGTGGCAGTAATTTTTTACCTTGGGTTTGTTGTCTGGTTTCTCAGTGACCACCATCTTGGCCATCTTCTCTGTCAGTTGTTTCTGCTGGTTGTCTATGCTCTGCCGCTTCTGTTGCGCTTGGGCAGTTGTCAAATTCGGCGGGAGAGTCTTTGGTAAAGCCTGAATAAAATCAAAATACCTATATTTATTTAAGCTTTATTGCCCAATAAATTTTGGTACAAAATGCGGACTTAATGCTATAGGCATTCTCTACAAGTCAACCTTCAGAAAATGCAGATACATTTATATTTGCACCGCCGACAATTATTATCTGCACCACTCATGGTTGACTGGTAGATAATGACGCATGGTGTCCGCCATATATACTTTAAAATTATGTGGATTAAAGTTTAAATAAATGAATAAATATACTTGATGGTGGCTTAACATTGATTATATAAATTACACATTGATTCAAGTAGAAAGTTATGAGAGACTGAACTCTCTCTCATAACTAACATTTTTGGAAGTCAATTGAAAATAAAATCATACAGGCGGTTTGGGCGTGGGCTGAGGAAGCTTGCTCTGTTTGACCTGCTCCACTGGTTGAGTCTGTACAGCCGCTTGTTTCTTCTCTGGGGTCTCCTGTTCACCCTGGACAGACAATATTTTTTTCATACAATAAATAATATTATTGTATTCTGAATTTGACCACAGACTTTACAGACAATAAACAAAAGAGTATATATGCGTGTGTGTGTCAAATACACGGTAGTATGTAATGTTTTTCTAATAAAGTTGCTGTATTTTTTAATGAATAATTAAAAAAAATGTTATTATGCACTCTTTCTCTATATAAACTATAGGGGTGCGAAAGTGTGTGTCATGCCTCCGTCCAAGTAATTTTCGTAACAAGGGGTACAGAGTTTTTGCTTGACATATTAATATTTACATAGATGATAATCTGTACATAATATAAAATGAAGATATTTCCGCTGTCTGTGCGCTGACCTTTTAAAATATTAAAAGCAGTTTTAGCAATAGATAGAGTGATTCAAGAGGAAGGTTTATATGTATCATACATGTACAGTTGTACACCCGTGCTAACTGGCGCGGGTAGCGAGTACAAATAAATATGCGTATACTTACATTTGTCTTACATTGTTGCTTTTTCTTGTTGAGTATTGAGCGCAGTCTTTCTCGAGTTTCATTGAAATTCCTTGGTACTGGGGTAGTAAGGGGTGGCTGTAAATAGAATTTTATTTTCTTATAAATAAGACTAATTAGTTTTTTTTTTAATTTCAAGGCAATGTAAAACTGGCTAATGGCCCACTTAATGGTAAGTGGTAACTGTAGCCTACATACATGAACAGTACCATGGACATTACGTTATCACATGACGCCCATCGACCACCACTTATATCGGGGGTAAGGACTGTTAAATTGAACGCTAAAGTTGACACTGAATTCCCGCCTTGATCTCGCATAAGATCAAGTTTTTTTGTGTTATTTGTGATAATTAATAAACGTTTTAATCCACCGCATCACTCTAGTGTGTTCAAGTTCATTGTGTTTCTGCCATTGTTGTGAAGCAAGTCGCTGGGGCCAGGAGACACCGATAGCACTGGAACCTACGATTTACCAGAACTATCTTTCTTAATACTGTCCGAGTTAATAGTGAAATATCGGATTGTGCTATTTGTTGGCTGGTGTGCCACAGGTTGGGATCTTGTCCCCTTTGTTATTTTCTACATTTATTAACTAAATAAGGAAGACTCACCGCATGTCCAAACACGGTGCAGTAACAGCACGTGCAAGGCTGATCGGTGGCACCGTCGCCTGCGCATCCACCGTTGCGGGTTGGAGAGTGGCCTACTGTTGGACATAAAGCAAAAAAAACTTTTTAATTTTATGTGTTTGGAATATCAAATCACTGCCGTACTACCTGATGGTGAGTGGTAACTGTCGCCTATATACATTATACGAATGGTACTAATGTGATAGCCGTGAAAGTAAGTTAGTAACCATTCTTGATGACTATATTGTAAGTCTCCATATCCTGTAATTTGACTGCTTTATCTACACTCTACAACTAAAACACAGCTGACAGAGCAAGCTGATTGGGACGTAATAGTTGAGACTGAGGTACTAGTGTACGAGCCAGAGTCAAATTTCGTCAAACACTTCCTCAAAACATTTAATTTTATTAACATTGTTGTTCTATGAAGACTAGTAAACTGACACCTTTACAGCTTCACCGGACGATACGGGGTGAGTGCAGATGGCACTGCAAACTAAAGAAAGGACTTATGGAGTGGCTTAAGGACAACTCTCTTAGACTAAAGTCGTATCCGTCAGGCGGGAGGTGCCCTCGCACCGCTAGGGGTTCGATCCTCGGCTTAGGCCGTCGTAATCTCGATCACCGTTCGAATTGGTCGGGGGAAAGAAAGTTGGTCATCAGAATCTGTTCCTGGCTCGAGGACCATACCCACGCAGACTGATTTCTACAAAGTCTACTAGACGGAATTTTTTATTTTTATATAACTGATATAACAAACAAGCCCACCTGATGGAAAGTGAAAACCTTCGCGTTGACATCCACTATTGCTGGTGGGGGAGTGGCCCACTGTTGGAAATAGTTCTTATTTAATTCTAATTCAATTCAAATTCAAATTCAAAATATCTTTATTCATGTAGGTCTATTACAGACTACTATGATATGTCAAATCTACCGTCAGTTCGGAATGATCTCGAGATGAGAACTGACAAGAAACTCAGCTCGTATTTTATTTTTTTAATGTTGTACATATTTATAATAATACTATTTCATTTAAATTCAGAGACTAAGATGGACTGAACAGACCAGTCCCCACAAGTTAACAACGTTACGGATGAGCCAGCCATCATTGCACTCAACCATATTAGAGGGAGCACATCGACCCGGCCCACCAACAACACTTTATAGCGAGCATGACTGTTTAAAAGTCATTTATATTATTTACAGCATAAATAAATAAAGTACCAATCACAGTTTTCACCCATTACAATATTTAATTTACATTATTTAAATTACAATATGTCATTCAATATGTCATAATGGTAAACAATCGTTCATGGTAAATAAGTATTAACAAGACAATGTGAATATTTACTTAAAAGAGAAACACAAGGTATTTGCTCATTCTTTATATTCGAATAAGTAGTAAAAATTGAATATTTGAATATTATATTAAGATTATTATTTTCTACTTCTATTTCTGTAAATGTCGCATTTATAACATTACTATATATAGGTTACGTATTTAAAATTTAACTTTGTTTCTTAGTATGAATGGTTCACTTTTGTTAATATTCGACCTGAGTTTTGTTTCAGTATACACTTTACATTGCAGTGGTTCCCAATTAGTTATTCCTGCGTACCACTTCAGAAAAGACCTCAAACCTTGCGTACCCCTTATTGTAGCAATCACACTAATATTATGAATGTGAAAGTATGTGAGTGTGTGTGTATGCTTGTTTTACTGATAGCCGCATGTACCCCTTGATGCAACTTCACATACCCCTGAGGGTACGCGTACCACTAACTGGGAAATACCGCATTACTGTATAACATTACTTCCAATAGTCACGAGTTCAATTCCTTTCATGGTACAAACATTGATATTCATGTGATTGTTTATATAGTTCTGGATGATTTCAATGTACACTATATTATTTACGAATAAAATGTATTTAAGATAATTCTATCAGTTTTTTACTACCTACGCATGGTCTGCTTAGTTTGGGACTAGATGGCGTTGTGTGAATTGTCCTATAGGATTGTTATTATTATTATTTCATTCATACCTTTGCAAACATGCTGCTGATGGCTCGCATTCTCACACTTGACTTGGGGCTTATTCTGCTTCATCACCAGTTTGGGTTTCACCTCCTTCTTCTTCTCTTCCAACCCACTCTTGCCTTTATCATAACACTGTTTCACTATATCCCCAATGCACACAGAATTTGAGTCTGTATCCTTGCAAGAACTACATACACAATCATTTGTCCATTTACAATCCGATTTAGGCGTATCACAGGCATCACTCTCTGATTTACTCTGTCCATTTTTAACCATATTCTTAAAAGCTACTGCGTTTAACGTTTGCTTCGCGTTCTTCAACGCTTGAGCAGAGTATTTAGCTAACATTTCAGGATTCTGTGAACCAATTAGTGATAATTTATCTTTATTATCACCGTCTTCCCCTTTCAATGTCTCTTCAATGTCTTCGTCTAAAAATTTCGCATCAATACTTGAACATATCGATATGACGTGCTTCTTGTAAGTCTCAGGGACGGGTATACCTTGAGTTATATATGATTTGATAGTATAGAAACTGTCCAGTAAGGACTTCTCTCCTTTTGATGTCAATATGGCTTCGCATTTCGCTAGTAACGCATCGTTCTTTGATTTCTTATCGTCTTCTTCTTTCTCCTTCTCTTTCTCGTCCTTCTTGACAGGTTTTGCTTCTGGTTTCTTTACTACTCTACTACTACACTTGCCTATAATCTTACTGAGGCCTTTAGCAGCTAATATTTCGCCTTCGCTGGCGTTCGTTTGGTTTTGAACACATTTTGTTGGTGGTGTGTATTTATATAATGCCTCTTGTAACTTCACCTCCAGTTGTTCTAATCTATACAGCATTACTAACCACTCATCACCACTTAAAGCTTTCTTAGGTAACGTTTCCATATAAAACCTATTCATTTCTCTTAGTCTTTCAAGGAAATAGTCTCTTTTCTTGTCATAAGATACAGTACTAAAATCTGGTAGGTTTTCAGTCTTTTTTACAGGCAAGCCTGTAAGATCTTGTATAACGTTAGTGGCTATTTCAGGGTCTAGTAATATCCAAGTGACTAATTGTTGGGATTCAGAACATCGTTTTATAACATCAGTGTATTCAAATTTTAAACCTTTAACCGTCGACCTTTTCTCACGGGGCATGTTAGACAATTTCATGATTAGTAAATCAAAAGTGTTGCCAGCTGATGTGCTTATTATCTTAGTGATTTGTTGTAATGATTCCTTTGATGAACTATTTTCATTATCAGTGTCTTTGAGATCTTTATTCTTTTTTAATTCGTCAATTTTTTCTATAATTTTGTCTGTTTCGTTAGCGCATTGTTTACCTGCTAAATCTTGAATGTAACTATAAAATTTATCTAACATGGCTTCTATTTCGTTTTCGAGTAACTCAATAGGTATACTCTTAAACTTTGTAGCTACGTAATGTTTCCAAGAATCGAACCTAGTCCTCACTAACTCCCTCAGTTCGTCCATACACAAAGCATCTTTCACTGAATTGTCAAATAAAGTAGACGCTTTTGAATACATTTCTGAATTTATACTATTTTTGGGTAATGCGAAAATATCACCGTCCTCTTCCAAGCATTTAGCTAAAACAGGACTCTTATTCTGTTTTAAATATTCAAATACTTTATTAATAACAACTTGAGCAGATATAGAGAATAATAGATCATTAAAGTCTTCTTTGTTATTCGATTTATTTTTCATTAAATTCTGTAACTCTTTTTCGTCTTTTAATAAATCTGAAATGTCTTGTGTGTCTAATTCAAAAGTCATTGTGCCTATAAATTCGTCATTTTTTCTTCTATTCGTTTTTCTTTTAGCCGTATTTTTAGTTACTTTAATACTATCTCTATTTTTATTTAACTTTAATTCTCTTATTTGCTTTAAAGTCTCCGGAGTTAATTGAGCTTCGTTATTTACATCTGGCAATGAATTCATTATAGATGCAAATTCTGGCAGTTCAAATGAGGCATTAGCAAATTCAGTCAACTTGGTGGCAATTTCAGGCATATTTGCTAATATTTGTGGCATGTTTTCAACGAATTCGGCTAATTTAGTATTAGCTACGTTAAGATCTATGGGTTCATCGGAATCAATTTTTTCTAGAAACTCCGCTGAATTCTTGTCTAAATTCATCATTACTTCACAGATTTGTTCTAATGATAATGAACTTTCATCTTTCTCTTTATCCTTATTTATACTGTTATATGAATTTATAATATTCTGACATTCCTCCATAGCTTTCTTGATTTCGAGTCCAAATGTTACATACTTATATATATTAGGGTCCTTATTATCGATTTCTTGATTGTCTATCTTAATTTCTTTCTCACTTTCTTCTTTAATTAATACAGGCGTCCGTCGGGCGTTTAATGGGATATTGATTTCAGGTGCTACTTGTGTTTGAAAATCTATGTTCTCAGTTTTAAAGTCATTACGTTGTAGGAATTTGTTAACTGTCAATAATCGTTGACTTGGTTTGGGAGTATATACAGGTAAGGGTTCAGAGTTCGTCGGAGAGGTCTCCTGCAAGGGGGGACTAACAGATTCCGGATACTTATTATCACTTTCTGCATTATCGCTGGTTAAAGCGAAATTAGCGAATTTGGCGAGACATTCTTTCATGTCTTTACACATATCTGTCTCTTTCTCACCTACAATTGTTTCTGTATCGCTTATATTATCTTCCCTCTCCAATGAAAACGCTTCTGGAGGTTCAGCTTCTAATTTTTCATAATCTGCTTTTATCTCAGCGAGTATTTGATTTTCAGTGGCGGTATCTAATTTTATCATTTCTATTCTTTTGCGTGGTTTCGTGAACGGCGACTGTGGTTTAAGTTTTCGTTTGGTTACGGTGCTGAGACGAGGCAGTTTCGGGTTGGGAACATATCTCTTGCGACGTACATCTTCTACTAACGTTACGTTGTTTTCTGGTAAACTGTAATAATGAAATTTCACAAATATTATAATTTAATTAGACAACACAGCACTTAAATATATAATAAGAGTTAGAGCGTCATGGTCTACGATTTACTAGGCTATAGGCTACGACTATAAAGATCGTAAGTTCAAATCTAGCTAACATATCAAAGAAACATAGTGTTAATTTATATTTCAAGCATTACGGGACTACAAAATAGCTGTATAGCACATAACTGCCTGCGTAGAATACAACTTATCATTACTGTATCTAGTACTAGATACAGTAATAATTGTTATTAGAGACAGTATGAGCGTATTGTTTCACTATATAAAGGTAACTTAGGTTGTATTCTACGCAGGCAGTTATGTGCTATACAGCTAAGTAGAACAAAGAATATATAAAACCTTTAAATAGGTCAATAATTTTTTTAGTTACTTTGTCATTTTTTCAAATATATATTTCTTCTTTATATTATTAGTATAGATTGCAAACATTTATTCATATCTTGGCAAAAAATATAATGTATGATATATCACATAAGAACATCAAAATACTTAATTACAATCCCTAACTTCCTGTATGGCTACATACATTAATTGATATAAACTTGTAAATTCTCAATTGGCATTTTATAAATTTTTATATAAATGATTGTACTGACCTCTCCCGCTCCTGACGAAGCTGGTCTTCCAGCCACATTCTCAACTGGTGGTAATACAACTGCTGATCTCTCATGTGCATCACTTTGCGGCGTACCTGTACGTTCAATAAATACATGAATATCACACTCCATTTTTCCTCATCTTCAATTCCAGATACGATAGCGGCTTCTGGAAGTGAGGATGAGCCAGTATGATTTTTATTTAGTTTCGTCGCAGTTTAGATATTTCTAGACTAGACAGAAGTTGTATATCGGCGGCGGGAGCGGTACGGACGGGGCACAGTGTAGTGTGTGGGTACCTCCTGGAACCTCCGCAGGTGGTACTGCGGACAGAGGGCGCGGCAGGGGGCGGCGGGGGCGGTACGGACGGGGCACAGTGTAGTGTGTGGGTACCTCCTGGAACCTCCGCAGGTGGTACTGCGGACAGAGGGCGCGGCAGGGGGCGGCGGGGGCGGTACGGACGGGGCACAGTGTAGTGTGTGGGTACCTCCTGGAACCTCCGCAGGTGGTACTGCGGACAGAGGGCGCGGCAGGGGGCGGCGGGGGCGGTACGGACGGGGCACAGTGTAGTGTGTGGGTACCTCCTGGAACCTCCGCAGGTGGTACTGCGGACAGAGGGCGCGGCAGGGGGCGGCGGGGGCGGTACGGACGGGGCACAGTGTAGTGTGTGGGTACCTCCTGGAACCTCCGCAGGTGGTACTGCGGACAGAGGGCGCGGCAGGGGGCGGCGGGGGCGGTACGGACGGGGCACAGTGTAGTGTGTGGGTACCTCCTGGAACCTCCGCAGGTGGTACTGCGGACGGAGGGCGCGGCACGGTACGGGGGGCGGCGTGGGGGCGGTGGGCGCCCATGAGGGCGGAGGGGGCGGGGCACAGTGTAGTGTGTGGGTACCTCCTGGAACCTCCGCAGGTGGTACATAATGAAATGAGGACGCGGCAGGGGGCGGGACGGGGCAAATGTAGTGTGTGGGAACCTTATACAATGCAGGTGGTACTGCGGACAGAGGGCGCGGCGGGGGGGCGGCGGGGGCGGTACGGACATAAAAATAATAAGTGTGTGGGTACCTCCTGGAAAATCCGCGTGAAATGCGGAAGACTGCTGCGGGGGGCAGTACTGTTTGGTTCAGTGTAGTGTGTTACATTGAATAATGTTCAAAGCGCGCGGCAGGGGGCACCGGGGGCGGTACGGAACATCAAGTGGACTGTGTTTCTTTACAATACCAATTACATAAAACTGAAGGTTTAATACCTCCGCAGGTGGTACTGACCGGATTTGGCAGGGGGCGGCGGGGGCCATACGGACGGGGCAATTTGTGTGGGTAACTGACCTGAACCTCCGCATGGTACTGCGGACAGGGCGCGGCAGGGGGCGGCGGGGGCGGTACGGACGGGGCACAGTGTCCAGTGTGTGGGTACTAAACTCCTAAAAAACCTCCGCAGTTTGGTACCATAGGGCGCGGCAGGGGGCGGCGGGGGCGGTACGTCCGCAGGTGGTACTGCGGACAGAGGGCGCGGCAGGGGGCGGCGGGGGCGGTACGGACGGGGCACAGTGTAGTGTGTGGGTACCTCCTGGAACCTCCGCAGGTGGTACTGCGGACAGAGGGCGCGGCAGGGGGCGGCGGGGGCGGTACGGACGGGGCACAGTGTAGTGTGTGGGAACCACCAGGACCTCCGCAGGTGGTACTGCGGACAGTGGGCGCGGCTGGGGGCGGCGGGGGCGGTACGGACGGGGCACAGTGTAGTGTGTGGGTACCTCCTGGAACCTCCGCAGGTGGTACTGCGGACAGAGGGCGCGGCAGGGGGCGGCGGGGGCGGTACGGACGGGGCACAGTGTAGTGTGTGGGTACCTCCTGGAACCTCCGCAGGTGGTACTGCGGACAGAGGGCGCGGCAGGGGGCGGCGGGGGCGGTACGGACGGGGCACAGTGTAGTGTGTGGGTCCCTCCTGGACCCTCCGCAGGTGGTACTGCGGACAGAGGGCGCGGCAGGGGGCGGCGGGGGCGGTACGGACGGGGCACAGTGTAGTGTGTGGGTACCTCCTGGAACCTCCGCAGGTGGTACTGCGGACAGAGGGCGCGGCAGGGGGCGGCGGGGGCGGGGGCATCTCACACTGTTTCCTGGAACCTCCGCAGTGTGTGCGGACAGAGGGCGCGGCAGGGGGCGCGCCTCCGCAGGGCACAGTGTAGTGTGTGGGTACCTGGTACTGCGGACAGAGGGCGCGGCAGGGGGCGGCGGGGGCGGTACGGACGGGGCACAGTGTAGTGTGTGGGTACCTCCTGGAACCTCCGCAGGTGGTACTGCGGACAGAGGGCGCGGCAGGGGGCGGCACACATTTCTCCGCTAGCGGACAAAACAGCTTTGATAACGACATAACCTGCATAATGACTGCGTTTAAGGGGTGTCACGGGGCACAGCCAGTGTGTGGGTACCTTGGACTCCGCAGTACTTAAACACTATATATACACGGACAAAGGGCGCGGCTCGGCGGGGGCGGTACGGACGGGGCACAAGTGTGGGTCCTCCTGGCATAACATCTTAGTTTTTCAAAATAACAAAGCATGAGGAACATTATACAATGATACCGTGATTTGTAACTTTGAAGCCAGCTATTAATGGTTTCACAGTAGCTGCAGTGTTATATATATGAAAGATGTGGTCACGTTCAATTACCGTAATGCGCATTGTATCCGGGCCCACACAAACCGATCATAACAAAACAGCTTTGATAACGAAATAATACATAATGATATGTGACAATCACAGGGTACAAAGGCATAACATCTTAGTTTTTTAAAATAACAAAGCATGAGGAATATTATAGAATGATATGATTTGTAACTTCACATATACAGCTCCCAATTACCATCAAATGGGCCGTCAACAAATTCCAAAAATAATAAGAATTTAAATAAGGTTGACTCAAAATAACGCTTATATCAGAAATAAACATGTCTACCCAGTACATGTGTTCACAACCATTACTATTGAATAATGTTCAAAACACATTGCACACCACACGCCTCAGACAAAATGCTATTCTATCGGTATTGTTTGAAATTTTCCATCAAGTCGACTGATTATTTATTTCTTTGCAATATCAATTACATAAAACAAATGAAGCAGTTTAATACCTAAAATTGTTAGTAATGTGTACTCATGACATGACTACAGTAATGTACCATGTCAGGTTGACCTCCAGGTCCCCGTGGAAACCATCGTGATAAATTCCTGGTGAATTTGTCGCGATGGGCTAACTGACCTGACCTTATGTTCATCTTATCATCCTCCACTGATGCTCCGCCAGAGTAAACCATAAGCGCAGGCGGGTGCGCAATACAATTATCGTCCATAAAAATAGTACCTAAACTTAATAAAAATTATTGTTACCGTGGACAGTTTCTTTTGTTTCCGGTAGACTTGCAACTGTCGCCGATGGACTTCTGGTAATCGCTGATACATCTCCATTAGCTTTCGGTCCACCTCTGAGAGGCCCATGTCCACGCGTTTCCTATACAAAAAATAGTCGATATTTGCAGTGCTTTGCGTTATTTCACTAGTACTGTTAGTGAAATAACATCAAATTTTATTTTACTATTAATGTAGCATATTTGAAAGTGTACATTTAATAAATAAATAACCCTGGACAATTAACACAACGCTATCTAGTCCCATGGTAAGCAGATCTTGTGTTATGGCTACTGGACAACTGATATAAATCCTTAGATATTTTTTTTTTAAATACTTACATAATATATATAGAGAACACCCAGACCGATACAAGCAATCATACTCATGAATACGTATACGTAATGTTTGAACCGTGCGAGAAATCGAATCCGCGACTATCGGAAGTAAAGCGGTGTGCTAAACCGCTTGACCACCAAGGCCATCATTACATGACATTTACATGAAATACCTTTTAGAAATTCAAGCATCTAATAAAAAGAAACCAACCTTGCTTCCTGGTCGTTCCTATTGGGCGGTGCGGGCCACTCATCACAATGTTTCAGCACTCGATCCATCAGTCGCTCGATGGAGGCTATTGACCTCATGAGGTGTCGCACCGTCCTGCACAGCTCCCCTGGCGCTGCTTCACCTTCAGACCCGCCAGACTCCACTGCAGCTGCAGCGGCTAGGAGCAGTTCCGACGCGGAGTCCAGGGACGAGGAGGTGGATAGACCGAGAGATGCAGTTCCGGAATTGGCGTCAGAGTCTGTCACTGAAAAAGATGGAATGTATGAAATTACAGGATCCACATAGCTTATATTTTGTTAATTCATGAACTAATGAACAAATTAACGAAAATTAGCTAGATAATGAATTTATATCCAGTCAATCTCTTTACAATCTCCTAAAATGTCTTAGCTTGCCTAGAACTGCAGTAAGTTCTATACTAGAACGTGTATCTAAAGCTGCACCGGCAGGCTCCTACCTGATTTGTGTGGGCAGGGAGAGAAGCACGAGCGGTGAGTGTTGTTTACATCGGCAAGAGGCACCTTAAACCTACACTCAGGTCACAAGTCCCGTGAACTGCTCGGAGTTTCCCTCTCTGCCACAAGATTGCCATGCTATTGCCAATCCATGGAATGGTAACAAATTTGTCTCATGGCATCTCTCTACGCATGAGGTACACGGTATGTGATATCCGTAGTGCTGTTTACGATTTAAGTTTTTATCTCCTTAGGATAGGATAGTATCAGGATCAGATAGGAGAGTATAATTTCCCAAGGAAATATTTCGTTTATACACGAGTAGGCTACTACCACATTGGATGTGTAGTAGCGTTTCCTCTTCTACTTGGCAAAATCTGCAGATTGTTCTTAAGCTAAGGCCTAATTCGCCATGTGTTTATTCAATTTGCAGTAACCAGTGAGGACCCGGCCCGGAGGTCATGGTCAGGTCATGATGCATATATTGATTTTACTCAATAGCAACAGTCTATCGGAGTATTGATTCGAGTGTTTGCTATAGCTAAATGTTTGCTATGCTATATATACAATTAAGAATATAATTTTTCTATACTTCAGAGTCAATTCCGAGAGTATATGTAATTAGACTGCCTAGTACTTCTGCTTTATAACATGTATATACTAACTTTCTCCAGCCAGCAATAAATGTTATCCTATTATATCTTATTGGAATGAATGGTTTGTCAGAAGCTTACGGTCATCAAGGTCGGCGTTGATATTTGAGTCGCTGTATTCACTGCCGTCCGCGCCAGCATCCGCATCCGCCTCCGCTTCTCTTGACAGCGTATCCGGGGGCCTATAAATTATTATTTATTAGAACTTAATGCACAAATACAAAAATAAAGGTGCACATGGTGCAATCACATTATTGTTTTATGAATAAACTAGCTTTTGCCCGCGGCTTCGCTCGCGTTAATTTATCCCCTTAGGGGTGGAATTTATCAAACTCCTTTCTTAGGGGATGCCTACGTCATATTAGCTTTATGCATGCAAAGTCTCAGCCCGATCGGTTTAAAATCGACAAAGTTTCATACAAACTTTCATCCCCTACTTTATCCCTTTGGGGGTAGAATTAATTAAAATCCTTTCTTAGTGATTGGCTATGTCCTAACATCTACCTGCATGCCAAATTTCAGCCCGATCCGTCCAGTGGTTTGGGCTGTGTGTTGATTGATCACTATGTCAGTCACCTTTGTGTTATATATATTTAGATGACTAATGACTAATTATTATTTATTCTTTATTGCACATTTAAAAATTGTACTATTTGATGAGCTTAATGCCATATGGCATTCTCTACCAGCTAACCATTAGGTAAGAACAGAAAGCGGTTGATGGGCAGTGATGAGAAAGGATTTTATGTATAAAGAATTTTATGTACAAGAAGGAAATTATATATGTATAAAATACTTTTAATAACAACAAGTCTGCTTATAGTCTGGAAAACTGATTTATGATATAAATAAAATAATATTCATTCATTCATTCATAATTTAAGAGCTACGCTCTTGTCGGTGCAGCTCTTGCCACTTTACGCGATCTTCCATCGTGCTCTTTAATTCTTGATACGACACGACTCCCATTTTGTCCTCAATTTGTTTGATGTAGCTATTCCTTGGTCTTCCCCTCCCCCTCTTTCCTTTTATTTTCGCCTCAATAATAAGTTTCATGAAATCATCGTGCCGTATCAAGTGTCCCAAATACAACTATTTAAAAATCGAGATGAAAGGAAATAGAAAGACGAATATTTAAAGTTGTTTGTATTTTATTAATCCCAAAAAAAATATTATATTTTTTATTATGTGTAGACAACCATTCTAATAGGTAGAAAATTAAAAAATGTTTAACGTCCTATTCTCACATATACTGAATACACACAAATTACTATTTTTATAAAAATCGGCTCAGCCATTTCAGAGGATATCTCGGGAAGAGGCACTATGAAGTCTAGCACAAAACCTATTATTTCACTGTACGGTACACAATACGAACTAAATTATATGTGGATTTTTGGGTCACTTCATTATCATCTATTAAAAATCATACAACAGTTGAGTTACCTGACCATATGCTTATAGTCTATGGTATATATGATAAGTAAATGGTGTGTGATGATAGGGTTACTCACTTGGCACCAGTGCCGTCTCCCTGCTGCAGTTCTCTACCTTCTGCTTCCAGGATCACATCGCGCGGTGCCTGCAATTAAAATTATCAGTATAATTCAAGTATCTTATATGTGAAGTACAGATAACAAAGATCTTGAAATGAATATTAATAGAAATAGAAATCATCTTTATTCAAATAAATTTAATACAAGCACTTTTGAATAGTCATATGTTTTTATTCTACCACTCATTCGGTACGCAGACTTAACAAGAAGAATTTCTGTTGCTATTTTGAATAGATGTTATTTTAAATAAATAATTACACAATAACGTGAGGCATACGATAATCGACATAGAAACCGCTACGCACTCATTCTTAGTGCACTCAGACTATTGTCAGCGCATGATGTGATTATTAGAATGACTTGATTTTTAGAATTTCAACGTTGACTATTAAGGATTGGACAAGCGATTTTATATGTACCTGTATGATATTTACCTTTTCACTATCAGTTCTAGGTACGGTTCCCCGTTTGGACAGAGTGAACTCGTTCACTGCTTGCATGATACCGAAGAATGATATTCTAGAATAAAATAACCTGAAATCAAGCATACAAATGAAATGTTAGAACACTTAATTTTATATTAAGGTTTTAAAAGTTGTTTTTTATTTACTACATAATTTAAGTTTACCTAACATTCCAATGATGGATTATGAATTATTATGATAGATGAGGTAAGGCCAAGAACAATCCCATTATACCTAATAAACGGATCCCAGCCCGGAAGCCAAATTGTTTTTGACAAATATTTCAGCGCGGCTTATCGAAGTTGCTTGTGACCTGAGAGCTGGTAGCTACTTTGCCCAGAGGCTAAGTATGGCCATTCAAAGACGAAAAGCTGCCGGTATCTTGGGTACGCTGCCTCGATATGTCGCGTTGGATTACAATGAATCTTTTTTTTGTGATTGTTTATGTATGTAATTACTTATTGTTTACTAAATATAAACACGATTATTTAATTCATTTTCAGGGTAAAGAAAACTGATAAATGTTTTATTAGTGCAAAAAATACTTTATTATATAGACGCTATATGTCTCGTATCTCGGGATAATAGAGTCCAATTTGTATTGACACGGGAGCCACTGACCTAAGCAGATGTTGTAGCTGCTGAGTATGTAGCTTACGCACGCAAAGTAGAGTCTAAATGCGGGACAATAAAGACCAATTTCAATTGAGACGGGAACCACTGAGCTGATGCCGCCGCCTATAGCGTACGCAAAACAAACCAAATGCTAATTTAAATACGGTACAACAGAGTCCAAATTACATTGTCACGGGAGTCCAATGAGAGTGAGCGTGAGTGAGACAATGCATATAGCGTTTCTTTAGGACGAAATGCGAATCTAACTGCGTCTCAATAGAGTCCTCATTCCATTGCCACTGACCTGAGCAGATGCCGCCGCTGCTGCGCGCACAACGTACGTGGCGTGCGACACGAACACCGATGCTTGTAGCCCGCCCACGTCGCCACTGTCACAAAACAATACTAGTATTATTTATTTTGTAATAACAATAGACGGTCTCGTAGTCTATACCGCTTTAACTCCGATGGTCGCGGTTTTGATTCCGCGTACAGTACACATTTTTATTCATGAGTCTGAATTGTAAATAAATTGAATTGAATTGAATTGTTCGATGAGGTTTGTGCTGGTTTTCTGGGCGTTTCCTATGTATGTTATGTATGTATTTACAAAAACAAAGTATTTGTTAATTTATATCAATTGTCTAGTACACATAAGCTTTGATTAGTTTATATGTATGTACACTTTATATTGTACTCTAAAGAATACAAATGTTTACATGCCACGAGGAATAAATCTCGCAACCCTAGAAATAAATATAATATAATATAATATATTGTTAGGTGTAAGTTCCGCTGGTGGCGCCGCCGTCGTGCGGCGCGTCTATAAGAGGCTGCGAAACACGGTGTGCGGCCGACGACATCGCGCATACACCCGGCGCCTGCGCGCGCCCCTCAGTGTGAGAGCTGTCTGTGTGTGTGTGTGTGTGTGTGTGTGTGTGTGTGTGTACGTACGGTCCGCGGGCGAGGTCCGCGCGGCCATCTGCCGCAGTCGCTGGCTGGTGCTGCAGCCGCAGTGTGTGTGTGTGTGTGTGTGTGTGTGTGTGTGTGTGTGTGTGTGTGTGTGTGTGTGTGTGTGTGTGTGCAGCCGTGTGTGTGTGTGTGTGTGTGTGTGTGTGTGTGTGTGTGTGTGTGTGTGTGTGTGTGTACGTACGGTCCGCGGGCGAGGTCCGCAGACGCGACACAGCGCGCGCGCGTGTGTGTGTGTGTGTGTGTGTGTGTGTGTGTGTGTGTGTGTGTCGGGGGTGTGCCGCGCGGGCTTCTGCGGCAGTCGCTGGCTGGTGGCCCCCGTGGTGCCGTGTGTGTGTGTGTGTGTGTGTGTGTGTGTGTGTGTGTGTGTGTGTGTGTGTGTGTGTACGTACGGTCCGCGGGCGAGGTCCGCGCGGCCATCTGCCGCAGTCGCTGGCTGGTGCTGCAGCCGTGGGGGGTGTGTGTGTGTGTGTGTGTGTGTGTGTGTGTGTGTGTGTGTGTGTGTGTGTGTGTGTGTGTGCCGTGTGTGTGTGTGTGTGTGTGTGTGTGTGTGTGTGTGTACGTACGGTCCGCGGGCGAGGTCCGCGCGGCCATCTGCCGCAGTCGCTGGCTGGTGCTGCAGCCGTGTGTGTGTGTGTGTGTGTGTGTGTGTGTGTACGTACGGTCCGCGGGCGAGGTCCGCGCGGCCATCTGCCGCAGTCGCTGGCTGGTGCTGCAGCCGTGTGTGTGTGTGTGTGTGTGTGTGTGTGTGTGTGTGTGTGTGTGTGTGTGTGTGTGTGTGTGTGTGTGTGTGTGTGTACGTACGGTCCGCGGGCGAGGTGTGTGTGTGTGTGTGTGTGTGTGTGTGTGTGTGTGTGTGTGTGTGTGTGTGTGTGTGTGTGTGTGTGTGTGTGTGTGTGTGTGTGTGTGTGTGTGTACGTACGGTCCGCGGGCGAGGTCCGCGCGGCCATCTGCCGCAGTCGCTGGCTGGTGCTGCAGCCGTGTGTGTGTGTGTGTGTGTGTGTGTGTGTGTGTGTGTGTGTGTGTACGTACGGTCCGCGGGCGAGGTCCGCGCGGCCATCTGTGTGTGTGTGTGTGTGTGTGTGTGTGTGTGTGTGTGTGTGTGTGTGTGTGTGCGGTCCGCGGGCGAGGTCCGCGCGGCCATCTGCCGCAGTCGCTGGCTGGTGCTGCAGCCGCTGCGTGCCGCGCCGCCCGCCCGCCACCGCGCCTCGCCCTCACCACGCTCGCCACCCTCACCACGCTCGCCACCCTCACCACCGCCGCCACCCGTCCCACACGACGCCGCCGGAAACATCTCCACCTACCACGACAAAGAACATGGATGGATTGTGTGTTTTTTATGTTTTATCTTGGGTTTTGGAATATTATCAGACGCTAAGACCTGTAGGATTGCAATCTGCATAAATCTATTGTCTTGTCCTTTTTCAGAGTTCATACCTCACCCGTTAGGGATAAGAATTGAAGGACATTCTTAGAAGCGATGGTTTTTATTTCCTCTAGATAGAGTATATGGTGTTGGAAAGTCCAAAGGAGATATTTCGTGTATGCAGCCCACTCATGGTTACAACCACATTAAGGATAAGTAGTGGCGTTTCCTAATCAATATATTATGTGAAAGATAATATGGATAAAAAAAGAATATTCTCAGATATGACTGCAGACAGATAAGATGACGAATTTTAGAAAGGCTAAAAGCGAGGCATTGTACTAAAAAGGTCGGGGAATACTGGTGGAAATAGATACTCACATTAAACATTGTCGTGGACGCAGCCTTGAAATTCTCTAAAATCCTGCAAAACCTCTCGAACGCGTATCTGAAACGAATGAAATAGAATTAATAATGGAAGCTTAAAACTTTTTTTATCTCTACATTAGAATTGAGCCGTAAGACAGTCAAAAAACTTTGTTTACTACTATTTATAGAATTAATAATATAAGCCAGCAACAGGTCAGTCATTCATTCATTCATTCATTCATTCATTCATAATTTAAGAGCCACGCTCTTGTCGGTGCAGCTCTAGCCACTTTCCACGATCTTCCAACATGCTCTTTAAATGTTGATACAACACGACTCTTTAGAAATCAACTCAAATTTGCTTGATGTAGTACCATGTGCTTCCCCTCCCTCGATAATAATTTTCATAAATTCATCGTGGCATACCAAGTGTCCTAACTTTTTTCCTCATCTATTTTCTATAGTATTCTGTTCAAAATCTACCCTATACCATCGTAAGCACAGATTATTATATTAGAGTCCGTTAGTTTTCTGTTCCCGCGTCTTTCCTTCCCCTCCCTTAACTAGTAACAAACGGACCGTACAGCGGCCTTGACGCGCGCGCGCATTGTGTTGTGAATTAAAATAAATTAGAACTGTGAAACCTACTGTGAAACTGGAAAGCTAGCGAAGATACCTTCGAGACCCTGAAGCCCAAGAAATCCGCAGAACCATACAGGTACGAAACTGACGCTCACACTAATTTTTCCCTATATATATATATAAAGTACTTTCCCTAACATTTTGGTAGCAGAATAGTTTCCCAAACATATTCTATATCTGCCTTTTTGCTTTCACCCTGTGTAGTAGTACTTCTTCATTTCTTACTTTATCTTTCCAGCTAATTCTTGCCTTGGAGAAGAATTCTCCAACACCACATTACAAAGGCCGTCCAGTTTGTCCCTTTCTTTCTGAGTTAAAGTCAGAGTGACCAATTTCATCTCGGTTGAAAACTTCTATAATAGTTAATGTGTCGATTTATTAAGCCTAGTGACCATAAACTGCGGATCCGAGGGTGGCTTGAGGAAATAGAATCTCATATAGTTTCAAATTTAGTTAAGAGTCCCGCAGTTTACATATAAAAGAACTTACTTGTGACGGGCTTGGTATGTACGGTGATTATGAACATGTAAACATACACAAAGAAAGAAAAACATTTACAAAGAACTATTACTTCACTACTACTTTTCTTCATATGTATATATAATATGTGTTTATTATATAGATACTTACTCTTTCTCGAACGGGCGGTCGAACTCTTGACACAGACAGACTTTGTGAACGATTTTCTTTGTGATATCACTTTCTTGCGCTAGCAGCTGCAACTGCTCGTGTATTATAGCCGCATCTGATTGAGAGAAACGTAGAATAGTATCATCATTTAAAAAAATACACTTTTGAATAGTTAGTTTTAATCTATCACTCACTTGGAACACAGTCTCATCCCAAGAAGGCTGATATAGAAACTTACGTTACTGCGTTAACTTGCGTTTCGCTCTAGACATTAACAAGGATTAGGCATGCGATAACAGCACATTAGTACTACATAAGCCGATACGCACCGTCGTGTGTGAGCCGCAGACTGCGGAGCCGCGCGAGGTCCCAGCGCTCCGGGTGCGGCGCCGCGCCCCCCGCCGCCCCGCCCGCGCCCCCCGCCGCGCCCGCACGCAGCCGCAGCGCCCGCACCACGCCCGCCGCCGCCGCCCCGCCGCCTGCGCCGCCACAATACAACACACATATATCACCTCCTCATCTCCCAGACACGTAAAACACTAGCCGGTCGTAAATAGTATTTACTATCTATATACAAAACATTTTTAAGTATAGGGCGAGTGCAGTGTGCTCGTGGACTTATGGAGCAGCGGCTGAAGGCCAACCCGCCTGACGGGTACGACTTTAGTCTGAGGGCACTACTAGGGATCGACCCGTCGTAATTTCGAGCTCAGGACTGATTAATGTGAAAGTAACCTTATATATTTTGGGCAAAACGAAACCATAGCGTTATTTACGGTTACAACAACACCATCTAGTATAATTTCAAAGAACTACATTTACCTTATGCCTGTAACAAAGTGGCAGAAATGGTAGCTACCGTGTGCGAATGCCCACACCACATACCCAATGAAGAGCGTGATAGGCTGGCTTGTTGACGAGTTCAAACCTCAACTCGAGCTGTAGTCATTTCAGTCAACATGAAAAATTACTTATGTATTTTGCCCAAAACGAAACCATAGCGCGTTTTATGTTTAAGAATTATTATAGTAGTAATGGTAGTTACCGTGCGCGAGCGCCCACACCACGTGCCCGATGAAGAGCGTGATGGGCGGGCCGTTGTTGGCGAGGCACAGACACAGGCGGCAGTGGCAGCCGAACCGCACGCGGTACACCCACTCCGACTGCTCCATCTCCGTGCTGGACAAGTTCAGACATGTTTACACAGGTTGGTGGAAAAAAAGTACGGATGATGAAAGAAATTTTAAGAAGTGTTAAGCAGAAGTTTAGATGAATGAAGTTGAGAGGAATTTGCAATTAAAAAAGTCTCTTCGCATTACATGGCTGTACCATTTGGGACGACTTTCGACGACTTTCTGTTATTATAGCCACTTTAAAACTATCGCAGATGTTTTCCTTTAATATATAAAAGTGCAAAAAAGGGCATTGACCTTCAGTCTACCCTTACCAATATTATAAACATGAACAAACATCCCTAATGTTTGTTACGCTTTCACGCAACAACTACAAAACCGATCATCATAAATTTTTGTACATGTTTTTGGAGGTATTAGAATATAAACATAGGGCATTTTGTATTAAAACAATTAAATAAACAGTAAATATAGTGTGACGTACAGGTCGGTGTTGACGAGGGTGTTGATGAGCGCGCTGATCTCGCACCACGAGTGGTACAGCCCCATCAGCCACTCCTCCACCGCCAGGAACTTGTGGGACGAGCACGACGAACTGCACGCCACACGCTCCACCTCTGTACAATCATCAAATTCAAATTTAATAATCATTTATTCATGTAGAACATTTTAGCCGCTTATGAACGTCGATTTTTTTTATATTATAGTTTTTTCCCTACCATCCAGTTCAGTATATAAAACCAATTGAGAAGGACTGGCAAGAAACTCAATTGAATTACTTAAACTTATATATAGCATATACTATATCTTAATCCTAATCCTAATGATAATATTATTAATTCAAAAGTAGGGAAGTTTCTTACTCTTTCTCGCAAAACAGAACGACTACTGAACAGATTTTGATGAAACTTTACAGTAATATGCATCAGAATACATATAGGCTATAAATTTTATTGAAATTTAACGCGGGTGAAATTGCGTGCACATATAATAAGTACATATATTTATTTGTGTATGTTTTATAAAATATATTATAATACTAGCAGTGTAGCCCTCGGTTTCAGCCGCGTTTAATGTGTTATTCTTCTGTATAAAATCTGTCAAAACCCGTTCAGTAGTTTTTACGTGAAAGAGTAACAAACATCCATGCATATTCACAAACTTTCGCGTTTATAATATTAAGATTAAGATATTAACTTACCACATACATACTGCAACAGGGCGGCCTCCTCTTCAGGCGTGACCATTTCTTCGCACTCGACCGTATCCCCATTGTCGTTTCTACAATAAATAAATCCATAAAAAAAATAGCTTCACGACTGTCATCCCAGATGGGGTAGTCAGGCGCGTTGTCAACTGTCAACAGAGAACAGAAAAAGAAGCAACACTTGACATGTCCAGATTTCTCTCTGTATATTTGAATCCATCATGGATCAACAAATAAATAAATAAAATAAAATAGTCCCCAAGTATGGCACTATGTTTATCAAGTTAGGTTTTTTATGGCAATGTAATGATGCCCCAGCCTACGCTGGCGGGGCTCCAGTGTATCCCACTGGTACCCCGCCAGTGTAGGCTGGGGGTTATCCATATTAACAAACATCAATGTTTTAAGTCAATGATCCTAAATAGCTCTATATTCTGTTTTTAAACCCGGAGACTGACGTTTTTTTTAAAAGTTGCCAGGTTTTTGCATTTTTAAAATAGGGTTGTGGCACTATCGGAAATTAATATTAATCAACAATTTTTATAGGTTACTCAGAAATAATGTGTGAGTATTTATATAAAACGCATTAACAAAATTAATAAAGTATAGGTATTAATAAATATATAGTTGTTATATCAAAATAGATTTTTTTTTTCCACTGAAATAAAGACTAACTGCCTATACCCTTATAAAACAAATGACCTTTTTATTGTGTCATATATCATAAAACAAACACCTAATTAAAATATTTTGCTGTTTGAAAGAAATAAAAATTAGATTTGTAGCTTAATACTGTAAAAATTACTATTTGTACGGAAACGACAAAAATGTATTTTTATACTGACTACGATACGACGACAGTAATGGAAACACAAAAAAAACACTAGTATATTTACGTAATTTTTTTAATTCTGTTGTGGAAACCTCATTTAACGCTTTAAAACTAATGTTAAAATAAAAGTTTCCGATTAAACAAATCGGTATCGCGGTTAACACCACTACTACGCAATAGGTGATATTTTTTGAAAATTTAGTCTATGGGATTAAAAAACAGTCTATACCTACTCTGATCAGTGATAATTACACTTCAATAACTGTGTATAATACATGTGTCCGACATGCGTGGTCCCTAGTAATATAAAGCATGCTTACCTATCGGCTTGTGGCTCAGGCAGCTCGCTTTCTTCTACTGGGTTCTCTTCTCGTGGTCTCTCTTCTGCAGACGCCAGTAACTGCAAACAAACACCATTTCTGTACATTTAGTGGGAACAGATTTTTTTGACACTTCAATGGCAAATTTATGTCTATTTAGTGACATAGCTAATATAAGGGAGTAATAGTACGACTTCAACAGTTGATCTGTTGAATTAGCTACATCATATAAATTTGCCATTGAAGTGTCAAAAAAAACTGTTAACAAAGACTTAGAAAATAAAATGAGAGTAGCAATTTCTAAACTGGAGCCTTGGTTTCATAAGCTATGATCTGAAAAGCAAGCATACCCCTCACATTAACAGACCAATTACATAAATATCTCTTTTTGGGCTTATGTTTTGATTTCGTTTTAATTTTCTAATAAAATAAAAAGTTTTTCTGTTGACCCATTACTAGACTAGTACTAAAATTGGTAAGTATTTTTGGGGGGTGGGTTTAGGGGTGTCGCGTTTGTGATGTTTGGGAAGCCTGTTATAGACTAACATACAAATGAAATAATAAGATGTAAATATAAATTGTCTGTGTGGTCACAGCACTGTCGACGGTAATCTACGACGGTAGCGCCGATACACCACACCCTTCGGCCAGTAATCCTCGTTCATGAAGGTGGCCAGCATGTTATGCTCGACACTCAGAATATGCCATTTTTATTATTATTATTATTGTGCAGGAATCAAACCCGCGGTCATCAACAAGTTAGAGTGTGCTAAACTGCTAAACTTCAAGGATATCGAGAAATACCTGCAGTATATCCTCGTGGCGGATGAGAAAGTGCTCAGCATCAGGCGTCGCCGGGTCAGCACTGAGGAGTGGCAGTAGAAACTGACCCATCGCTGGTGGCTCTGCTTGCTGTAAACCAAAAAAATATGTATGTTTCAAATGCAATGACAAACAAGCTGACAGTCCACCTGTTGGTAAGTGGTAACCTTCGCCTATATACATGGACAGTCTTACAGACATCACGATATCATGTGACATCAGCAATACCAATCATGCGTTGCCATTCTGAAGGACTAAGATATCACGCCTCTTATCCTATAATTTCACTGCCTAATCGGCTCCTACAACCGAAATACAGCTTACAAAGCAAGCTGCTTGGCGTGCTTTGTAAGTTTGCTTGGCCACTCATGCATAAATGTAATATCTCCTAAGTTTACATTCTATCCCGAGGAAATAAAAATCATAGCTCCTAAGAATATCCTTCAATTCTTGTTAGTGACGGGTCTGGGTAGTGAACTATGAAAAAGGGCGAGCACAATAGATCTATGCACGTCGCCGTGCTACAGGTTCAAGCACCTGACAATAGCCCAAACAACCCAATAAAAAAACCGTTGAAATATAGCTACTCAATACATTACATAAAGTGATTCTTGTGAATTGAAAGTCAGGATGTTCCTATAATAGTGTGTCAATGATATTAACTCTCGGTGGCCTAGCGGTTTCACACACCGATTTACTTCCGATGGTCGCGGGTTCGATTCGCACGGTGCAAACTTGGTATTCATGAGTATGATGGTTTGTATCGGTCTGAGCGTTTTCTAAGTGTATTATATATGAATTTACATATATATATAATTTATTTATATCAGTTGTCTAGTACCCATAACACAAGTTCTGTTTACAGTGGAACTACACGGCGCTACGTTAATTGTCCAAGGTTCTTTATTTATTTATTACAGCCGACCCGCACAACTTCGTCTGCGTCACATTTGCTTGATATTTATCATTATACATAGCTCAATTAACATATTATCGTGTTAAATTATAGCATATGTTATTTTGATGTATAAGGTATATTACTGTAGTTTCATCAATATCTGTTCAGTAGTTTTTGCGTGAAAGAAATAGAAATAGAAATAATCTTTATTCAAATAAACTCATTACAAGCACTTTTGAATAGTCAATACCACTCATCGGAATGCAGACTCATCACAAGAAGAATGAGAAAGAAACTTGTGTGTTGCTCTTTTTAATAGATGTTTTTTTTATATAAATAATTACAGTCTAACAAGTAAGAGGCATGCGACAATCAACATAGAAATCGCTACGCACTCATTATTAGTGTAATCAGATAATATTGTCAGTGCTATGTATTTAAAATTTTTCTACAAAACATTATTATCGTTAACGTATTCTTCAATTTTAAGAGTAACACACATCCATCCATACTCACAAACTTGCGCGTTTATAATATTAGTAAGATTATTTGATGATCAAAATGATGATAATGTTGGTACTTACCGCCTCCTTATGTTGGTACCCATTACAGTCAATCTCAACGCCGGGAGCATTCTTCAAGGACGAACTATCAGAGGTACCAGCTAGAAATAAATAGGTGAATTTAAAAAAACCAGGCGATATCTTTTTTTAAATTACAATAAAAACCAAGCTAACAACTAATTTGGTGGAATGTGGGAACCGTAAGCTAAACTTGAAAGTACCATGTATGCTGTTGCCGGTCAATTGCCCACAGTTCTTTTTTTTACATTTATATTAGCTACTCACCTCGGCTGCGCACGGTACATGTATTTTATATATATAAACCTTCCTCTAGCCATTCACCACCTATCTTTTTTATCTTTTATCGCTATATATTATATATATAAACCTTATTCTTGATTCACTCTATCTATTAAAAAAAACCGCTTCAAAATACGTTGCATAGTTTTAAAGATTTAAGCATACATAGAGACGGGCAGACTGCGACTATGTAATATTATTTACAATCCCAATTTTTTACAATCTCGGTGGTCTAGATATATCATACGTCCTGCGTGAATTGTTCAGGGTTATTATTATTATCTTTCAGCACACTTGCTCGTAAAGTGGATCTACTTTCAACATTTTCGATATATATAGCAACAAAAAAGGCGTGTAATATAAAAGCAAATAGTGAAGTTATATTTCATAACTGTACTATGACTAATTTTATTTTTCTTAATTTTCGAACTGACTGCCCTCAATTTATATTATGTAAAGATGTATTTAAGTATTTCTATCAGTTGTCTAATCAGTAGTTATAGGCAACACAAGCTCTGCATAGCTTGGGACTAGATGGCGCTGTACAAATTCTCCATTGTCATTCTCATTATGATATGTACTTACATGGGGAAAGGTGATTGTTAGCAATGTGTAATGTGCAATGACAGGTTGACCTCCATACCATTCCCCCTGGAAAACATCCTTATAAATTCCTGGTTGATTTATCATGATGTGCTAACTGATCTGACTTCATGTTCATCCTATCATCCTCCACTGGTGGAGACAACGACTAACCTGCAATGGTTCACAGCAACAGCGTAAACTGTTGCAGGCGGATGCACCATTCCATTATCAACTAAAAAAAATGTGTAGTTACAAGCGTCGTCGAGTTCGGTCCACTGGTCATCAGAGTCGGAGTCTGCGCCGACATCGGACGCGTCCGACACGTCGGACACGTCCCACTGTGGTTCCGGACGCCGCGGACGGATCGACGCACGCCGCGCCGCGCAACGCCGCCGAGACAACTGTTCAAATTCAAATTCAAAAATCATTCATTCATGTAGGACATTTTAGCCGCTTATGAACTTTAATTTTTTTATAATTTTTTGCCTACCGCCCAGTTCAGTATATAGGTCCAATTGTGAACTGGCAATAAACTGAATTTAATTACTTTTTTTTAAGCCATAATACAGATGTCTATATCTAACATGAAATGAAATCCCGTGCATGAACAACTATTGCCATGCACACTCGTCATTCAAGTAATTGTTTAGTGAGTAATTTAAAAAGGCTTTGCTCAGTAAATGTGACTTAACAGTTGTTTTGAATTTATTTAAGGGTAAATATGGTTACAAACAAATGTACACATATAAAATAAAATATCTAGTATTATCACTAACTCTAGGTATTCTCTAAGTTATGCCACACATTAAGAGGAGGGATGTCTATATCCTATACTAACAGATCCGACCAGGCATTGCTGTGGCTAAGGTAATTAAGTTTAAGATAAAATAAGGTAAATTATATTGCGACTATAAATTGAGATGTAAGCTATCCTATCTTTCAAGTTGGATCTAATTGCACACAGTGTGCAAATCAAATTTATAAAAAAATATCACTGTTCAAAAGTGCTTGTTTAATATATAAAGTTTATATAAATAAATATTAATTCTATACCTATAAAGTGTGACACTATAACTCCTCCAGAGTTATAGTGTTGAAAGCTGCTGTTACATAAAGTTAAATTCAAAATAATTTATTAATATAGGAATGTTAGACATAAAAAAATGTCACTATCCCTAGGGCCTTTCTCTAAATTGTGTAACAGATTAAAAGGGGGTAGGATGCGGGTGGGAGGGGAGGAGGGAGTGGGGCAACTTCATTAAAATATAGGAGGTACCTCTTTTCCTTTGATGATGGGGCGACGTCTTGGGATTCTCTGAGGGCGCGGACGGCGCCGAGCTGGCCCTGACCATGATGATGATGATGATGACGACGAGGATGATGATGACGTTGTTGATGATCCAGAACCAGACCCAGAATGGGAACTGCGATGACCCATCTGAAAATGACATAATTTTAATTACTAGTCACCTGTCAACAGTAGATAGATAGATAATTGATTTATTGCCAACCTAACACAAATAATACAATTTACAATAAGACACAAAACAAGAAATAAATAATAACATAGAAAGTTATCAATAGGAGATGCCTCAGCTGTTGCTGATATAAGCACAACCTTAATGAGGTGCACCTACAGCGCAGGTTTTCAGGCAGCCCCCATTACTTATTAAAAAAATAGATATATATAAATTTATTATATTAAATAACAAAAAATATATATATTAAACTAGATCTAGGATACACAAATATAAATACATATAAAATGAATTACAATATTCAATACTCATAAAAACCAAAATCAGTTACAATACAGTATCAAAAGTAAAAATAAAAAAAAAATAAAAAGTTAAAAAGAAAAGGCAATACTGTCCAGTAGTATCAGTAACACCAGTAAATTCACACAAGGCCATTTGATCCCAAATAAATGAAAGTCCTTTAAAAATATAAATAACACAAGTTATTTATATTTTTAAAAGACTACAATGAGAGTTATAATAGAAAATCATTTATTCAAATAAACTTATATTGAAGACTTTTGAATAGTTTTAATGACTTGCGTGTTGCTGTTTTAAATAATTTTATTAGATCACAGTGTGTGAATACAAACCACCAATTCCTAATTCTATTAAATACTCTTCCATCCCCTTCCAGGGGACTGTTAACCCCATTTATAGCAATGTACCATCAGGTTCTGATATCCTAGAGACGAGACCAGAAAACAGGGTAGCAAAAAAAACATGTTGGATCACATCAACCTGACTCTGAGACCATTCTGGAATAGGGTTGTGGAACTCAGAGTACAATGGAGACAGCTGCAAGAGGCCTATGCCAAAAGGAACACCCAGTTATGGAACATTTTATAAACCACAAATGTACCAAAACTTTGAGAAAAAAGGATTATTATTATTATTCTTCAACTAATGAGAGTGCAAGGGTGTGTGTTTAGGAACAAAGAAATAAGTAATTTATTTATGTAATATTGTTGTCCACCCTAATCAACCTAGAGGTTATTTATTAATAACCCCAATATGCATGAGAAAGACACAAATATTGGAATTGGATAAAGTGTATGACAGTTCTTGACTACTTTAAAGCCAGAGAGATCAAAAATCCCTGTTAGCCGTTTGGTAGATTGGTAGAAAATGCCTTAAGGTGTTAAATCTACCATATGCACCTTTGTTTGTATATATTTGTATTAAAGTTTTAGTAAAGAAATAGTGTACTTTTTTCTAACAAGTATTATAGGTATTAAAAATTACATTTATTGTTAAATAGACACTTTTGTACACATTTTTGAAGACATCATTTGTAAAAAAAACATTAATTAATCTTTAATTTAACTATTCAGAGTCTATAAATAGTCTCATACAACTGCAAATTAGGGTCCAAAATGAACACAGAACAAATTGGAGTTATGTTACTACTATAGTAATGGAAGTAACAAGTAGTTTAGGTATTAAAAACTATATTTTTTTGTACATGTACCATTTAGAACATATTTATAAAAATATAATTTATAATACTTCAAATTTCTACTAACAACTTTACTGAAATAACCAAAAAGACTCTGGTCATATAAAATTTGGGTTCAGAATAAATACAGAACAAATGGGAGTTACAACATCTATTTAAATTCATATCTGTGTAAATCTTATGAGAGAAATTGTTAACTAAACAAATAAGTTCATTGACATTTACAGAGTATGACAGAGCAATAGTTTTATATATGTATATATATATATATATATATAGTAGAAAATTATAAGGAAAAAATTAAGTATTCTCAACTTACTGTGATCTCGAACATCGATGGAAAGTCCTGTAGCTGCTCCCCGTCAGTTATATCAACCAACAGATCGAGCTCTGCGCTTAGATCTGCCAATTCCGCTCCGATTCTATCCACTCTGTCCGCATCACCCAATTCGTCCTTCAGAATGTCACCAATCTCATCCGACACAGCGGCTACAGCAGAAGCCACTTCGTCTGACACACCCTCTTTACCTAGGCCTTCGCCCCCGCCGGCAAAAAGCTCGGTGTCTTCCGAAGTACCCCTATTACTGAGCACCGTACATTTCTCCATTGAAAACATCATTTAGGAAACGAATAACGTAATAAATTTGTTAAACGAAACATCTAAAGTCTATCTTAGTCGTATTTAATCACTGAAACACAGCAAACTCGGATGTTATTTCATGAAAAACCATTTTTTCATCGGCAGTATATGTGGGGAACTTTTTGACAATTCCAATATGGCGACGATATTTTTAGGTATTTTCTGACCAGTCGTAATCGGTCAAACTAGTAATATTATCTATGGCAACATTTTACAATAACTTCTTGTTTCTTCTATTTCTGCGTAATTTTAAGAGTTAGATTTAGTTCTTTATATTGATTGTTTAAAGTTAAAATAATTATTCATTTTCACCCTAGAATACTGATAGTGTAACTGAATATTGCTATTATTAGACGGTTGATTAACCTAAGAAAAAAATTACGCACCGTCTACTGTAAGATACAGTATTGAAAAATGGAAGATTGTATTGTAACAGTAGTATTTTATAAAACAGGAATATTTATTATTTCATTGTACAGTTTAAAATCTAAAAATCAAAATCCGGTTCGTTTTATCCGGTAAAGCCGGACAGTGTACAAGATTCCTACAGCAAGTATATGTATTTCAAATTTTTTACAGTTGTCAAAACTTTGACATTGACGTAGTTGGATTCTGCGCTATTGTTTGTAGGTTATGTGAAATATCTAAATATATTTTTGTATAAAAAGTACGATGCGGTTAAAATACCGCAGTGCGTTAATTTATAAAAAAGACTATTTATATTTTATACCTCAATTGCATACTATATTAATTTAGTTGTATATAAAAAAATGTAAGAATGATCAATTAAGTGATGTAATAATGATTTTTTTCTAATTTATAAATAGATATTTTCTATAATCATTTAGTGTTAATTTAAATGAGAACTAATTAAGTTATTAAATAATATATCATGGCTGTGCAAAACAAAGTTTTATATGCTTTTCGTGGATGGATAGCATTTGTGGCTTTTATGGATTTGGGAACGGCTGGCCGGTCGTATATTGAGGGAAGATCGTTTCTGAGTAATAGTGCTGATACCGAACATTATGACGGTAAGATTTATAATATTAATATATTGTCTATGAACATAAAGTCAAAAAACATCTTAGATATAGAATAAAATATATTCTATTGTAGAACTTTAAAAGCATAATAATAAACAAAGTAACACTATACTATTAAAAGATAATCTGTTTCTGAATTTAACATCACTTTTAAGATTAATTGTCAGTAGAATTTTTGTACTTTAATTTTCGTTCCATTTATAAGCACAATAATAAATAATTAGAGCGCCATCTAGTATCATATATTGTAGTTAAAATTGAAGTGCACAGATCTGTCAATAGATGGCGCTTTTTTTTTTTTTTATAAAAAATGTATAAGATGTTGACAATGCGTTTCATTATTTTTCTGGGATAGTATTTGTAACTCTTAGTTTTTTTTTTATGTTTTTTTCAGGTGAATTCACAATATCTCGTATGCTGGGCATGTATTCACTGTTGAAAGCATTGGCGCTCATTCACTGTACACTATACATACATTATAGGCCGTAAGTATGAAGTGATTAGAATCATATTACTAGTATCCAACTCCACTACTTCAGCTATATAGGGACGTAATATCTTTGTGAATATATCTTTCAAACATATATAAATGAGGGAAGACAATTATTTGTAATGGCAACATTACAAACAAAGTATGTAATGTTGCACTTACAAATAATTGTGTGTAAAAATGTAATAATATAATAAGGATATAAGGAATAAATAAATAATGTAGTAACAGCTTATCCCATAATGTAATAAACGGGATTAACTTGAAAATTACAATCTTTGAGAAATCCACTCTAATTAGTAAACTTCAAAGTCTAAATTAAAATAATGAAATTTGTGAGTTAATCCAGTATTGCACTAGATGTGCAATATTATAATACATAACGCTACACCTGTGAGATCATTACTTATTAAAATTGTTTCTACCTTTATAACTGTTTTTTTAATATCTTGTTTACAGGGTGGTGTCAATGGGTTATTGGTCCCTGACACTTACAATCATCCTGTATTTCAGCGAGGCCTTCTATTATCATTCAACTGATCTTAATTTCTATGTAGTGTTCCCCTGTATATTAAACAGTAAGTTTACTTTATTGTATATAAGTACTAGCTATGTGTTGTTCTGATGTATAAGATATATTACTGCAAAGTTTCATCAAAATCCGTTCAGTAATCTATGAGTGAAAGAGTAACAAACATATGTCTATGCTCACACACTTTTGCATATATAATTATAATACATATATAATTATATATCGTCAAATTTACATAATATCTTATTAAATTAAAGTTAAAGTTAAGTAATTAAGTTAAAATTAATTAAAATTAAAATTATTCTTATATCTTTTTATAATATGGATTAAAAAATACACACAACCCTAAATTTTCACCCTTCTGTCACCAACCCCAATTTTTTAATACCGATTTTAATTTATAAGGCAAAACAATGTTTACCGGGTCAGCTAGTAAATAAATAATAAAAAAATTTGTGCAAGAGCAAACTTGTTTTATATCTCTGAATCACTATTTTATATCTCTATTTTTATACATAGATTATTTTAATGTTTATTCTAATGGACGGTAGGGAAAAAAATATAATGTAAAAACTTGATGTTCATAAGCGGCTAAAATGTCCTACATGAATAAATTCTTTTTTAATTTGAAGTCAAATTTTGAATTTGAATTTGATTTTAATTATAGCCTGTATATTATTCTCATATATAAGCTATATTACTGTAAAGTTTCATCAAAATCCAATCAGTAGATTTTGTGGGAAAGAGTAACAAACATTCATCTATACTCACAAACTTTCGCATTTATAATATTAGTAAGATGTCATATAGTATCTAGATAATTATTGAATGCTGGTAATAGTATAGTTTTTATATAGCTTTTATTACTTTTAATAATTTGATATATTCACATATAAATAATAATATATAATAATTACAACTACAACTTAGGATAATTCACACAGCGCCATCTATTCAACTATGGGTACTAGACAACCAATACCATAGTCTGCTTCTTCCTTATCCTATTTATTTGTGGTCCGTGTAATATGTTTTCTCTTCCATTCATCCCTGTCTGCAGTCATCTCGTTATTTACTCTCTAACCATATCATCTTTCACACAGTCCATCCATCTCTTTTTCGGCCTTCCTCTGCCCTTATAACCATCCACACTCATATGTAACACCTTCCTTAAGATATTATCATCATTTCTACACATTACTTACTACGACAGACGTTTACTCTTTAACCTAACCTCAACCTGTTCTAACAAGACAACTGATATAAATACATTTTTATTGTAAATCTAATACATAGAAAACACCCAGACCCTTGCAAACAATCATACTCACGAATAGTAATGTTTGTGTCGTCACGTAGAAGGAATCGTACCCGCGACCATCGGTCGTAAAGCGGCGTGCTGAACCGCTAGACCAGCGAGGCCGTCAATTTTAATTTATTATACTTTTTTTTTCAGTTATAACCCTTCTGGGACTTATTTACTTGCCAAGTAAACTGAAGCTGTTTGGCAGCATCCCTGGCACATCAGGCATGGACCGGGAAGTGGAAGATGAGAATACCCAAATCCTCAGACAAATGGGTAACTTCAGACGACGGAAACCGACCACCAAGAACAAACATGTGTGATGGTGTATAAGAAACTGCCAAGGTAGATTTTGTACATGGTTATCTGTACCTTTGTCTCACCTATTTCATTCCCCACGCAGTGTTGTAAGCTGTTTCGGTATGTAGGGTGAGATTTGGCAGTGAATTTTCAGGGTACAACATGACAGGTTAACGCGGGAATGGCAGCGCATGGTACACTATCGTTGACATTTACTATAGCGCGCGCTTTGCTATATTTTACCATTAAGGGGGTAAAATAAAAGAGGGGATGTAAATTCGTTATTTTTGAAGCTAAAACTATGAAACTTTCTTTGGCTTTTGTGGGTTAGTCTATGAAATATTTTTTCTTTATTTGGTTAATATCACTATTCCACGCGGACGAAGTCACAGGCACAGCTATTATTAATGTAAATACTTCTTTATGAATCTCTTTTTTATATTATAATTAATTTGATTTACATATACTATTATAACAAAGATTTTTTACAATTTTATTTATAATTTAATTATTTAAATAACAATTAAGTTTGTATTCTAGTCTAAATAAACTGCACTGGTTTTAATTATATTATATAGATATTATATATATATATATAAATATTATATAGGATTGTAGTTATGTAGGTTTATTACTCACGCCTGGTTAAATATGTAATCAGTAAAACCACTCTTTAAAAGTCCAAAAACGTTAATTAAATATAAATAGATAATAAGATTAATTAAAAAATGAAAAGGTACTGCAAAGAGAAAAGGTACTGTAAAGAAAAGAGACAGATCATAAATATTATAGAAAACAGGTGGGGGAAAATGTTGGGGCGCTTGTTACGACACGGCGAACTTATCAATAATATTATCGAAGGAAAAATAGATGGAAAGAGAGGAAGGGGAAGTCCAAGTCCAAGACAAAACTATATTAAGCAGATTAAGGAAAAAGTTGTAGTCGTGTCGTATCAACAACTGAAGACATTGATGGAAGATCGTAGAAAATAGCAAGCGCTTAAAACAGCTCTTAAATCGTGAATGAATGAGATAATAATATAGTAATAGATGTCGATCCGATGGAAATTGACTAAGTTACGCCGCCATTTTGGGCTATCTTGGATTTTCCCAATTTTCGGAATTTTCTCGTGGTCAGCTTAGCGAAAGATACTTTCCCCATAAATCGCAACGTCCCCCCGGTAGTCCTACCTGGAGAACAATTCGTTGACTCAGTGACCGTAATGCAGCTTTATATAACTAAATATATATAACTTAAAGGTGACTGACATAGTGATCTATCAACGCACAGCCCAAACCACTAGACAGATCGGGCTGAAATTTGGCATGCAGGTAGATGTTATGACGTAGGCTAAGGCAGGCTAAGAAAGGATTTTGATTAATTCTGGCCCCAAGGGGATGAAAGTTTGTATGAAACTTTGTCAATTTTAAACCGATCGGGCTGAGACTTGCATGCATAAAGCTACTATGACGTAGGCACCTCCTAAGAAAGGATTTTGAATAATTCCACTCCTAAGGGGATAAATTAACGCGAGGAAGCCGCGGGCAAAATCTACTATATAATACTATACTATAAAACTATATCCGATCAGTATTCGATGCCTGATGATGCAATATATTTGTAGACTCAATGACGGTCGGAATTTGATCATCAATAGAGAAAGTCAGCCGAAAGTACGCTTACAACGGTGGTAGGGTTTCAGCACTGAATATTTGTGGTCTCACACATGCTTCTTTTATTAGGGTGTTTGGGCTATTGTGACATTGCGACCTGTATAGATCTATTGTGCTCGCTCTTATTCAAAGTTCGCTACCTAGTACTACCCTAGTAGTACCCGTCAAGAATTGAAGGATATTCTTAGGAGCGATCGTTTTTATTTCCTCGGCTCACACATGCTAATGGTAGTGGAATTAAATAAATGATAAATAAATTAATTAATTAAATGAACTTCCTCAATATAACACCTTGTTCGATAAATTATAAATAAGATCTTGTAATGTAAGTTATGTAAGTTACTACACTATTAATTATAATGCTCAAGAAGTGCTTTCCGTAGTGATTTTTGAATTTTACATATTAAGGAACTGATTATAGAGAACTGAGAGGTGAGATGTAATAAATTTTATTAATATAATAATTGCGAAAGTGTGTATATAACTGTTTGTTTGGTATTTTATCTGTGCCATGTTTAGTAAAAAAAAAATAAACAATAAAAATTCAAACAGGGCACTATAGTCAAAAAATAACAAATGGGTATTGCAGGTACACCACTACCGTACCGTTAAAAAAACAGACTGTAGTTGAACGGAGCGATTTTAGAGAAGATTTGCACTCTTTGTAACGATACTCCCCAGAAACTTCGACCAAAATTTCATCAAAGGTCAACTATGGGACTCCGTCGTTTACCACTCAAATAAATGCCGATCGGTCAAGGTCGAGTTTTTAATAATAAACGTGCTCCGCTCAACATGTGACCTGGTGTGTAAGCAACGCACCGGTAACAAACCTAGTAGAAAAAAAAATATTTTTAAAACTTTCTCGTGGTATAATATATTTTCATCATATCATCATAGTCATGAAAGAGTAACAAACAAACAGACTTGCGCATTTATAACATTAGTATGGAAGTATAATTTCGATAATAATAAATGTTGGCAACACTATAACACAAAATTTATTATAATTCTATTTTCAAAAATGTCAATACCAACCATACTACTTTTAGTTCTCTATGGCGAGTTTGATTTACTTTTAAATTGTATTATAGCAATTGGACCACACTAAACATAGTGCCATATCATGTTATATAGGGATTGTTATATAAAATAATAATAATAATAAACCCGTTTGAAAATAAAGTCTTTTATTTATTAAATATGAACCTCACACCAATTTGTATAAAAATAAGTTAACAATATTTGGACGGTATACAAACATTCAAATGGAAATACAATTATTTTTTTTATACCACGTCGGTGACAAACAAGCATACGACCCATCTGATGGTAAACGGTTACCGTAGCCTATGGACACCTGAAACACCAGGGGTGTCACGTGCTCATTGCCGACCCTTAAGAAACCTTAAAATATCCTTCTTGAAAACCCCCATGCTGTAGTCTCTCGTGAAAATCTCGAATCGATGGAATAAAGGAGTGGGGGGTGTTATTTGTATTGGTATTAGGTATTAGGTTCTACCTTTAGGCAGTTTCCTATCATTCTTAACTGGTTCCCGCCAACGTATACTGTTAGAGCAGGAGGGTGCACCATGTCAATATCATACATTAGAGAAAATCAATGTATTGATAGTATAATAATTATTTATTTATTTGTCAGAATATGGTATGTAAATTGTTGGAGATTATACAAAAATAGGTTTTATCATTATTCTGCTATTTCCAGCTAAGAATTTCATATATCAAATTGTTATAAATGAGGAATTTAGAAGTTATTGTAGAAGTTAAAAATTTCACAAAACAACATCCTATAAAAATAAATAATCTGAAGTTTACTGTTTGTAATTTCAAATTTGATAATTTTCACTGAACAGATGAAAGTATATATGGTACTTTCATCAAACATTTAATACTCAAGATTTTTCTTGAAAAATCTTGGTTGGACCGACTTTGACGGAACTTTCACTAGCAGATACATAATGTTATAGAAAATAGTAAAAAGTAGAGACCATTTTTATTTTAGAAATTTCATTTATCTTAATTCCACGCGGACTGGCGGACGCGTCTGTCTGTTTTGTTAGTTCTTGGTAATCTCTGAAACGGTTGGACCGATTTTGACGGGACTTTCACCTGCAGATAGCTAACGTTACAAGGAATAATTTGGGCCCTATTGTTAATTTGGACAATTAACGGTATATTCGACGTGGTCGAAGTCGTGGGTGATAGCTAGCTTATTACTAATCTAATAATAATCCGGTACAGGAGCGCAGGCGATTTTCACGAAATCTTCGTATCTCACTGTACCATTGTTGGAGACGTTCGCCTCACGAAATATGTTGTCCACCTGTACACAATAATAATAATATAATTATATCTCTGAAGAATCCACACAACACCATCTTGTCCTAAGGTAAGCAGATCTTATGTTATGGGTACTAGACAACTGATAGAAATACTTACATTTATTCTAAATACATACATAATATACATATATATTGTTTATTTGTTGTGTTGGCGCAAAATGTTAGGAATATCATGGACGGAGCGCCGAGCTGAGGAGCGGCTGAGGGTCAAATCCCGCCTGACGGATACGACTTTAGTCTGAGGGCACTGCTAGGTGTTCGAACCTTCTGCTCAGGCCGTCCGGCCATTTAGAACCTCGTTTGAATTGGAAGAAGGACCCATCGGAGGATTACGGTGTACAACGGAATTGATTAAAATCAAAATAACCATATATTCATGTAGGACATTTTAGCCGCTTATGAACGTTAAATTTTAACCGCGAAAAAAGTTTTGCTACTATTTTTTTCCGTACCGTCCTCGTCCGAAACTCCCGTTTTTTTATATAAAGCCAGTTTATTTACATTGTGTACTTTGTGTCTATGTCTAACATTAACTGAAAATCCCGAGCATGAACTACTATTGCCATTCACGTTGGATTGAACAGAATAGCTACATACCTCTCTAGAGGAGAGTCCCTCGCCCCAGTTCTGTAGTAAATTACGTAGTTGACGCGCTGGTATTACATTTGTTTTCGCGACGTCGCCCGCTTTAAAAGCGTTTACTACCTGCAAAAGAATAATGTCCTTTTTCAGTATAGTTCGATGGGTTTTAACATGAATGATTTTATGAGATAAATAAAGGAGTCAGCTCGTGATCATGGCTAGTGCCATGTCGAAACGTCGGAGAGGTAAATACGTTTGCCAAGCAAAAGAGTAAACGCCACTACACATCATATGTGGCTGTCGCCCACTCTTGCATAAAAGTAGTATCTCCTTTGGAAAGCTTACACTCTTTCCTGAGGAGATTAAATCCATCGCTTCTAAGAATAACTTCAATTCTTGTCCCTCTGAAATAGGGCGAGCACAATAGATCTACGTAGGTTGCATTGCTACAGGTCTAAGCACCTGACTAAAGCCCTAACCTCCCAATAAAATGCAGATTCATCCACGTGGATCGAAACTATCACGATAAATTCTTGGTGAATTTGTCACGATGGGCTAACTGACCTATACTCATGGTCATCATATCATCCTCCACTGATGCCCTGACAGGCTAAACCATTAGCGAAGATGAATAGGTGAACTGTTCCATTACATAAAAATCACCACTACTGTATTGTAATCAACTCACCTCACTAGGCAGGTTCTCCGCTCGTGAATGTATATGCATCACTTCTAGGAAGTCAGCAAACGACATTTTACCACCTTTACCTTTCAAATAACCTGTAATTGACAAATTTATACTGTCTATACCAGGGCTGATGTTTTTTTCAAACCATTCTAAATCTCTTTATTGAAACTTAATTTAAGAGTAAACAACCTTTATAATCAAAGGGCCAATCTATTTTTTTTACTTTATACTACAAAACTTTATTTATACTAAATATTAGAATAAAACAATATATAATTTAAAAAAAGCAAAGATTTCAGATACTTATTTATAAAAAAATAAAGAAATATATTTTTTAATTTTAAGTAAAACAAGTTTACTTGAAATTAAAAAATATTAGTAATATTGATTTGAGAAACGCGAAAAATAAATTCAATTTTAGAAATATGGGCCACATAAACATGATTAACTGTTGCTCATCACAGACTTAAATGATATGGGCGAGTGCAGATGGCACTTCTAACCCGCAGACGGACTATAGAGTAGCTGAGGGCCAACTCCTGCCTGGACTACCTGAAAAGACCTTACCAGTCAATTCCTGTATGGTAGGACTCATGCCCAAAGACCTCATAACTACAGTCAGCTCATCTAAAGATGTGATCTGCCCAGAACGGGCAAACAGGTAGAAGCATTCACGGAACTCTGTGAAAATAATGCAATAATATAGCAGGTATAATTATATATATATTTATTAGTAATTACATATAATTATACATAAGGTATATACATATATTATATTATATAATATAATAGGTATATATATAATATATAATAATAATAAATAACCATGGACAATTAACTACTTTATGGATGGATTACTATATTTTTGTATAATTTCGCTACAATTAGCATGTATTACTGACAATGTGATATAGTTTATAAAAAGATTTTGTATTCATTTTTTAATATGATATGGGTAGACTCAATAATGAGCAGAATTTTTATCGCCATTAGCCAAGGTCGCCATTAGAGAAGATCATAACGGTAGTTAAGTTTCCACACTGAATATTTGTGGTCTCACACATGTTAATTGTAGCGGAATTAAACAAAATAAAATAAATCCATCAAGTAATTATGGGTACTAGACAACTCATAGAAATACAGAGTTTTTTAAACATACATAATATACATAGAAAACACCCAGACTGATATAAACGATCATACTCATGAATACAAATATTTGCACCGTGGTATCGAACCCGCTAACATCGGAAGTAAAGCAGTGTGCTAAACCGCTAGATCACCGAAGCCGTATAACTGCCCTAAATGCATATTATTGCATATAATTATAAAACTTTCTCTTTACATTGCAAATACAACACTATAAGTAATATATATCGTAATTTTAAGTATTACTTATAATTATTAGAATTACAAAATATACAGTAAATAAATTACTCAGTAAATTATAGTTTTATATACTTAGAGATAACAATCACTTTACCGTCGATATCTTGTTCTTTGAAGTATCGCGCCTGCAACAAAATTAACAATTGTTTCATTATTGAAAATACATTTTTATTTAATGCTGTCGCTATATTCATTTAACGTATTATATACTCACCATAATTACAACCAAATTGAAATAAATAAAAAACAAGTAAAAAAAAAGGACAACTCAAAAAGTTTTATAAAAAATATTTAATATTTTAAACAGATTGAGTGATTGTGAATGATGGAGTGGAGTTTTGCGGACTGATGACGAAAAATTTTCAATATGAAATTATAAAATAACTACAATTTTAAATAATTATGTACAATTATAAAAATGTAGTTACGTGTACTTTAACGAGTTAAAGTTAACGTATAACATATTCAAAAAGTTTATCAACAATAATAGATGAATTAGGAACAATTCTAACAAGTTTTGTTAATAAAGTCTATCATCAGAAATACTGAATTATAATCTGTGGAATCATTGTCAATCCATATATCAGTTCACATGGTTGTCAGTTAGTCAGTTTTGTCACTCTCATCCCAACATGAAGGACAACCAATCAGCTGACAGCTAGTAAAGATTATTTTTTCCATCATCTAATTTATCAAAATTGTGTATATTATTACATAAAACTACAGTGTAACGCTTATTTAGTGCAATAATTGTGATAATTAACTTATAGTGTTATTGTTTGTAATGGCCGCATTGACCTCTTATTGGTGAGTAATTTTTCTATCGTGTTTCATTGCCAATGTTATCCAATTATGGTATTCTTATTTATAAAAAAAGAACTACTTGCCCTTCATTATATTAACATAAAGTAGCTTATCTCAGTTTCCTTAATTGATATACAAACAGACAATGTTGCGTACATTTTTCTTCCATAATTAATTAATTTACTCTATCGATTTCCACTTATTTGAAATGAGAATGTATAATTTTTGTTGTGTATAATATTAATTTAATATTTGTATTTAAGTTAATTTCTTTGTTTAGTATATGAAATTTAATAATCTAATTAGTTTATTTAATATAATTATTAATAATATGTTTAATACAACAATAATCAATTCTGTGTTTTATAGACCCTATACTAAATGAACTTTGAATTTGGAACTTTATTTACGCATTTAATGTTTGACTCTGTACCACAGATTCTTCAGCGGCAGAAATCTTGTAATATTTCATAGTAGTACAAACTGCCCAAAAATACAGTTGTTTTTTTTATATTTACTCATAGTAGTGTTTTGTATTTACAGTTAGCACTAAGAAATTTAAAGAGATTGCTTAATTTTGTTAATAAAATGTGCTGATGCAATAAAAAAATTATGTAGTGAACACAAAACTGGTGTATATAGAAAAATAAGGAAATTGCAGATTAAAAATTTAAAAATAAATTTGTTTCCACTAAATCACACAAAATTGTATTATATTAATACAATTTTGTGTGATTACAAATATGAATACAAAAATTTGTGAGTATGGATGGATGTTTGTCACTCCTTCACGCAAAAGTAATGAACAGATTTTGATGTAACATTACAGTAATATAGCTTATACATCAGAATAACATGCTATCAATTTCATACAGGTGAATCCGCAGACACAGCTAGTAAAAACAGACATAGTCTTTATTCTAATAATTGTGGCTAATTCACCTGGAATTTATTGGAAACCTTTTCCAGGGGAGAACTGCGTGAAGGTCAACCTATATTAGTACATTATCAGCAACGGGTTCATTAGTCCACATTACTGATCCTCTTTCCCCCAATATGGATATAATTTCTGAGTGGATATCTCAAAATATATACTGACAACTTTGTAAAAATACAGCAACGGTTAAAAGTAATTTGGAGTAAATTTGAATAATTGAAATCAATGGTAAATATAAGCACTGACCATAATGTTTCTTTGTTTCAGTTGCATCAAGAGAATTATTTAAGATATAAAAATGGAAGAACCCTCAACAAACTTAATAAAACCTAAAACATATTTGAATTCCAAAATATCTTAAAATATTATATATTCAAAGAATATAATAACTAATTCCGTTATATGTTATACACTAGTCTCATTATTTGTTATAAAATAATTACGTAAGGAAACACAGATTAATTATATTTATTTTATTTTATTAAAAAGAAATCATATATAATTCCATTTATAATCTGTATTGGATACAAAATATTTTATAATAAAAGCTCTACAGATAATAAATAAATGTTAAATCCATAGAGATCTATTACCAAAGAGATTGTATATTTTAAAAATAGAATAGTAGATGTGGTATCTACGTAAATGTTGCTTAGCATATGGAATGGTAATAAAGTAGGTGACAAGGATAGAAATATTGCAAACGATAAGAAGGACAAGGAGGACAGATCAAATATGGCGGCTACTATGGTAGAAACACCGCCTCCTCAGTTAATAACTACCATAGAATGGAGTATGATGGATAAGAGTAAATTTTTTCCATTGTACACATTAAGTAGTTTTACAGGTAAATATAACTTAAATTATTTATATATTTTTATATATATTCCTGGCTGACTAATTCGTGAAGGAAACTCCGAAAACAAATCATAAAAGATGATTTTGGGCCCTCCGACTATGTTGGATTCAAACATATCAAACAAAATGTGGGCATCTCACATATCCCATTAATAGTGGCACTAGCCACCCTATCTGGAAGAACAGTCATGGCGATTTTAATAATAAAGCTATTTTAATAATAAAATTAAAAACATCCAATTTTATATTTAAGATAAATTTTATTTTTTCCGAAATAAAAGTTATATTTCTACTTTGTCTGTTTATGCCGTACCACGAAATAACTTAATTTTGTTATCTCTTACCATATTAATGGCTCAAGTAATGAACTTATTTGAGAGTATACGTTGTATCTAGGATGGAGTTTGTCACTAGTCTTGTTCACAATAGTTTGCGACTCAGAGCGCAGGGTTTAGTTCGCAGTTCTTCTGCTTACTTAGATTAGGGTTACATTTTCAGATTCAACGATTTAGTTCTCAGTTCTTCTGCTCACTTAGATTAGGCTTATTTTATCAGATACAACGATTTAGTTCTTAGTTGACTGCTCATTTAGATTAGGTTTCATTATCAGGTTCAACGATTTAATTCGCAGTTCTTCTGTTCATTTAGATTGGGCTTACACTATCAACTTCAATGATTTAGTTCGCAGTTCTTCTGCTCATTAAATAATTCTCTTAGATAAGACTTACATTATCAGGTACATTACAGTATCAACTATCGTTTCCGTCTCTAGTCATAAGTAGGATGGTGTACGTGTTCTTTAGTTTAGATTGCAATAATGGTATTTTTTTTAGGCTACAAGTATAGTATAGTCTGTTTTTAGGCCCCAAGATTAGTTTGGGGCCTTAAACAAGAGACCATCTCTTGTTAAACAAGGCCCCAAATTTACTATGATCTCTTTTTAAGGTCCCAAATTTAGTATAATCTCTTTTTTAGGTCCCAAATTTAGTATAATCTCTTTTTTAGGCCCCAAATTTAGTATAATCTCTTTTTTAGGCCCCAAATTTAGTATAATCTCTTTTAGGTCCCAAATTTAGTATAATCTCTTTTTTAGGTCCCAAATTTAGTATAATCTCTTTTTTAGGCCCCAAATTTAGTATAATCTCTTTTTTAGGCCCCAAATTTAGTATAATCTCTTTTTTAGGCCCCAAATTTAGTACGATCTCTTTTTTAGGTCCCAAATTTAGTATGATCTCTTTTTTAGGCCCCAAATTTAGTACGATCTCTTTTTTAGGTCCCAAATTTAGTATGATCTCTTTTTTAGGTCCCAAATTTAGTATGATCTCTTTTTTAGGTCCCAAATTTAGTATGATCTCTTTTTTAGGCCTCAAGTTTAGTATGGTCTCTTTTTTAGGGTTCTAGCGAAGTATGGCCTTTGTAGCCCCCAATTATGTCCCTTTATTCCTATACGATTAAAATATGTTTGGATAAAGTTCGCGTCTTCGGGAGCGCTCTTGTGATCTAGTTCCTTCTCTATACAAGACTAGTTATCATAGTTCATTAGTATATCGTGGTATACTAACGATATTGTAATTGTCTGAAATATCTCTATATGTATGTGTTTATTATGTATAATACATTAATCAATTGACGAGCTCATCTCGTTAATAATAGATCACTAATTCCACAAATGCTATTAACTATTTTTTATGAAAAAAAATTACACAATAATTTGCTTTGTAAAAAAGCATATTATAAAATTTAAGAGTTTGTAAACGATAATAATGTTTTAATAGAAAATCTTAAAATTCATAGCGATTTCAATGTTATGTGATTGCACTAGGAATGAGTGCGTAGCGGTTTCTATGTTGATTATCGCATGCCTGTTACTTGTTACTGTGTAATTATTTATTTTAAATAACATCTATTCAAAAGAGCAACACACAAGTTCCTTGTTCATTCTTCTTGTGATGAGTCTGCGTTCCGAATGTGTTGTAGAATAAAAAAATATGACTTCAAAAGTGCTTGTATTGAGTTTATTTGAATAAAGATTATTTATATTTCAGAATGAAATAGAAAATCATTTATTCAAATAAACTTACATTGAAGCACTTTTGAATAGTCATCATATTTTTTTCAACCTACCGCCCATTCGGAAAGCTGTCTCATCACAATAAGAATGAATAAAAAAAAATTTTGTTGGTACTTTACATTTTTAAGTTGAAGTGTGTGAACAAACTACCAACTAGCACAAATTCAATTAAATACTCAAATAGAGAAATTTCATTAAATACACAACCAACTAGTTGAGTAAATCAGGCGTAGTGATTAGAGCAATCAGGTACAAGCAGTCGTTCACGAGTATGATGTATGAGCCAGCCAACACTGCACATTTTTTTTATTGTTAGTTACGTATATTATTTTTTAAATATGTTTTTAGTGTGCAATTTGAGGTAGACATTATTAAACCCCTAGATTTATTTAAATTTAAGTGCCCACTGGCGATCACCCGGTCCCAACGTGCAAAGTTTTCTTTGCAGAGTGACCCACCGGTGGGCATACGTTCTTCAACGTGTTAAACGGATTTTACTGTAAAATTTAAACTTTTCAGTTCGCTGCGCACTGTATCCCCTAACATTAGTAAAGACACAAATACAAGTGCAAAGGAAAAAAGAGGCGTACAGCGGTGTTGTGGACGCCATCAGGAAAATATATGCTCACGAGGGTGTCTCTGGACTTTACAGAGGATTTTGGCTTTCCAGTGTAAGTATTTTTTTATGGATGATGGAATGAAGCACTCACCTGCGCTAACGGTATACGCTGGGGGAGCACCAGTGGAGGATTATAGGATGAGCATGAAATCAGGCCAGTTTGCCCATTGTGACTTCACCAGGAATTTATCACTATGGTTTCCAGGGGCACCACATGGAGGTCAACCTAACATTGTATATTAATATAATAATAATAATATGGGGACTATTCACACAGCGCCATCTAGTCTGGGTACTAGATAACAGATATCAATACATATATATTGTAAATGCATACATAATATACATAGAAAACACCCAGACAAATACAAACAATCACACTCATGAATACAAATGTTTGTACCGTGCAAGGATCGAACCCGCGAGCTTTGGAAGTAAATCGGTGTGCTAAACTACTATCCTCTTTGTTAACAATCTCATAACATACCATCAGGTGAGACAACAGGTTGTTTGTCATTGTATTACTTTTGACGACCTCGGTGGTCTAGCGGTCTAACACACCGCTTTACGTCCGACGGTCGCGGGTTCGATTCCTCACACAGCACAAACATTTGTATTCATAAATATAATTATTTGTTTCGGTCTGGGTGTTTTCTATGTATAATATGTATATATTTACGAAAAAAATCTATGTATCTATATCAGTATGTAGTACCCATAACACAAGCTTTAGTTAGCTTAACTTGGGACTAGATGGCGCTGTGTGAATTGTCCTGAAATTATTATTATTACTTAAAAAAGTTATTGGATACGATTTATATCCAGGAGACCGATAGGTAGTCCTCAGTTTGTTTCCATTCCGTACATAAAAAAAACTAATTATACATTGTATCCAATGCAAATTTTTATCTTATCAGAATGTGTGTGGCGTTATCTCTCATTAATGATGGTATATCAACAGTTTCAGATAATCTCGGGCGTTTTTTATATCTCCACTTACGAAGGCGTGAGGCATGAGCTCGGGAAATATGATGTTAGCCCTAGAATGAAGGTAATAATAGCTATATTCTTAACAATCTATACATATAAATAAAATTGGTGTGTCTGTTTGTAATATTGAAATAACATTTTTTACAATTTTTGTCTGTCTGTTTGTTCCTGATAATCTCTAAAATGGTTGGACCGATTTTGATGGGACTTTTATTGGCAGGTAGCTGATGTAATAAGGAGTAACTTAGGCTACTTTTATTTTAGAAAAATTCTTTCGTATAAAATAACATTGTACCGAGACTTATGTTACGGCGGGCTATATTTGCCTTTTAAAAATATATTTTATTTAATTAAAACAATGAAATTATTAAAGTATAAATTGTATAATTATGTCTAATGATCGAACAAGACTACTGTAAAAATATAACAATTAATAATTGGTGTTAGGTGCCGATTCGTGGTAATTTGCTGTTCCTGGTAGCGGTGTCAGCTTATTGTGCCACACACAGCAATTTACCAGGCGTTACGCCATGGTAACTCGAGTCTACAACAAATTATAATGTAAAAACTTGACGTTCATAAGCGGCTAAAATGTCCTACATGAATAAATGATTTTTGAATTTTGAACACGGTGTTCGCAACCGAATGTGAATGAATGAATGAATGAAAACCGTGCAGTCGAATGCCATCAAATCAAATATTGTTTATCGTTGATTGTTTATACTTAATTTGTATGTATACATATCTGTGATTATTAAACAGTTATAAGAACATATTTATGATGATGGATATAAGTACACAGATGCTTATATAGTTTTTGGGAAGATTGACATATATGCATGCACGTATTCGTAATAGACTTAAATTTTTTTTAAACTATGTTCCAAATATTCGATCGTTCTGTAACTTTAGAATAGAATAGAATAGAAAATCATTTATTCAAATAAACTTACATTGAAGCACTTTTGAATAGTCATTACATTTATTTAATCTACCGCTCGTTCGGAAAGCTGTCTCATCACAAGAAGAACGAGAAAGAAACTTGCGTGTAGCTCTTGTAAATAATTTTATTATTACTTTACATTTTTAAGTTTAAGTGTGTGAATACAAACCACCAATTAGCACTAATTCAATTAAACATGTAATAATGTAAACACTTTGACATGTAATAGCTAATTAACAAATAAGATATATTTTTGTTAGCTGTCACTTTAGGTGTTGGTATAAAAAACCGCTTACAAAAAATATAGTATTCGTTTTTTACGGTTTCTAATATTACTAAAATAAAAAAAATATATATTATAATTAGTTTATCGATATATGGTTTCAATTTTACGAAGATAGCTTAGGTATTGGGAAAAAATAAATTTTCGTTAAGGGGTGTCACCCACTATTTCCTTACTATAGGGATTAGGGATGTGAAATTCAGTGTGTGGCTATTTTAGATGAAAAAATAAATAAATAGAAGGTAAGAACCCATACGACAGATAAAAATACGGAATATAGAAATTTTACAAATTATATTTTATTATAAAACAAGCTCTCTTCTGCGCGGGAGCGAAAAATTTAACTAGCAGATCGTTCATCGTACCACGAATTTGGTGGAGAGAGTTATTTATTTATTTATTTAATTCAGCCTACATGGCCCATATTATAAATACCTTATAGACTAACATACATAAGAAATAATAATCAAATATGTAAAATAAAATTGTCTCTATGGTCACGGCACTGACGACGGCAATCTGCCACGGTAGCGCCGATAGACCACCCCCTTCGGCCAGTAGTCCTCCTTCATGAAGGTGGGCAGCATATTGGTGGGGACCAGGGCCACGAACGCTTTGAAGCTCGCGTTGTGGCTCGATTCCAACTGCGTCACCCTCAATGTCAGGTTGCTTTTAATCCGGATGTAGTCAACAATGTCCTGTTCCTTGGTAGCGTAGTGTAGGCGGGATAGGTACATTGCCGTGGTCGGTGTTGCGGCACGTAACAAGAAGTTGGGCCCTGTCAGTGCTGTGCCACAGTGGTTTCGATTGACCCTCTTTGTGCGCCTCTTCTTTTGTACCGTGACAAAACCATCATCGTCACGTCAGCAGACTTTGTACACATAGGGGTCATTTTCAGAGTCACTTTAGGCTCATTCCGCTGAGCAGTTGGTTTTTTTTTTTTTTTATGTTATACCTAGTATTATGTTTATTTAAATTGATTAGAGGTAAAATTAACAACAGCCAGGTGTTGAGTTGCTGGCTGTGCCTTGCGGGACCATCCACTTACTGGGGGGACGGGGATTGTTAGTAATGGGAATTAGTAACTCCCATTGCTAGCAATGTACCATGTTAGGTTAGGTCCACCTCCACGTGGTTCCCCCTGGAAAATATCGTGATAAATTCTTGTTGAATTTGTCACGATGTGCTAACTGACCTGACCTTATGCTCATCTTATCATTCTCCACTGGTGCCCGCCAGCGTAAACCGTTAGCGCAGGCGGATGCACCATTCCATTATCATACACAAAAAAAAATAAACCATCCACTTACTTGGCAAATAAACGCGAAAGTTTGTGAGTATGGATGTTTGTTACTCTTTCACGCAAAAACTACTGAACGGATTTTTATGAAACTTTACAGTAATATAGCTTATACGTCAGAATAACATACAGGCTATAAATGACATGCGGGTAAAACCGCGGGCACAGCTAGTTAAATCATACAGTGGAAGGAAGAAAACAGATGAATTTGTCATCTGTTTTCTTATTCTCCGAATCAATTCACGAAGATCGCTTCATCTATAAGCTACAAGTAATTATAAAAAATATATTTGCTCCACTATTGTATTACGTCCCTCCGATCGATCCCCCGTCCAATTCATACGGGGATCGAAATTACGACGGCCTGAGCCGTGTTTCGAACCATTAGTGGTGCCCTCAGACTAAAGTCGTATCCGCCTTCAGCCGCTCTATAAGTCCTTCCTTTGGTTTGGAGTGCCATCTGCACTCGCCCCCTAACGTCCGGTGAAGCTGTAAAGGCCAGCTGCGGCCAACAGCATTAGAGTAGTCCGGAAAAAAAAATGTATTAGTCTACGACCTGTACAAATAGCTGTAAGAGTGGAAGTAAAATAATATAAAATGATTTTTTTTCCTGCGTTGAAGAGCGTACGTGTAAAAGCAGCTGTTGATTTGTTTCAGTCATTTATCGCCGGAGGCTGTGCGTCTATGGTGGGGCAAACTATAATAGTACCTTTCGATGTGCTCAGCCAACATCTCATGGTGTTGGGTCTAGTTAAAGGAAGGGCTGGAGGTAGCAAAAATCCGGTAAGTGATTTGAAGACCATGTTACACAGTTACGTACTTGTCACATATTATACTATTTTATATCTAGAAGTTATTCGATAATAATTTAGGATAGGTGCGCTTGCGATTTTCACGAAATCTTCGTATCTGACTGTACCATTGTTGGAGACGTTCGCCTCACGAAATATGTTGTCCACCTGTACACAATAATAATAATATAATTATATCTCTGAAGAATCCACGCAACACCATCTTGTCCTAAGGTGAGCAGAGCTTGTGTTATGGGTACTGGACAACTGATACTTAAATACGTTTTTTTTGTAAATGCATACGTAATATAAATAATAACACCCAGATCGAACAATCATACTCATGAATACCAAAGTTTGTACCGTGCCAGGAATCGAATCCGCTACCATCGGAAGTAAAGAAGTGTGCAAGACTGCCACATAACTGAGGCTTATTAGTAGATCACATAAAAAAATCTGATGCGTTGTGGGTTGGTTGATTTTTTTTAAATATACACAACATTTGATATGTTTGGGCTGGATTTGACAAGGGTCTGACTGGTGCTTTGTGATATGACCTAGGTTGTTTAATAAAATTCCAGAATTTTTTGGAGCTAGGCTGGTTTTAAGAGATCAAAGAAACCCTCTTTGTAATATTATTTCGGTTTACGCTGGCGGGGCATCAGTGGAGGATGGTAAGCTGAGCATGAGGTCAGGTCAGTTAGTACATCGTGACAAATTCACCAAATATTTGTCACGATGGTTTCCAGGGAGAATCGCGTAGAGCTCAACCCGACATGGTGCATTGCTAGCAATAAGATTATCAATCCACATTACTACAATCCCCTTTTCTCGTAAGCGTTAGTTAGAAGGCGGGTGCACCATTCCATTGTCATCCATAAAAAAAATTACATTACGGCCGGTTTTGGCGACAATCTATTTAATACGTTGATTACATCGATAGTTTCCAGGGGGAACCGCGTGGAGGTCAACCTGATATGGTACATTGCTAGCGATAAGATCAATCAATCCACATTACTACAATCCCCTTTACTCGTAAGCGTTAGTTAGAAAGCGGGTGCACCATTGTCATCCATAAAAAATATGATATGGCCGTTTATTACTATTGTTTAATCCAGATAATCAGCCAATTACGGCCGGATTTAGACGAGAATCTATTTAATACGTTGATATAACCCGGGTTGTTGGTTCCAGAAAATCAACCCACTGGGCCTGGACCTGGACAAGGGCCTGTCCCGGGCGGCGCTGGCGCGCGAGGTGGCGGTGCGCGTGTACCGGGCGCACGGCCCGTGGGGCTACTACCGCGGCTACGCGGCCTCGCTCGCCGCCTACGTGCCCAACTCCGCGCTCTGGTGGGCGTTCTACCAGGCCTACCAGGGTCAGAGACGCACACGCACATACACTCCCATACGTACACACTCATACATACCCATACACGCATATACTAGTCCAGTCAAAATAGACATTTAAGTTAGCCAAAATTCGCATAGAGCTGAAAATTGGTATAGACGTTAAATAAACTATTACATTATCTACAACTTTTGTCTAACCTATTTTCGGTTTCAGAGAGAAATGGAAAAAACATGAATTTTTGACCTTTTGGATTTGATAAAAAAATTTGCAGAAATCGGATCGAAGGGAATTTTTGAGATTTCATTTGTAATGGTTTATTTAACGTCTATACCAATTTTCAGCTCTATGCTAATTTTGGCTAACTTATCATTTTTTTGGTCTATTTTGACTGTATTATACACAACAACTCTCTATAGTAAATTTATATTAATACATGAAGCAGAAACTCTGTACTCTTTTTTATGAAAATTGAGCACACGGAGGAGTATGACATTTAGCTCATTTATATTTTATACTAGCTGTTGCCGCGACTACGTCCGCGTGGAATTTAACTTTATTTTCCTAAAATAAAAGTAGGTTACTCCTTATTATATCATCTACCTACCAAAAAAAGTTCTGTCAACATCGGTCCAGCCATTTCAGAGAACCGGAACAAACAGACAGAAAGACAAAAATTAAAAAAAAAAGGTATTTTGGTGTATGTACACATGGGACTAGATGACGCTGTGTGAATACAAAGTACTAATTAGACAAAGCACTAATTCAATTAAATATTCTAAATAAATAGAGAAAATATGCAATATACAACCAACTGGTTGAGTAAATCAGTCGTAGTGATTACAGCAGACCAGTCCCCACAAGCAGTCGTTCACGAGTATGATACGAAAACATTTCATGATTTTTCCTAATTATATGTGTAAGTTATTATAATTTATCGCGTACTATTATTGTTGAAATAAATAAATAAATATTTATGACAGATGAACTGCTGAGGATAAGTCCAGTGTGGGTGTCACATTTGTTCCTGCAGTGCATCGCGGGAACCCTGGGCGGCTTCACCACCACTTTCCTCACGAATCCACTGGACATCGTCAGAGCGAGGCTGCAGGTACAGTTTTTATTGTCAAGCAGTGGGCTGAAAATAAATTTCCTAAATAAGAACTGAATTGCACTTCAAAGTGCATAAAGTCAATTTTTTTCAGGTTAGGCTGTTTATTTGACGACCTCGGTGGTCTAGCGGTCTAGCACACCGCTTTACGTCCGATGGTCGCGGGTTCGATTCCTCGCACGGCACAAACATTTGTATTCATGAGTATAATTGTTTGTATCGGTCTGGGTGTATTCTCTTGTATAATATGTATGTATTTACGAAAAAAAAAATTATCTATGTATCTGTATCAGTTATCTAGTACCCATAACACAAGCTTTAGCTAGCTTAACTTGGGACTAGATGGCGCTGTGTGAATTGTCCTGAGATTATTATTATTATTATTTGTTTTTTTGTTAGGCTGTCATCAATTGGCCTGAATCCAATCATGGAACTGCAGCTTCAATAAGCTTTTAAAAAAAATGTCTATCAATTTTAAAAGATTCAACGTAGAGGAAAGTTGTTACTGGCCCGCGGTCTATTAGTGATTTAAAAAAATTATACGTAGCTAATATACAGATGTGTTTAATACGTTGGAGATCGCATTGAAAAATCTTATATCTCACGTAGGGACCGGCATCTTATTATTCAAATTCAAAATATCTTTATTCAAGTAGATCTATTACAGACTCTTATGATATGTCAAATCTACCGTCAGTTCGGAATGATATCTAGATGAGAAGAACTGACAAGAAACTCAGCTCGTATTTTTTTCAAATAATAGTGGAACATGTTTATTATAATATACAGTCATTAAAATTAAAATTTGGGAGAAAAGAGTGACCACCAGCATATGCTATCGCAAAAAACAAAAAATTTAATCAGTGTTGACAACCTGAACAGACCAGTCCCCACAAGCAGCACCCGTTCACGAGTATGACGTATGAGCCAGCCATCATTGTACTCAACCATATTTGAGGGAGCACATCGACCCGGCCCACCACGCCGCCACAAGTTTGAACTTTATAGCGAGCATGCCTGTGAATTATTATTGTATTGTGTTGACATGTATTCTTAATTACATATATTATTCTTAAATATGTTTTTAGTGTTCAATAATTTGAGGTAGACGTTATTTAACCTCTAGATTTATTTCAATTAAAGTGCACGGGCGATCACTAGGTCCCAACGTGTAAATTTACTTTCGCTACGGAGTGACCCACCGGTGGGCATATGGTCTTTAACGTGTTAAATCACCCTATTATTAAATTACCGACTACGCCAAGTTTTATAAAAGATTTTTAAAACAAAATCCTTATCCTGACTAACATTATAAATGCGAAAGTAACTCTGTCTGTCGCGCTTTCACGCTAAAATTACTGATCCGATTTCAATTAAATTTTATATACAGCTAGACTAAACCCTGATAAAGGACATAGGCTACTTTTTAATGAATAAAAAGGGTTGTAAGAGATTGAAAGTGGAGAAGAAATCTTGAAACTTATTTTTAAGCTGTTGATTTTGTATAAATAATATGACATTCAAATTTTATAAAATTTATATTGATTTATCCTTAATTGTACCCTACTTTATTTTAAACAATGGTTCCGATTTTGTGTGCCTCTTCTTCTGTATTTATAGTTGATTTCTTATCATATTCCAGGTGGAAGGTGTAGGCTCAATGCGCCAGGTGTTCAAAACGCTTTGGCAGGAAGAAGGTCTGGTAGGACTATACCTGAAGGGACTGTCAGCCAGGCTGGTGCAGTCGGCGTGTTTCTCATTCAGCATCATACTCGGGTACGAGAGCATCAAACGGGTGTCAGTGAGCGAAGAGTTTCGATCACATGTACGTTGGTGATGAGTAAATTGGATCAAAGTATATCTTGTGTTATTTGTCTCCTATAATATTTATTTATTTTTAAACTCTTTATAGTACCAAGAATTTTACACAAGAATTGTAGATAAAAGAGATATAGATGTGCAAAAGGCGATCTTATCTCATCGCAAGAAGCAATCTCTTCCAGACAACCTTTAGGTAGAGAAAAACAATAAAAGTTGTAGGTGGCGCTTGAATTGCATGGAAGAATATATATATATATATATAAAGGTAATAATGGAGGTAAAAAGAATAATACAAATAAATATATACATAATACACAAAAAAAGCAATAACAAAACAATAATGTCATATGCAAAAGAACAAGACACAGCAAGAAGGACAACAGAAGAGAAGAATTTAAGTGGAGAGTTAAGATTTAATCGAGTTCCTAAAAATGGATAGTGATTGGAGTAAGGTAGAGAATTCCAAAGGCGAATAGCTTGGACTGAAAAGGATGTACTGTTGATTGAGGAACTATGGAAAGGAATTTTAAGGTTTCGTGCCTCGTATGGTGCCCCGAGAAATGAGTCTTTCATTATCTTCTATTATTTATTTATGTAGATAGTCACGGTCCTCGGTGGTCTAGAGCAGTGGTTCCCAATTAGTTTTTGCTGCGTACCACTTTAAAAAAGACCTCAAACCTTACGTACCCCTTATTGTAGCAATCACAATAATATTACGACAAAACATAACTGGCGGGATCGGGTGACGGGTGACGGGGGCAGCCGAATGACGAGATGTGGCAAGCAAGGTAAACCGCACGGTCGGTCACAGTGCTTGGTGCTACATGATTTTACGATGATTATCGTTATAAAATAATATCTTTGAAATTGTTCTTCTTTTTACTGATAGCCGCACGTACCCCTTGATGCAACTTCACGTACCCCCGGGGGTACGCGTACCACTAATTGGGAAACACCGGTCTAGAGGTTTAGTACAAGGCAGTATCTCAATGTATTGTTTGCTAGAGCAGCAAACTAGTGATTTTCAGGTATTGCCTACAGACATACGCAAGGAAGCTTTTTTATTTAATAATTCTTAACAGTAACTATTGAGTCGAATTTAAAATACACGATTATTATCTAAATTTAAAATCATAACAATATATATAGTAGGATGGTAGCTAACAAGCATACTATACCCATCTGACGGTAAACTGTTACGGTAGTCTATGGACGCCTGAAACATCAGGGGTGTCACGAACGCATTGCGACCCTCAGGAAACCTAAATATTCTTGAAAAACTCTATACTGTAGTCTTTCGGAAACCTCGGCAGGTAGTTCATTCCACCATAATTATACGCGGGAGGAAGCTCTGAAACTGCAGTGTCCGAGATCATTTAGGTTTCAGTGTGTGAGGATGAATTCCGTTCCCTGTCAATAAACGACAAACAAACCCTTTTTTCTCCCCATCCAGAGGGTTGACAAGGGGGTGTGTGGGATTATTATCTATTAAAAAGCCTACGAGCTCCATTACCGGAGTCGAGAGTTTGCGGTAGCATCTACTGCCACTTCGAGCGTTCGCCCACCTATAGACGGTTTAGGGCAGGCCTCAGATCATAAGGCGACCTATTTCGCTCTACTCAATTGTGGAAACGTGAATACACTCACGCAACTCAAAATAAACTTATTATACAGTGGGTAGTTGAGCTTTACTAAAACGCCTGTTCATATTTTGATAGCAATGTTGTAGTTTTGCAGTTTGAGCGTCTCGAGACGTTATGAGACGAACTTAGCATTTTTTTAACGGATGACTATGTGATGGTGTATCCGCCTGCGGTTACAAAAAATAGATATTTAAAAATAAAAGATTTTAGATAGATCTGCACCTATTTCTGTACATGAGGTCCAGATCTATCAATCTATCTGTCTATCTCACTAATCATTTATACATTTGTAGAAGCTGAGGTACAGATCTATCTATTAATACGTCTATCAGATTTCAGGATCATTTATTTGTCATGTGAAACAGGTTATTCTCTTACCGCCTACCTCTTCCGTTACAAAATTATAAGTCAACAGTAAACATTAAAATTAAGATAAATTTAAATTTGACTTTGATATGTATTCACTGATGTGATAAAATTGTTTTTTTTTTCCAAAAAAATAACTTCTTTTTTTTCTTAATTTTAAAATATCTCTAATCATCTATCTAAGACTGTTTTTGTAAATCTATATCTTCAAATATCGATTCAAGTAGCCTTCTATTAAAGTTTTTAAAATAACGTTAATTATATACTCTGTGGGTTGTATGACTCAAGTTAACAAACTGAAAAGTATATTTAGTTGTTCTATTTCTAGAGTTTTTCGTAGATAATTGTTTCAACGTCTATTTCTATACCGTAATCATAGCAACCAATCTACACAACTTATATGTTGACGGCCTCGGTGGTCTAGCGGTTTAACACACCGTTTTATTTCCGATGGTCACAGGTTCGAATTCTTGGAGAGTGTTAACATTTGTATTCATGAGTATGATTGTTTGTGTCGGTCTGAGTGTTTTATATATAATTAGAAAAAAATGTAGGTATTTTGGTGTTTATATCAGTTGTCTATGTGAGTATACCCATATCGTCTGACACTCGTGACAAATTTATCTGATTGGATTCTTTTAATTTTTCATGTGATGTACCTTGTTACCTATTCTTGCTTTCCGAATGAGCGATAGAATAAAAAGTGTTGACTATTCAAAAGTGCTTCAATATAAGTTTATTGGAACAGATGATTTTCTATTCTATTCTACTATATATATGCTACAATAATCAATGAAGTATTATATAGTGTTCTTAAAATAGAAAGTAGGTTGATTATAGCCGTGAGAATCGTTTCATAAAACTAAAACTGTTAGTACTTTATTTTATTACAAGGTAACAATTTTATAACCATAATTCAAACTACAATATCAGTACATATATTTTCCTTTGCTTTATTAACGTAAAGAAAAAGGTTTTCCCGCCTAATAAGTCCAACAACAATATTGGTATACAGAATTTTCCTAAGCTTTACATATATTAAAAAAAAAAGTTTTTCCACCTAATTTTACTAGAGCTGACAAAAACAATACAATCTTAGACGTAACTCAGGCATGCAGTTGCCTTGTTCCCCGTACAGATTCAGTCTACTAACTGTGCCTGATATATTCCACAATCCATTTACACGGCGTAGAGTTCCCTCAAATATACCATTGCTTGGTTTTGAACGTAAAACGACCAGAATTACTCTCGAATCTATTTCATTGTCATCTTTTACTGCAATTTCCGCGGCTTCAATTATTTCTGCAAGCTCATGTCGAGCACATTGAGGATAATTTGTTAATATATTATTAAAATGTTTGATCAAATGAGTAGATGCTGCTATTGCATCAGGATCATCATTAGATATACTCCTTTCTTTATTGCATGTACACCAATGCTCACTAATTTCTGCTGACTTACACGTGCGGTTGTTTGGAATTGGTATGAATAAGCTAATACTTCTATCATCTCCATACGCTTCTTGTTTCATTCTATTAATGTTTTCATTTCGAAGATTGTCTATGTTGATCAAATCTAACAATGTTGCGTGGATATCAAACGGTGTTGTCAGACGTTTAGCATTTAATTTTAAGTTCTTATACGCTTCAGTATATATTTCCCGAAATGATCTTGGCAGTAATATGAATGCAAAAGGCAAACGTTCCTCCAATCGTCCTTGTCTTGTCAATCTTATATCACCCCACCGCATACCATGATCGCTGACTAGAAATACTATAGTGTCTTCTAAATATCCATTGCTATCTAATTCTTTAAACAAATTCACGTAATCATCATCCATAATCATCGGATAATTTAAATAATCGTGCGTCATGCTGAACTCCCAAAAGAATCCGAATAATTTCGAATCGCTCAACGCAGTTGTTAAATTTTCTACGTAGTCTAAGAGGACTTTATAGAAATATTTATCGTGTAAACATAAGTACGAAAATATGTCCTTGTTATTACCAGCAATCTTCTCTGCTTCATTCATAAATGTGTGTAGATAATAATCTGTGGGACCATCGACAAAACCTGCACCGTCATAATTAAAAGCTCGCAAATGTGATCCGTCTTCTCCAAACGCAGTATAGTAACCTGCTTGTTTGAACCGCTCCCAAATAAACGGACAATTATCAAATTTAGCCTTCCTATGTGGGAGGCATGTATTCTTCAATTCTTTCGACGATATACCTAACAACATTGGTATTATATTTGGAAAAGTATTATCACCAACCTTATTGAACCCTTGTAAACTTACAGCGCCATTATTGTTCAAATATTCCAATGTTTTTGGCATTGTCCTGTAAAAATTAAGTCTTGATACAGCATCTATACCCATAAATAGAACATTGTAGCCCGCTTTACTTTTTGGTATTTCTTTTACATCATTATGTGCAACAAATTCTTTTTTCAAAGCGAAAAGAAAGAATTCGTCGTGGATTTTCTCACCGACGCTACAAATAACTCTAACAAATTCGTCCTTAGCTTCAATTACATTAGAGAAATATACACAATTACCATAATCGACTCTGTCATCAACGAATGGCTCTTTAATATTTTCAATTGATTTCGGCATGAAGAAACCTTTATAGCAGCATGTCAAATTATTATTTATATCATTGTTTAAATCAGCTTCGTCGTTTATCCAAATATGTGTTCTATTTCGTTTCAATAGAGTTGTATTCCACTTCTCGCATTCTTTCATATCTATAGGATAATGTACAAATTGTTGGATACTAACATTGAAGATGTTCATTCCCGGAATAGTACATCCTTCAGTTTTTATTGTAAAATTAGCTATAATGTTATTAAGATTCTCTATAGGTTCTTTATTAAGTTTACATATTTGCAAAGTAAGAGAAATTAAAGATATAACAAAGAATGTTGATAATAATAACAAATATTTTATAAGATTTGTCTGTACCATAGTGAACTTTTGATAAAAAAATTGTTTTATGGTTTATGGATCAAATATACATGTCACGTGTGATAGGATTTAAGTGTTTATTGCTCATAAGCCCAGATCATATCGAAGTCATACAGATCTTGTTCTAGAAGGTTCTACATTGGTCTTCTTTTTAAGATTTCAATCGTTAAATATCCGGCTTATTTGATTATAATTGATTACAGCGCTTATGAACTCTTGCAACACCAAATAATTAGCAGTTGTGTTGCCCACTTTTTAAAAAGGTGTTTATAATGTATCAAGTTAACAATTTTACTAGAAGTTGATGGTAAACAGTAAAACTGGAATATTTCTCATACAATGTAAAGCTTAGCTCCACAATGCAGGTATTCATATTGAGAAGCACTGTTGTATCAGTTACTTATGATGTTATTTCCTTTTAAGAGTGGTCATCTTGTAATGCTCTTATCTGTCAATAGAAAAAAAAACAGCTTTTAACATACTAATCTATATAAAACTGCATTACCTGATAAATTCATTGTGAATTTGTCACTTTGGGCTAACTGACCTGACCTCATGTTCATCTTATCCTCCACTGGTGCCCCGCCAGTATAAACCGTTAGTGCAGGCGGGTGCACCATTCCATATTCATATCTTATTATTATTAATATTATAAACGCGATGTTTGTTACTATTTCACGCAAAAACTAATGAACGGATTTTGATGAAACTTTACAGTAATATAGCTTATGCATCAGAATAACACATAGGCTATATTATATATTGAAAATAATGCGGGAGAAACCGCGGGTACAACTAGTAATATATAAAGCTGTATTACCTAATAAATTCCTTGTGAATTTGTCACTATATGCTAACTGATCTGACCTCATGTTCATCCTATCATCCACTACTGGTGCGCCGTCAGCGTAAACCGTTAGCGCAGGCGGGTATCCCATTCCATATTCATATTAAAAAAAAGCTTACCTTACAATAAAATCAACAAGTTCTCTTCCTTCATCAATTAGTGACTGAGCTATTTTGTTACGCAACAGGGTTTTTATGTCTTTCTTTGATAATGATGCCTACTCTTAAAAAATTGAACAAAAAGATGTCACATCTTTTTGTCAGTTACACTTCCTGGCTGCAGAGTAAAGGTACATCCTACTTAGAACAAAAGGAACAATTATGTAAGTCCTGGAGAAGTTGTGAACATCACCTGAGACCTTTGAGTAGTTTAGAAAAAGATATCAAATCAAAAATAATAAATAAATAAGTAACCCTGGACAATTGACACAGCGCCATCTAGTCCCACGGTAAGCTAAGCTTGTGTTATGGGTAGTAGACAACTGATATTTATTGTAAATACATATATAATATACATAGAAATAACTCAGACCTTTACAAAAAATCATACTCATGAATACAAATGTTAGCACAGTAAGAAATATCGAACCCGTAACCATTGGTAGTTAAGCAGTGTGATAAACAGCTAGACCACTGAGGTCGTTAAATTCTTAGTCTGGCTGTTCTTTGTACCTATTTGTAGAATAGATTAGAATAGAAAAATTGTTTATTCGAATAAACATAAATTAAAGCACTTAGAATATATTTAGGCGAGGGGTTTGTTAAGTTGACATCCACGTGGTTTCCCTGGAAACCATCGTGATAAATGCATTGTAAATTTATCAGATTGAAATTCATATTTATATAAATTCAATCCAATTACAATTACATTAATAAATAAAATTACATTAATTAACAAAATTACATTTTTGTATAAAATTATATTCATCAATAAAATTACATTAATAATAACTAATAACATAATATTTTCCGTAAACTTCCGTAGAATATTCCGTATGAATACAAATGTTTGTACCGTGCAAGGAGTGGAACCCGCGACCGTTGGAAGCAAAGTATCTAGGAAACGTCAGTCTATAAATACTGGGGCCAATGGCCCTCTCAACATTTACAACGCACATATAATATGTGCCCACTCTAAATAAGCAGTTGACCTTCATTCTTCAATGAAACGTATTAGATACTGGCGGTATACGCGACTTCGTCCGCGTGGAATTTAACTTTATTTTTCTAAAATAAAAGATTTTTTTCTAAAATAAAGGTACTGTACTCTTTTTTATGAAAATGGAGCACACGGAGGAGTATGAAATTTAGCTCATTTATATTTTATACTAGCTGAGCGACTACGTCCGCGTGGAATTTAACTTTATTTTTCTAAAATAAACATTTTTTCTAAAATAAAGGTAGCCTAAGTTAGGTTAAGTTTAGGTTAGCCTTAAGTTACATCAGCTACCTGCCAATAAAAGTCCCGTCAAAATCGGTCCAGCCATTTCAGAGATTAGCCGGAACAAACAGACAGACAGACAGACAGACAAAAATTGTAAAAAATGTTATTTTGGTGCATGTACCGTATTTATATTTATATGCAAAAAATGGTCATTTCAATATTACAAACAGACACTCCAATTTTATTTATATGTATAGATTACAAGTTTGTGGCCTTGAGTTCCGGGTCTTTTTTTATTTAACGATATTATATTTAATTATTTAACAAATATTATAACCAGTTAATCATTTGTAACGTTCTAAAATTTAGGAATTTGCGATTTTATATAAACTATTTGAGGGTTACAAATAGAGTTGCCAGGTCGCCAAATCATATAGAACCACTTATATAATAATAATTATTTCTTCAAGTTTTAACATTTATCCATCGTTATCTGGTACTTTTTTTATTATACGGCCCATGTGATGGTAAACGGTTACCGCAGCCTATGGATGCCTGAAACACCAGGGGTGTCACATGTGCGTTGTCGACCCTTAAAAAACCTTAATATAACCCTTGAAAAACCTCATGGTGCAGTCTGTATAGGAAACCTAAACTATATTTTAGGTGCCAGTTTATATTTGTGTGTATATCTATATATAACTGTTTAATGTGTGTGTCTTGGGTGAAAGAGAGAGAGAGAGATTCTCCATATCTGTGAGTGTGAACAGTCTAAATAGACAAAGCATTACAATATTACAATGTAAGTACGTATATTAATAAATACCTCACCACACGTGTACGCAATTTTCTCGTGGTGTGTTCAATAATTCTCTTGTAGCGCCTTATCATAATTATTGTTATATAATTTATCTTCCACTCAGTATATTAACAATACTATCTTGTTACCAGGCAAGGGCATACTATGTGAAGATAGATATATATGTATGGGACATACATATTATAACATAGTATAAAACGAAGTCGCCGTAGCTGTCTTTTCGCTTATATCTTTTAAATTACTTAACGGATTTTAATGCAGTATTCAGCAATAGATAGAGTGATTCAAGAGGAAGGTTTATATGTATAATACATGCATGTTATAGTATAGAACAAGACGAGAAATTCAAAGATTTGTAATGCATCAGTGAGTAACCGGAATGGGTCGCTACTGGATAATAAAAATGTAACTGATTTGTGTTTGATGTTACGTGAAAGATGTATGGGAAAATCTTTTATTGGAGAGAGCAATGAAACAATCATTGTTATATTTTTCTCCATTTGTCTGTGTGTTTATGCTAATTTTTCTAATTGTATTAACACATTTTGACTTAAAAATGTTATAACGATTATTTAAAAGGTAAACATGCAAGCTTGTCCTTCTTGTGATCAGCTTTACGACAATTCAAAAGTGCTTAAATTAAGTTTATTTGAATAAAGATTTTTCTATTCTATTTTAATTGTTTAAAAAAAGCAGGTGAGTCGCATCACTCATTATTCTTAGTTGAAACTACATTCCTAAAAAGTGTAAAAATTAATTTATCTTCAATAAGGATAATTTCTATTTCATTCAATTCTTTATAATTCAATTTATCGTTTGAGCAGTAAAGTCGCGGGAACAGTTAATAGTGTAATAAGTTTGTTTAACCCAAACATTTGTTATCTATTACTTTATCTAAGGCAGACGAGTAAAACATACATTCTACATTTTTGCAATACAACTGATAATTCTGAACTGATACTAATATTTAATATGATATTTCTAATATTTTATTCTGTATGTAAAAATAAAATACTAGATGTAGTATTAGACTAATTGCCATTCACCACCTATCTTTTCTATCTTTTATCGCTATATATTATATATATAAACCTTCCTCTTGATTCAATCTATCTATTAAAAAAACCGCTTCAAAATCCGTTGCGTAGTTTTAAAGATTTAAGCATATATAGGGGCGGACAGACAGCGACAGCTACTTTATTTTATACTATGTACTGAAGCGATAAGACCGCCTTTTGTACCTACATATTTATTTTAAACTAGCTGTGCCCGCGGTTTCACTCGCTTATAAATTTCTATTTTATTTTAGCCCATGTGTTATTCTGATGCATAAACCTATATTATTGTAAGCTTTTATCAAAATCCTTTCAGTAGTTTTTGCGTGAAAGAGTAACAAACATCCATCGGGGGGAAAGGTATTGTTAGTAATGTGGACTCTCGACCCCATTGCTAGCAAAGTACCATGTCAGGTTGACCTCCACGCGGTTCCCCCTGGAAACCATCGTGATAAATTCCAGGTGAAATTATCACGATGGGCTAACTGACCTGACCTCATTCTCATCTTATCATCTTCCACTGGTGCCCCGCCAGCGTAAACCGTTAGCGCAGGCGGGTGCACCATTTCATTATCATATACAAAAAAACAAACATCCATCCATACGCACAAACTTCCGCGTTTGTAATATTAGTAAGATATTCCGATTGCTTTTGTATTTGTTTTTTTTTTAATTGCATTAAAAAATAATAAATAAATAACGTTGTTGTGGACTAGTGTTCAGGGATTGATGTATCTTTTATTTAATATAATATATACACAAACAAATACAACAAAAATAGA